AAAAAGTAGTCTTTTTTTTTTTCCCTCTACCTCTCTCACGCGTGTAGAAAAAGTGTTGAAACAAAACAATAGAAAGATCTTTTTTTTTTTTTTAAATAGAAAGATCTTGGAATTTCCAAAGATTTAATAATTTATATAATTACTGTTTGAAATTCTCATGATTGCCTTTTTTTTCCAGAAAAGTTAAGCACTTTTGTTTTGTTTTGTTTAGTTACTGTACTTAAATTAACCGGTGATTTAATGGTCGGGTTATGTGAAATTTTGCAGATCCTTACTTAAATATCGATGCTGGGACCATGTCACCTATTGAGCATGGTGAAGTTTACGTCTTGGACGATGGTGGAGAGGTACTTCACAATTTAATGACTCTTACTCTGTTTCTGTAAATGGGAAATGTCATTCAATAAGTTAGGTCAACAACCATTTCACACAAAAAAATTGAAATTTCTCTTTTTTTTTTTGGTGGTTGGTTAAATAAAAGGTTGATCTTGATCTTGGGAACTACGAGAGATTCATGGATATTAAGCTGACCCGTGAAAACAACATAACTACTGGAAAAGTCTATAAGGTTTGTGTCTTTGTGACGTTATGCTAAACAAAGATTGGAATGTTTGGTTTTGATTTTTGAACTTCCACGTTTGAAATTTGTGAGCAGCATGTGCTTGAGAAAGAGAGGAAAGGAGATTATCTTGGGAAGACTGTTCAGGTGATTAGAAAAAAAAAACAAGCTGATAAATGTAGACCATTTGTTTGATAAAATTCCCCAAAGAGAGAGAGAGATAGAGATTTTGAAATTGTTCTGTGTGGTTTTGTAGGTTGTTCCTCATATCACTGACGCTATTCAAGATTGGATTGAGCGTGCAGCTAGGATTCCAGTTGATGGACAGTCAGGTCCAGCTGATGTTTGTGTCATAGAACTTGGAGGAACAATAGGTATTTTGGTTTGTGTCTTTTCATAAGAGACTTTAAACTCAGTGCCAGGTTAAGTTCAGTTAGTTTAAAAACATGGAGCTACTCTTTGAATATTTCAGGAGATATAGAGTCCATGCCGTTTATTGAAGCTTTAGGACAATTCTCGTATCGTGTTGGTAAGAAATGGTTTTGTGTGTATGCTTGTGTTCATTAAGGTATAACAGTGAGAGATTACTTCAAGATCGACTGATGTTTTCTTTTTATACCTTTTTCTCAGGTTCTGAAAACTTTTGCTTGATCCATGTCAGTCTTGTGCCTGTATTGAATGTTGTTGGTGAACAGGCAAGCTTCTTGATTCTTCTAAAATTTGGTTTCATCTGTTGGCTTTTTCTTTTGGAGTTTTCATCCTAATACTGTCTAACATACTTTATTCTATCTGCTTACAGAAGACTAAACCAACGCAACATAGCGTTCGAGACTTAAGAGGCCTTGGCTTGAGCCCTAATATCTTGGCTTGCCGAAGCACAAAGGTTTCATCCTTGTAAACTTTTTGGTTTTGGTAACGTTTGTTCTTCAGTCTTAGCTCTAAGTTCTTGTATTGAAATTTGATTTTGTAGCCACTTGAAGATAATGTGAAAGCCAAACTCTCTCAGTTTTGCCATGTTCCGGTATGTACTATTTGCAAGATAAGACTTGATCTTTCTCTTTGTACATATAAAGCATTGTTAAACAACGTATAATTCATTTGCAGATGGAAAACGTTGTCACTCTCTACGACTGCCCCAACATTTGGCACATTCCATTGCTTCTCAAAGTGAGTAGCTTTCTCATCCACCATACTTTCAAAGTTTCGGTAACCAGGTTGTTCTAGTCACCTATATATTTACATTTTAACTTGTCTGAGCAGGAACAAAAGGCACACGAGGCGATTTTGCGTGTCTTGAACCTTAAAGGGTGTGTGTCTCGATTACTCATGTTTTCAAATAGATTGGTTCATTCATTTAAAACGCTGATTCTTGTTGGAATTATTGTGTGATATTTCCATATACAGAGTTGCAAAGGAGCCTGCATTAGAGGATTGGTCTTTGATGGCTAAAATGAGCGACAAGTTGCATGTTCCGGTGTGTTCTTGGTTCTGTAATGACATTTAAGTCTTAGCTTTTATCTCACTGGCTTTAAGCTACAGACTGACTTCATTAAGTTTTGGGTTTTCAGGTAAGAATTGCTGTGGTTGGGAAGTACACTGAGCTCTTGGATTCGTATCTTTCCATTGACAAGGTATATATTTGCAGGATACATCAATCTTAACAACTATAAACACAAATCTAAGCCTTTTTTATGATCAAACTCCTCACAGAGTCATCTTTTGTAATCTCAATTTGCCAACGATTCTTCTTCAGTTGCGGTATTTGATAAAGGAATTCTTTGTGTGTTGATGAGCAGGCTCTCTTGCACGCTTCCGTGGCTAGGCGCAAGAAACTTGTCATAGATTGGATTTCAGCAAGTGATCTTGAACAAGGAGCGAAAAAGGAGGTATGTTACACTCTACACTAAGCTTCACTACTAAATACAAATGTTGAAACCTTAGAAACTGAAACAAAACTATTCTGGAATCCTCTCTGCAGAATCCGGATGCATACAAGGCCGTCTGGAAGTTACTCAAGGTCCGAACTTTCTTTCATTCCCATCAAATGAATCCTGATTTCATGTGTCTGAGATGAACTTTCCGTTGATTGAGTCTGAGTCTATGTACTTTGTCTTCAGGGTGCTGATGGCATTCTTGTGCCGGGAGGTTTCGGCAATAGAGGTGTAGAAGGAAAGATTCTGGCAGCGAGATACGCCAGAGAAAACAGAGTTCCATATCTCGGAATCTGTCTAGGGATGCAACTCGCTGTGATCGAGTATGCAAGAACCGTACTCGGTTTGCCAGATGCAAACAGCACCGAGCTTGATCCCAACACCAAGAACCCTTGTGTTGTTTTCATGCCTGAGGTTTGGTCCCTTCCACATTTCTCTGCTTGAGTTTCAGTTACTCCACTCTCTACTTAATTCGGGGTCTCGTGTAATTTTTGCTTTGAAGCAGGGCTCGAAAACGCATATGGGAGGCACTATGAGGTTAGGCTCAAGAAGAACTTATTTCCAAGCTAAGGACTCCAAATCAGCAAAACTGTAAGCACCCGAGATTCTTTTCCCACTCTTAAAAGTTTTAACTTGATTCATCTTAGAGTTTCACTGGTATCTTATACTTTGGAGTGTTTCAGATATGGGAACAGAGGTTTTGTCGATGAAAGACACCGACACAGATATGAGGTGTGTGAGAAGCTTTCAGATTTTACCAAAAACTCATCTCTTTAGAAGTTTAAAGCTAAAACAAGATGTTCTTTTACAGGTGAATCCAGCCATGGTTCCACGTTTCGAGAGCTCTGGACTCACATTCCCAGGAAAAGACGAGACGGGTCAGCGAATGGAGGTAAAAACCGATCTATAAACCTCTTACGCACCACACATATGAGTTTCAATCTTCTTGGTTATGACTCTTTATTACATATGATCATACAGATCGTAGAGCTGCCTAACCATCCGTTTTACGTTGGAGCTCAGTTCCATCCTGAGTACAAATCAAGACCCGGAAAACCATCTCCTCTGTTTCTAGGTATGCAAGAAACAACACAAAATCTAAAAGCCCTTTCTTTCTTCGTGTAATGCGTACTTAAAAACCAAACCTTTTTTCCTTGAATCAAAACAACTTGCAGGACTAATTGGAGCAGCTAGTGGAGAACTAGACAGTCTAATGCAACAAAGCTGCCAAGAATCCGTCGTCTCACGTCCTCAATCCAACGGAAAGCTCGAGAGGGTTTATTGGAAAGGCGCAGCGAAAAAGCCAGTCAGTGTTGTGTACAGTTTATGCGATCGTGTCTACTCGTAAACGTGTCTGCATCAACGATGAACTCTCTCTAAGAAAAAAGCTACTTTATCCGGATTTTTTTAACAAGGATTTCTTCACATGTGGAGGGAGAGAGAAGGCTCTGATTTTGTATAGTTTGAAGATTGGCTTTTTATGAAATGGTTTTCTTAAGATTATGAGGAAGAAGAAGAAGAAGAACACTAAACACGAGGAGCATTAGAATATATTTACCTTTGTCTTTTGTAATCGGTAATATTTAGGAGAGTCATGGGATTGAGTCTCTCTGTTGCTCTGTGTTTATTTGGATTCTCTTATCTAGTACTTAGTAGTATCAATCCGCAGCTTTTTTTTTTTTTTATCTATGTTTTGTTTTAATCTTCAGTTTAAACATTTTCAGAGAAGTATCGATATTTTGATTCTCTGTATGTTTATGTAATTTTTATGTTATATGAATGGTTATATTCTCAAAGCGTTCTTTAGACTCTTGCCACAGTTTTTTTTGAATTGTATTGTTACAGAAACTGATATGGAGGACTTAGGGCTGTGTTTATAATTTCTCAAGTCGTGAAATTACTAAGTCCAACTTCTTACAAAACTGTTTAGGAAAATATTGCATTGCCGCTTTCACTTGAATTTGATCGACATTTAGATAAACCCTAGCTTGGGTGGTCGAACACCCTCAGAACCAAATCGATTATGATTATCTGGCTAATTGCTTACTCTGCAAGTTAAGGGGTTGTTTGAAAATTAAAAATGACATTTAAATCATGAACTTTCTATTTTTTTTTTAGCCAATTTAAGTACAAATCATTGCATAAACGATTTCAACGATAAATTTATATTAACATATTCCAAACCATTGGTAGCAGTCAAATGAAGTTTTCTGCTTATAATTGCTTAGTGGGACAGTATGATTTTAGCTTTTTCCAATTCATATTCAACATTCAACAATTCATTCTTTCCTGTTTAGTATTAATATTCCATTCAAGTGTTTCCTTGTTGATGACTTTCAAATTTTACCTAAACTGAGGGATTTCAAACAAGATGTAAGCATTCTTATAGAAAGAAATTAAGCTTTTTACCAAAAAAAAAAAAATTGCAAACATTGACCAGTAAAATGGTTAACAGAAGATATTGCTTGGCGGTAAGAAAAAACAACTGTTTTCTTAGCATTATAAATTGCCTTCATACTTTCACATTAGTCACACAGATAACTCAAAATCACAAAAAGTACAAAATTTATTCAGTAAAAATGGAGAAAGCAATTTTGATATTCATCGGCTTTGTACTTTTCTCAGCATGTATGTTTTCATAATCATATTTTTGTTATTCATCACATTGTAAATTTGCGATAATTATTATCATTATTAACATCATGATGACTATATTATCTCACTTTTACAGGCACTCAAATTCTAGCAGAATCTTGCAAAGAGAACTCTGATTGTATTCATCTGAAGTGTGTAACGAAGGTTAGATGTGTGGAAAACACATGTCAATGCATTGATGACAAATATGCGTTTAAACCACTTGATGCGAATTGTGATGTTGCTGCTTGCAGTGACTTGTGCAAGACAAAAGGTGAACAAGCTTATGCTTGTATCTTAAACCATTGTTACTGTCGCAAACCTCCTATGTAATAATTAAGTAACTACAGGCTTAAATCATTGTACTTGTTTGCATCATTCAAATGATGTTAATTCACAATCCTTCTATGTAATATTTTTATCTCTATCAAGAACCAAACAATAAAATATATAATATTAAATTTTTAATTCTATAGAGTTTATAAAATGATTTAGAACCATTTCCAAAATTAAATTCTGTAGATTTGTAAAATGTCTGGAATAACACATGGAACCACCATTGATGTAATTTTAAACTTAGGATAGAATATTATATTGTTAGTTCATTTTTCTATCTTCTTATCTGTATAGAGTTTAATTGTTTAATATATCTAAATGGTATAGAAAATATAATAATTTTGAACTACAATTATAATAAGTTTTTTTTCAAATATTTAAATCACTTGATTCTTAATAATTGGATTACTATAAGTAGTTTTCTAAAAAAAGCAATACAAAATATTGACTAGTGGAACATTGACAAAAAAAAAAAATTTCTAGCCACCAAGTTGTTTAGCAGACATCAGATTGTTTTTCTACAATTATATGTAGTCTCTACATCTTTCACCTTAATAGATCACACAAACAATTAAAATCACAAAAATATAAAATTAAATCACAAATTCTGGTTGATTTAGTTAAATTAGTCATGACGTACTTTAACTACGGATAGATGATTAAACATGGTTATTTTTTTAGAAAAATATTACTGTTTATGAAACACGTTGTTCTCTAAACACAAAATTCTTAAATCGAAAATATTCAAACCTTAACTTCAAAATCGATCTCCCAAAATATTTTTGACTGCTGTGAGAATCGTAACTTCGGTTGAAGATGAGTTCTACTTCTACCATTTGGTAGGATATTTTTGATTACTATGAGAATCATAGAACTTCGATTGAAGATAAAATTTTAAAGATGATTTCTACTTCTATCATTTTGTCATGGTGGTTATGAAAGAGTTTATAAGGTTTGTAAGAATCTCTTGGATTTACATTCCAAAGTTGATATGTTTATGACAGCTCTTTTGTTCTGATGTACATTTACTAGGTGGATGAAAGTATTTATACCGACAAAAGAATTTTAAAATTAAGATAAATTGTGAATTTGTCATGTGCCGTAGTTGTGCAAATTGTGACTTAGAAATCTCATTATCTACATCAATTTCTTAATCTTTTAACGTATGTTCAGCAAATATTGATATGCTAAACATATCACATTCTTAAAAAAATAAGAAATTGTCGAAGTGTGATATGATAAATAATTTTTTAAGAATGTGATATGTTGAATAATCTTTTAAGAATATGATATGTTCAGCATATCAATTTCTTATACTTGTCGAAGTAGATAAAAAGTTGAAAAAAAAAATTTTGGACAAGATTCTATTTACAAGTGTTTTTTTTTAAAACAAGTTTGGTTGTATATAACATTCAGATCAATGTTATGCAATTTGAGATTAAAATAAAAATTATTCATAACAAGAATAGTAAACACATGTATTTTTATATGTACATACATATATGATGCATGTTTCCAACAAATCACACCTGGAGAGATGTAATTTCATCAAATTTTCACTCCTCTATTTTTTGAACGACGCCATTGCCCACGACTTATATACCCTATGATCCTCTAGCAGCGCTCACAATTCTCAAATTTCATACAAGTGAAGAAATTCTTCAGTTTGGATGCTTTCTCTATTATCTTCTTATCGATAACTCTAACAACCACATTATTCTCTACCAAATAAAAATGTGATATGTTCAGCATATCAATATCTGATAATTCATCCCAAAACTTTTCAAATGTATCCTTCTGTTTCTAATAAAATGTTCAGATGAAAAAAAATTGATCAGATCCATTTTTAATTTTTTTTTCTTTTCTTTTGATCCTAGATTATTTAAATTTATAGGAAAATAGTCCATTAAAAACAATAAATTTAAATTAAGATTGAGAATGCTACAATTCATATTATGTATATTCTATGTTATTTTGAATGGTTATATAACTTTTTCATTTATTTTTTACCGGCTATTGTTAAGATTTTATCTTAGATTTTTACCAAAATTAGTATATAAGTATCTGCTTAATTACTAATTCTGCAAGTAAGGGGTCTGTTGAAAAATACTTTTACAAAAAATGACATTTTAAATCATAAACTTATAAATTTTAGCCAATTTAAATACTAACTATCGCATAAATGGTTTAAACGATACAATTGACTTTGATTTTTAAATCTCACAAACTTTGGTTGATTGGTTCAAATTAGTTACGACGTCAATCTAACTAAAGGAGTCTCTCAATTAGTCTCTCACTTAAAACTTTTTCTAAAAATCGCTGTAATTAAATGAAAACGACGTCGTTCTGGAAACACAAATTCCCCAGATCGAATACAAACTCAAAATCGATTTCTCCCCAAATATTTTCAGGCTTGGCCAATCTTGTTAATAGCTCAGGCCCATATTTAAATGCGCGGGTTACTTTTGTTATGGCGCGCCCATCCGGTGACTTTGACGCCTTCACTTTGTACACCAACTGTTCGATGAAATGTCTTAAAGGAGTTTCTTCCTGATTCACTTACCTCACTAGTTTCGCGAAGTGTGATCAGGGTTTCGAAATTTTCAATCTTTTCTCTCCTACCTCTTGTTTCGGTTCCTGTCTTCAGGCACACTAGTTTGGTCGGCTGATTTCTGCTTCTGTTAAGATTTTGAAGATGAGCTCTACCGTTTGGTGGGAAGGAGTTGAGAAGACACGAGTTCTCATAGCCCCAGGTTCTCTCTTCTACTTCAGATTTTCTTCTGACGGATTTACAGTTTATGTACTCTCCAATGGAACTTCGATTTTGACTAAATGACTTAGATTGTGAAATGGTGTAGGAATGTATGATTGAAAAAGTCAGGTTCTGGATAACAAATGAGCATTACTTTTAATTCTCTTAGATTACTGAATACTGCTGTTCGTTCGTTATAGAGATATGTTTTTTCAGGATTGAAAAGATGTTGCTAACTATTCCAAAGAAATTAATCATTTACTCTCTCGTTTGATGATTTAGATATAGTGACGTGGCCCTTCTTTGTTTCATATGTAAAGATTCAGGTCGTGGCGGAGACAAACCGGGAGAACTAATAACACTTCGCCATCCAAAATCAGGTAATGGGAAGTAGATCATAGGCAGGCTCTGCTTGCTATTACAATGTTGCAAGGGTAACTTCAGCTTAGTAACATCTTATGTGGTTTGGTATCTTGGCAGAAAACGGAACATGCTACCTCTTTAGTAATGGGATGCTTCAAGAAATTCAATGGTTGAAGCAATCATATGGTTCTTGGTTCCTGGGAGATTACATCTCTCAAGGTAGTTCCACTGTTGGTCTTGATGATGACGACCAATCTTGCTCCCTTGTGTTTCTGAGTCATAATCAAATACGCAATGCAATCTAGCATTAGAAAACTCAATTTCCCTTATGCTCATGACTGTTTTCTTGTTACAGATGGAAGCTTATATATGACCACTCCAGTTGATCCTGTTTTCATCTTGTTGCCTATCTTCGAGGAAGCAAGAATGAAGGTCACTCTATGCTCCTTGGCTCTTGTTGATTGACTACAATTTCATGTCTACTTTTTCCATGTCTTGAAAAAATGTTAATTCTCTTCTTAAAATTTTGACATGTAGAATGGTGAAGATCCTGGAAAGTTCAGGCAACTGGATGAGATCTTGTATGTGGAAGGGTATCCTGGATATCAACATCTGTTGTCACTTGCAGAGAAGTCTATGGAGATCGTTTGTCAAACTCAAGGTAAATTGCTACTACTCTATGGATCCCGAGAATATGGTTGCAATTTTCAGATTCCTGATTATAGATCCTTCTTTAATCCTTTTAATATACATGTAATCTAAATGTTTCTCATCACTCTTGGAGTGCTTGGTGATCTCTAGCTGTTCATTTTCCTCATTCCTCTTTCGTCTCTTCTTGCAGAGGTTGGATCTATGAAGTTCTATCGGCTTGATAACTCGAAAGTCTTAGCTTGGTTAAGTTGTAAGGTACGCTCTTGTCAGAAGATGATTTATTGCAGCCCTTACTACGATACGTTTCCAGTTGAAGTTTTTGTGATACTTTGTCCATTTGAAATCACTACAATACCTTTTTGAATTTCCACGCATATGTTTCAGGAATGATACATGTTTAGTGCTAATATGTCTCTTTTTGATACTGCCTAGTGAAAGTTCTGAATTTGCAGCTTCTAGGGAAAAAGCTTACTTCAATGCTGGACTCTTAACTGGTTTAGTTCTATAATTCTTGTCTCTAGTTATGGATTTGAGGGGAAAGATAATGTATGTTAGCTTGTATCTGTTTTTTTTTCGTATACTTAAGTTGCCTGCACTCTAATGAACGCAGGTGTGCTGTTTAAAGAAGACTCTGCCAGAATTGGACAAGAACTATGCAGCTCAAGATGAGAAACAAACATGTAAGTTGTAGAACAGAAATCATTTTACTTGTGTGTTTGATTTTCAGAAATGGTGCTATGAAGTTGTTATATGTGCTTTGAGCCTTTCAAGAGGTACTGAGATAATGATGGCTTCTCACTGATATCGCCTTTAATATGTACAGTGGTAGATGCAGTTTCAATTGTGGGAGAGTACCTGAAGACAGAGCCTTGGTTGAAGCTTCTCTACGATCATCTTGGGTACCTTTTTTTCTTTTGTAAAAGAAATCTGAAATACATCCAACACTGAGCTCAAGAGAATCATGAGTCCTTACAAAGGTGTTCGTTAATCTTGCAGGCTCGAGTTTGTTGACCCGACGATGAAAGAAACCAATATGGAGAATCTTCCAATTGCAAATGAGAAAAACATGATGGACTACTCAAATTCATCGCAGGTGTGTGTGTGTGTGCTTTCATTGCAAACGCTGTAGACTATATCAGTTTATGTGTTGCTAACTTTGGGTCTTCATTTATTTAGGAGAAGGCAAATAAGAAGGCAGGAAAGTCTGCAAAACAGACCAAGCAAGCAAAAGCAGAGACTGGATCAAAGAACATTAGGGATATGTTTTCAAGGGCTTGTAAGAAAAAATGCTAAACGGTCGAAACCATCAAACTATTTATGATTGTGTTTTGTTTTCCTATCCATCTATCTAATGATCACCAACTCACATAAATTTGAAATCCACAAGTGTTAGCTTATTATCTGAAATATGTATGACTGACTCTGTTGATATAAGAAGAAACTGCTTATTTAGGTAAGAATTGACTCTGTTGATATAAGAAGAAACTGCTTATTTAGGTAAGAATTGGGGAGATGAGAGAAAACCATTGTAAACTCAAGACAAGATCATTAGTTTATAAATACCACTCTGGCCTAGTTTATGAGGTTAAGGCTTTGGAAGAGCTCCACGGCCGCGTGGGCAGACATTTCATTTGAAGAAGGGAAGTGTTTCCCTGCTTCTTTTGTTCTGTGCTCTCGGGGTCAAGGTTAAGGCTCTGGAAGAGCTCCACGGCCGTGTGGGCAGACATTTCATTTGAAGAAGGGAATTGTTTCCCTGCTTCTTTTGTTCTGTGCTCTCAGGGTCAAGGTTAAGAACAGATCTGCAAAACGAACATTGGAAGTCATCATCTGTCCAAACTGAGGGTATCTAGCGAGGTAAATCTATTTTTGCAGTAACTGCTATTGCAGATGTACATCTTAATGCAACTACTGGTTTCTAAAGCTTCTTTGTGATAACTCAAATCCGGTCTAAAGAACGAATAAGAATTTGTGGGTTTAAAGAGCGATCGTTATTCAGGCCCGGCCCAGAGGGGATGGGCAAATGTGCCATGGCCCAGGAGGTCATAATTTTTTACACAAAATTACATGTAAAAAATGGCCCATATTCTTTGAAAATAGATATAAAAGGGACCCAATTTTTTAAAAAACACTTATAATGAATGTCCAATTTTTAAAAAATATTCATTTATTAATAATAAATGAACCAAAAAATTTTTTTGGCTCAAGAGCCAATTTTTATGTTGGGCCGGGGCTGTCATTATTAGGTTAAAGCCGGAACTTGAAAAATACACGATGGTTTAGGTCGTCGGAATAAAGACGCCGACCTAAAGTTTTTTAGAAAAGTAAATCGAGGACGATAAGACAATAAATTGCTAGTTTGCCCTAGATCTCGAGAGATGATTTTTGGATAGATTTGAGAAGCTAATAACTTCTATATTTATGCTTGATTAGGTCGGTCTTCTGGAAATAACTTCGTATATCTGAAATAGGAAAACTTCCTTGCTGATAAGGTCACTCTTCCGACTTTTCCGGACTAAGTGTGATAAATGAAGGATTTCCATTTATTTGGCCAACCTGAATATTTTTTGGGTTTTCGAAATGGACCGATCAGAATTCATGTCGGGCTTTTAGAGATAGTACGAATTTAATATGTAATAATTCCATGCAGCGCTTTCACAAGAACAGCATAAACATCTCCATAAGCCAGAGAGTAATAGCTCTTATGTCATTCATCTAAGATCTCTTTTCAAATTTTTTGAGAAGACTTCTGATTTTCTTAGTCATGTGTTGATTGGTAACACTTGCGGAGTGGCAGAATGACGGAATGACGGAATTGGCTCAGATTGGTAACACAATTTTGAATTGTGGAATGGCGGAAAACATATTGCGGATATTGCAGAATTACGGAATATATTTTTTTAACACAATTGGATGAATTATGCAGAATGGCAGAATAGCAGAACGACATTATTCAAAAATATTTGTTAGCTATACAGTTATAAAAAAATATAATATTAATAATTCAATCAACTATTATAAAGGATATAATTTTTATTATAATTTTTTAGTAATTTGTTTTTCAAAATAAAAAAATATATATAATTTTAAATATTAAAAATCTTAAATAATAGATATAACTTTATTATTAAATATTTTATGTAACATTAAATTATTTATTTGTATTTATTTAAATAATAAAATATAATTAGTTATATAATTAAATAATATAAACATTGATTCTGCTGATAATCTACTTCAAACACATTTTTCTGCTTAATAAAGATGTTCTTTGTATTTTATGTAGGTAAAAAGACAATTCCGCAGATATTATGTTTTTGCGTTTTTAAGCAAATTTTTCGTCAAAAGAGAGAGAGTTGGCGAAAAATCGATTTTGATTTGATTTGATTTCGATTGCGACAGACCCCAATGATTAGCGAATTGAGGATAATATTTCTGTTACACAAGTAACTTTTAAGTAAGTAGATATAATTACATAATATAGTTGATTATATTTAACATATACATCGTTATTTCTAGATAGGTTTCCCAATACTAAGGGTTTTGTAGTTTGTATTCAGCTAACTAGAAACTGGATATAACTCTTGGATATAGTCCATTATATACTGCATCTATATAGAACATGCCGAGAAAATAAAAACATGTCCCACTTCTTGATATGGCGGAATCACTTACATAACATATGTTTTATTCCGGACTTTTGGTAAAGAAATAAAAAAATCCTCCGATCAATTCATATGATTGCCTCGCTGCTAAATCAACTTTTGTCGATTATAATTCGCCTTCCGATCGATTTTTTCTCTGATCCTCAGCTCCAACGTCTCTCTCATTCCACTGATCTCATCCGACATCACCTCAGATTCACAAGATAACATTTCTCATCTTTTCATGAAATTTTCTTAGTTTTTTTATCTCTCATGAACTATACCTTGATCAATTCATCCGATTGGTGCTGGGTAAGCATTATCAATAGGTCAATCGCATCAGGATCATCACTTGGACCCGCAAACCTGATGAGAGAGATGAATTCTTCCATGCTTTCGTTTTTGGGCAGACATTTCATTTGAATTAGTTCTAGTTAGATTTTTTTTTTCTGAGTAATAAGATAACTCTGACTCAGATGACATCACTAAAAGCTGATAAACTTTCATAAAACACAAGTTATCAAGTTAAGACATATATATTATAAAAGTTTAGAATTTCATTTTGTACACCAATCGTTCGATAAAATCTCTTACAAAAATTTATTTCTGATTCTAGTTTCAAGACTTGTCGTCATCATCACTAATTTGGTGGTAAGTTTCAAAATATTCAATTTTTTTTTCCTTTTGCCTTTTGTTTTGGTTTTCAATTTTAACTTGAATTTTGAAGGAGAATATATTATTTTCATCTTGCTATCCGTGGATCGGAGATAAATGTATAATAATTTTTTTTTTAATGAGAAGTAATTATAGAAGTTTTAATTTTTTTAAAAAATTATATATAAAATACATTTGCAAACATTATACAGTATTACTAAATAGCTAAGATTATATCATGGCTCCGTAGTTTTGGAAGCTATAAAGTATTTTCGTTATTAGGTTTAAGTTGTGACCGCATGGCTCAGTGGTTTAGAAGGTATTGACTTCAGGTATTGACTTCAAACATTTTGTCAAACATTTCATTTGAATCAATTGTAGTTGGAAATTTTTGTTGCTTTAAATAACGTGACCGTTCTTGTTTTCATATGTAAAGATTCGGAGAACTATTAACACTTGGCCATCCAAAATCAGGTAATGGGAAGTAGATCATAGGCAGGCTCTGCTGCTATTATAATGTTGTGAGGGTAACTTCAGCTAGTAACATCTTATGTGGTTTGGTATCTTCGCTATATATTTGGCAGAAAACGGAACATGCTACATTTTTAGTAATGGGATGCTTCAAGATGAGAAACAAACATGTAAGTTGTAGAACAGAAATCATTTTACTTGTGTGCTTGATTTTCAGAAATGGTGAAAGTTGTTGGTGTATATATGTCCTTTAAGCCTTTCAAGAGGTAAAGAGATAATGATGGCTACTCACTGATATCGCCTTTAATATGTACAGTGGTAGATGCAGTTTCAATTGTGGGAGAGTACCTGAAGCCTTGGTTGAAGCTTCTCTATGATCATCTTGGGTACTTTTTCTTTTGACAAAAAACTGAAATACCTCGATCACTTAGCAGAAGAGAATCATGAGTCCTTACCAAGATTCTCATTTCTGTCTTCGTTTATTTAGTTTGTTGACCCAACGATGAAAGAAACCAATATGGAGAATCGTCCAATTACAAATGAAAATAACATGGACTACTAAAATTCATTGCAGGTGTGTGTATGCTTCATTGCAAACGCTGTAGACTATATCAGTTTTGTAATGTTGTGATGCTAACTTTTGGTCTACATTTATTTAGGAGAAAGCAAATAAGAAGGCAGGAAAGTCTGCAAAACAGACGAAGCAAGCAAAGGCATAGACTGGATCAAAGAACATGAGGGATATGTTTTCAAGGGCTTGTAAGAAAAAATGCTAAACGGTCGAAACCGAAGTCGGTCCAAACTATCAAACATTTTACGATTGTGTTTTTGTTTTTCCATCTATCTAATGATCTTCTTTACTAGCACAACATCACATAGATCTGAAATCCAAAAGTGTTGCTTATTACCTGAAATATGTATATGACTGACTGTTGATATAAGAAGCCATTGTAAACTCAATAACCAAGATCACACCATTTGTTTCTTCTCCGTTTATAAAACACTTTATGAGTAATAAGAAAACTCTGGCTCAATTTACGTTCCGGGACTTGCTAGGTTAAGGCCCTGGAAGAGCTCGGGCAAATGGACATTGGTGAGTTTTGTTATCTCTTTCTTCTTCTCCTTCTTATGCTTGTTGTGTTGTTTATTGATTGTTATGCCCTGCATCTGTGGAGCAGCTCTCCTCGCTGCAGTGTCTGTCTTAGGCTTCAGCCCCATACGACGCAGCTCCTTCTCCACCTTTATGGCGCAACACAGAGCTTTAAGGCCGTCACTAACCTTAATCTCACGGCTGAAACCATCCGGGTACACCACGCCATCTTTTGATATAGTTTCTGATATCAACCAGAAGATGTCACCCGAATCTTTGAGAGCCCGCAAATCCTCCAGGACATTAGAGTAAGCGTGTTTGAGAAGAGCCACATCAATCCCACCAGGGTGTTTATTCACCAACGAAAGAAGCTCGCTCTTGTCCTTGACATCGTGCTTATTAGCCTCCTGTTGACGAAGACGAAATCGAGAAACATGAGAAGAAACTAAATCTGCCTCAGGCTTCAGACGGATCCTACGCAGCACCTTCTCCACCTCCAGCATGTCGCTAGGGACCTCTACGTCCCGGTACAGAGCTTTAAACTCGTCACCAACCTGAGCCTCACACTTGAAACCATCCGGAAACGCAGTGCCCTCTTTCGAACCAGTGTTTGATATCAACCACAAGACTCCTGAATCTTTCAGAGCCTGCAGATCATCCAAGACAATAGAGTAAGCGTCTTTGAGAACATCCGCATCAATCCCATCACGGTGTTTATTCACCGACGAAAGAAGCTCGCTCTTGTTCCCGACACCGTGCTTAGCCTGTAATGAGAAGAAAACTATTTCATATACACCTCGAACTGTTTTGTAGTATATAGTTTTTGTTACCTTGTAAGAGAAGCTTGTTCCGTCAAAATGAGCTCTCGGATTCTTCCTCAAACTCTTCATATCAACAATTTGCTCTGTCGTAAAGGCTTCCCTGGTCTACAAAACCCTAAATCTATAAACGATTTTATAAAGAGAAAAAAAAAAAAAAAAAAAAGAGGAGACGCAAACCTTAAACAGACTATCAATGGCATTCTTCATTTGAACCAGAGCATCTGTTGTGTTGAATGTGCTCTGTTGTACATGGAACTTGACAGGCCGCTTCTGACTGTCACTGATTTCTGCAGAAGAGGCAATGCTCGATAGCGTATCTTGCTGTTTCTTGAACTTGTCTAGATGCTGCTGATTTAAAGCCATCTACAGAGAGAGCAAAACCAAAACCCTAACTGAACATCTGGTAAATTATGTTTGAACAATTAGGTCATGAACAATGAAATCAAATCCATATGTATACCTATTATAAGCAGTTTACGTGTCAATAACCAATAACTGTATGAAACAAATCAACAATCAAATCTTTAGATCAATGTACAGAGAACACACGATCCACTTCAAATCGAACATCGGATCATCGAGAATATACACATAACTTTAAAATACTGGATGGGATTTTCCACAACTTAAAACATCCCTAGTTAATATCCATCTTTACGCAAAATTATGCAATTACGAATGGATCAATCTCTTCCGTACTTTATCCCTTCGTAGTAGTAATTTGTTTCTTTGCTCCGGTAAAGAGAGGAAGCGATTTTGTTCTGTTCCCCAACTATTCTATTTACAAAGAACTCTTGTGACACAAGTCGGATATTATTATTTGAAGGCCTAAATAAAAGTGTTGTTTGGGTCTTATAAAGCCCAATAAAGATGTAACTTTCTCAGTCTCGTCTTCTTTTTTTTTTGGGTCAAAATTATTTATTTTCTACCTTTCTTCTGCCATTGATCATCTGAGAGTATTCTTCGGACTCTTCCTCTAAAGTTAAAGCAACAATTTCTTGTCGATAGCTCTGTTTCCTATTGCATTATTACCGGTTAGTTTCATTTACCCTTTTGGGACATTTATTTGAGACTTCTATTTTCTTCAACTGAGATTATTCAATGGGTTACGACTTAAGTAGAAGACAGACGAATCGTTGCGAGTAAATCAAGACTCCGAATATACTTCTGATTAATGAGACGAAGGATTAAGCTTTGCGAGTATATTAGTTTGGATCCGTAATTGGAACTCTCCGCTTTGCGCTTGGAGAAGATTCAGTAGGAAGTGTTGCAATTTTTTTTATTAATTACCAAACCAGTTTTGATTCTTGACACAGCCATGGAGTTAGAGAGCTTCAGGGTAGGTCTTACCCCGACAGTATTCTACATTCCCAGTTTTATAACTGATGAAGACCAAACTCAGCTCCTCAATCATGTAAGCTCCTCTCCTAATTATTTTGCGTCCTGACATGTTGATTTTGTTCCTCTTTGAAACATTAAGTTCCCATTTTGCTGTCCTGTTAAAGATATATGGAGCTTCTGGTTCCAAGTGGAAGACATTAAAGAACAGAAGATTACAGAACTGGGGTGCGTGAGGATACTTTTTTTTTTTTACACTTCCCTCATACTTTGATTTCCATTACATCGTGTGTGTGATTGTTTGAAAGAAGCAAAAAAGTCTTGACCTTTGGCTTGTTCTGCAGGTGGTATGGTCCATGAAAAGGGTCTTGTTCCACAAGAATGTAAGTAGGAGTTAGAAAAACGTCCAATCATTCTTTTGATATTCGAAATTCTAAATTACTCATAGATTATATATACACATCATTTGCTTTGTTTCAGTGCCGTCTTGGCTGACAAAGATTACAGCGAAAATTCATGAAAGCTCGGGTCTTTTCCCTGCTGCTATCAATCATGTCCTCATCAACGAATACCATCCTGACCAAGGGATAATGGTATGTCATCCCTTTCGTATTCAGTGCCTAAAATCTTCTCTTCTTGCTTGAATGGTTTTTTGGGTGTATTCTCCGGTTTTAGTTTTCTCATTTCTATCAAAGTTCATGAGCGAGTTTTGAAACTTCCATGGTTGTTTTTTCCTACAGCCGCACCAAGATGGACCCGCTTATTTTCCTGTTGTAGCTATCCTGTCTCTAGGCTCACCTGCCGTTATGGACTTTCGTCCGCATTTAAGATTAAGATCAGGCGACGATGGTATTTCCAGAGATCAAGGTTCATGTGCAGAGAGTTGTGTGCCAGAGAGAGATAATCAACGCTCATTCTCTGTCTTGATGATGCCTCGAAGCTTACTGATCTTTAAAGATGAAGCATACTCAGGTAAATTTTCTCATCTATGTAAACTTTATCTTTAAACTACATAATCCGGAACATTTTTGAACAGCCGGTTTAACTCATATTATCTTGTCTTGTTTTTCAGATTTCCTCCATGGCATTAGCGATAGTCCAACACAATGCTACAAGCAGGTGCAACACAAAGCTCTTTTTTCATATGTAAAATGGTAGTGACATTATACATTGTTGTAAAGGAAAGTGATTTTATTGTGGTTTCATGCTCAGGTCGTTAATGAAGCTGAAGCTTTTGCTTACTCGGAGAATTCTAGTGAAGATTCAAGAACAGATGGTGACAAGATTCTTCACAGAGACCAAACTCGGGTTTCACTTACTTGCCGTTTAGTGCCCAAAGTCCATAAGAATCTGTTCAGGTTTTAAGAGATTGTAGTTTGATAACAGAACAACATGTAGTTTCCCTAATGACGTTAGATTTTTCCCACCGTTTTATGACTGTAAAAAGACGGCACGTTTCGTGGCGTGTGAACTTAAAAACGGCACGATTTGTGTTTGTGGAAACTTGAGGACAAAGAAGTTGCAACGGATAGGATTAAATATGAGCCCTTCATATTTTTCTTTTATTTTCTTCTGAAGAGATAACACTATACAATCTCACTCTATCCCCAAATCTCCTTCTTCTCCTCCAAAAATCCTCCAAATTTCAAAACCCTAGATTCTCGATTTCTCCTCTGCTCCAATTCGTCTTCCAATGGCGATTTCGGCTCCAGCCGCTTGTTCTTCCTCCTCTAGACTCATATGTTCCTACTCCTCTCCTTCCCCTTCTCTCTGCCCCGCCGCTGTTTCCGCCATTTCCACCTCCGGCAAGCTCAACACCCTAAATCTCTCTTCCTCCTTCCTCCCTTCATACTCATTGGCTAGTCTCTCCTCCACCACCTCCGCTTCTAAATCCACCCGCCGCTCTTTCACCGTGCGAGCTGCTCGTGCGAAGTTCGAGAGGAAGAAGCCTCACGTGAACATCGGCACGATTGGACACGTTGACCATGGGAAGACCACTCTAACCGCAGCTCTCACCATGGCTCTAGCTTCAATTGGATCCAGCGTCGCTAAGAAGTACGACGAGATCGACGCCGCGCCGGAGGAGAGAGCTCGCGGTATCACAATCAACACCGCCACGGTCGAGTACGAGACCGAGAACCGTCACTACGCTCACGTCGACTGCCCTGGTCACGCCGATTACGTCAAGAACATGATTACCGGAGCTGCTCAAATGGACGGAGCTATCCTCGTCGTCTCCGGCGCCGATGGTCCTATGCCGCAGACGAAAGAGCATATCCTTCTCGCCAAGCAGGTCGGCGTTCCCGACATGGTCGTCTTCCTCAACAAAGAGGACCAAGTAGACGACGCGGAGTTGCTAGAGCTCGTTGAGCTTGAGGTGCGTGAGCTTCTCTCGTCGTATGAATTTAACGGTGACGATATCCCGATTATCTCTGGCTCTGCACTTTTAGCCGTAGAGACTCTCACCGAGAACCCCAGTGTGAAGAGAGGCGATAACAAATGGGTAGACAAGATTTACGAGCTCATGGACGCTGTTGATAGCTACATCCCAATCCCGACGAGGCAAACCGATTTGCCCTTCTTGTTAGCTGTTGAAGATGTGTTCTCTATCACCGGACGTGGTACAGTGGCCACGGGACGTGTCGAGAGAGGCACGGTTAAGGTAGGAGAGACTGTAGACTTAGTGGGTTTGAGGGAAACTAGGAGCTACACAGTCACTGGGGTCGAAATGTTTCAGAAGATTCTCGACGAGGCTTTAGCTGGTGACAATGTAGGATTGTTGCTTAGGGGTATTCAAAAGGCTGATATTCAGAGAGGTATGGTTTTGGCAAAGCCCGGGTCGATTACTCCGCATACCAAGTTCGAGGCGATCGTGTACGTGTTGAAGAAAGAAGAAGGTGGAAGGCATTCTCCGTTCTTTGCAGGGTACAGGCCTCAGTTCTACATGAGGACGACGGATGTTACGGGTAAAGTGACGAAGATTATGAACGACAAGGATGAGGAGTCGAAGATGGTTATGCCCGGTGATCGAGTGAAGATTGTTGTTGAGCTTATTGTGCCGGTTGCTTGTGAACAAGGGATGAGGTTTGCTATCAGAGAAGGAGGTAAGACTGTTGGTGCTGGAGTTATTCAGTCTATCATCGAATGATTTTAATAATAAGATAAAAATGGAGTTTTTAGAGAGTTTCACATAGTGAGCAATCTATCTACTTGCTTTCTTTTTGTTTCCCTTCTTCAAGTTTGTTTTGCTTGTCCTTTTTTATTTTTGTGCCATTTTCTATAAGAACTCGAAATCAACATGTCATATATTTCTTGATTTTTCTGACCTTCCATATAATTCTTGCATTTTGATGTTGGCTTTTCGGTCCGAAGAAGATCAATCCAGATTGTGAAACTTCGCTTAAGATAATAATAACCAATTGTAAGCGTTTTTATTTTCTGAATTTGAGCTACAAGTTTACAATCACTTACAGTAGTTCAAAAGCAATGGAAAGATTACATTACCATTTCTTACATACTCGTGAAACACAGAATTTTAAATTACATAAAGATTCGAAAATAACCAAAAGAGGAAAGTTGAAATGTGAAGAGATAACCAAAAAAAGAAGGAGAGAGTCTATGGAATACGACCACCACCTCTGCCACTGTAAGATGGACCTGTTTCGATCTCACCATTTGTTTGATAGCTCTTCACTCTCCTCCCTAACAACCATTACTATTAGCTCTGACGAAAGACAATTATTTGAAGTAGTTCATATAGTTTGTGTGTATAGTGTTGTATATTATGAGACAGTTAAAACACACTAACCAGCTCTTGGGAGTGATTCTTGTTTAGAAGCGAGAACAAGACTGTTGCAAAGAAGAAGAAGCAGAAAGAACACAAAACCCAAATGTGAAAAGACCTTCTTTCCCATCTTGCTCAAAATCTTTGTTTGCTCTCTTAGTTTGTTAATTTGTTATGTATATATAGAGAGTTAGAGACTGATTAGAGATAGGTTTAGTCAACGGAGAAAATTTAAGAAAGATTCTAATTACAAAATGGCATTAGTCCTCCAACTTGGTCCTTCGATTATGACTTGTTTTATCTTCTATTTAGCTCCATACTAGTATAATATTTACTCCCATTAATAAATTATTTCTTAATTTGATCTCTCTTTCTAGGTTCGAGGCGTTGTTTTAGACCCGTGAAGATAGAGAAAGAGCCAAAAAGACACCTCAACGTCACTGACGTGGATAATAAGATATATTTGCAAGGCTGAAGATGTATAGAAATGTAGTTTGTTTGATTTAAACTTGAGATCAGTTTGTGACATTACTAGATATTATTTATACAGATTTCTCAGAACCGGAAGCTGGTTTGTTCTCTTGATGCATGGTGATACCTACAAATATGAAGTTTCATGTCTCTCAGATTCGTCTCAGTGAAGCTAATCTCCTCTCTAGATCATCCACTTCAGTAGATTCCGAGCTGCAAGAAGAGTTAACAGATGTAAGAAATAGATGAACTATCTATCCCAAAGAATCTTTATGTATCAAAGTTAGTAATGTGGACTCATATGTAATGTACATACTCATTCTTTTGGCTCTTGTTCTTGACTGTGGTGGGAGCAGCCGTTTTTGTTGCAATACGGCCCTTCGGCGCTGAAGATAGCTGTTTACAAAGAAGCAAGAAACAACGAGAATTGAGAAATAGTTACCTTGACAAATTTAGCCTAACTGTTTAACAAAACTAACCTGAGATGCAACACCAACACCAATCTCATCGAGCACCTATAATAACGAAGAATATATAAAGGAATGAGTTAGATAGCGTAAGCTTGGAAAAAACTAACGAGAGGTGTGAATGAGTCTTGATTCTTGTGATTGAGATTGCAGTAAAAACTAACCTGGTTAGTGAGATCTTCTGTTTCTTCTTCAGCTTCGTCTTTGTCAAGTGTTTCATCAATCGCCTCTGACATCATCTCTATCTGCAAATTACAAAACACAAAACACAAAAACAAACATGACACAGCCAATCTTAGTGGTCACACCAAGAACTTAAAAGTGAATAGAGAGATTGCTTACCGTCATGTCCAACTGTGCAGACTGCTTCTGGAACTCCTTGATCACTTTAGCTTGTTTCGTCGGTGCCATTTGCTGAAAGTGTGAAACAACAGAGCAAAGATATGTTAAAAAGAAATCAGAAAACCCCAACAAAAGTAGTAAAAATGAAGCAAAGTGGGATCATTACCTTGTTCATTGCAACCATAGCTGTGGTTGCACCTTTCATGCCTGATGAGATTGAGGTGCTTGCATACAAAGCCTATATGTTATTATTATCAACAAACCACCAAAGAAAACATTAAGTATGTTAATAGTTGTATCGAAGCATGTGAAGATGAATGTGTGGAGAGATTTAAGTAACCTAACCTGTGTATGAGTGGTTACACCCCGGATTTGAGCTCGGCTTCCTTGCAAATTGGTGATCTGTTGCCTCAATCGAACAAGTTGTCGAGCTAAGATCTTTGTGGCCGCCTATGACAAAAAGTTTTAATCAAAACAAGCTTATTAACGTAGAAGAGAAGAGTCTTGAGAGGAAGTTTAAATAGCCAAAAATGAACCAACAAGCTACTAAACACTACAAAAGAAACTGTGAAAATTGCAATTCAGTCCTCTGCAGGCCTTACCTCATTTCCAGTCTTGGCTGTTTTCTTGATTTCTGCCACAAGCCTCTTCTCCTAATTTACCATGTCAGTAAAAACTGTGAGAATTACTAATGTAACAGCACGGCGGTTGATAAAAATCATAGAAGAAGAGTTGACAGATGTCATCTACCTCCAATTGAAGAGATGTAATCTCGCGTTCAATACCTGCAATTACATTGTGAAAATCCAAAATACTATATGAAAAATGTAAATGAAGTTATCACTTTATACAGTAATACAAAGAAACAAACTCAGCTAGCATCGCGTGATGCAACTACTCTAGTCAAAACTAAGGCAAAATAAACCCACAAGGTCTGATTCTTGCCTATTTTATAAATCTGATCTAAAAGATAACAGAGAACAATCAAGAACATGGGAGATTCACCTAAGCTAGACCCGACAGAGACTATATCACCTAAGAGACTCTACAAAAACAACTCTATGAAGATGGTTTCAACTTCAATGGACTGATAAGATATATCATCTATCACAGCTCTAAGACTTCCCTTTGCTACACTGTTTTCAGACCGACAAAATATAAATCTGCTTATAGAAGAACGCATACCTCGTGTAGCCACAGCCATTTCTCTCTTGCTAGTGCGGAGAGCATCTGCACAAGAAGTGATTTTCGATTAGAATCAAAGCAGAATCAGAGCAAAAAAAAACACAAGATTCAATTACTCGAGAGAAGCATCATTGTCTGAGACAAAAGCGTAAGTTGCTAATTAAGCAGAAAAAAACACATTCACTCAACAAAGTCTACGCTTTAGTATGGATTTAAAATGACCCCAGAGGAATATTCACACTACACTGTCCGATACTTAGACACAGAATTATTTAGAACCAAGAAGAATTCTCAGTCCACACCGTCAAGTTCAAGCACAAGTAGATTTAAAGGTGGCATTTTTGCAGAATCCTTCTATAGCCAACAAATATCAGTTTGCAATGAGGATACGAGAAAATTCGAAAATCAAGGGTAAAATCAAGGCTTTACCTTTGGGAGTGATCTTCTTCTTGAAAATGTTCATGGCTATCGTCGATTGAAGGAAGAAATCCCTAATCTTGTGCTTGTGTGAGAAAAAAAAAAAACCCTAATCACGGTTTTAGATGGAAGTGAAGCTGATCTGCCGAAAGAGAGAGAGAGAGAGAAGACTGAAGTGGAGAAAAGGTGTGTCCTTTAATTTCTCCTCTTAGTCTTTGTTTTGTGACTGTAAATATTCTTAGTTTTGGTCCATCAAACGCAACGGCACAATGTGAGTGAGGTTAAGCCGTTACACTAGAAAATGAAATCATCTTAATGCTCTTCTTGAAATGAAATCTCCTCTTAATGCTCTTCTTAAAATGTGTTGTTAATACACTTAAGTATACTTGTCTCTTTCCTATTTTGGTCAACGTCTATTTTTATCTGTTCTTTTTTTTTTACTTTTCTTTCTATATATATATATATATATAAAATGTCTCATCACATTATGTTTGAACCGCTGTTAATTCTACCGTAAACTAATACATTCTTAATTATTTATACATCAACTATGAAGCACCTTGTCCGGTCATATATTTTTCTATAATTTTTATCATATTTTTATTATTGTTTTATAAAATGTACATAAGTTATGTTACCATCTCATCTTCTCATATTTTAAATAAAAAAAAAAATTCTATATCATATTCATATATATATATATATATACATAAATCTTTTTCCATTATATATCAAAAATTTGAGATCATAAATAAAATGAAATATAACCGAACGAAAGAATAAATTAAAATAAGATGAAACAAATATGAATAAAAAAAATAAAAGTATATATAAATAAATTTCTCTCACTTTGTTTTACAAAGTCACTTTAAAAAATTTTAACATGTAAGAACTATATTTTGACTTTCTTTATAAATATGCGTACATACATAAATATTAATTGTGCATTAGTTAAAGCCACATACAAACTTTTTCATACATGTATTTTGTTAAGCTTGATTACAGTCTAATTTTTATTTTAATTATTATACAATTAATATTTTTAAAAAATATTTATCTATTCTTAGTGTAGTGAAATGGTTGGTATGCCCGCACATGAGTGTCAACCATCTATCCGCTCTTATGAATAAGTAAAAATGGTAAAAACTATTTCATTTTAATTTGCAAAAAATCAAGAAAAATATTTACTTAAAATATATTATATATGTATTTGCAAATTCATATTATGTAAGACGCAAAAAATATATTGTAGATTGTGTAAGGAAAAATAAAGCATATTATAGAAATATTCAAAAAATATTATAAGAATTTAATTATTATTTAATATAACTTTTTATTTGTGATTATATATTCTTACAAACATTATAAAAATAAAAAGTTTTAAAATACATTGGTTTCAGAAAGAGATTTGTGAAATATTAAAACAATATATATATACAAACATATCAATGTTTAAAAAAACTAATCAATACATAAATATTACAATTAACTATATATATCAAAAAAATTATACCCGCACATATGTGCGGGCCAACCACCTAGTATATATATAAAATGTCTCATCACATTACTATAAATATTCTGGTCGGACGAGGTGCTTGAACCGCTGTCAATTCTACCGTAAACTAATACATTCTTAATTATTCATACATCAACTATGAAGCAATGCCGAAAACTATATGAAATATTAAAAAACGGCCAATTCCACTATAAACTAATAAATTCTTAATTATTCATATATCAACTATGAAGCAAAGCCAAAAACTACATGAACTATTGAAATATTTGAATTTCCATCATAACCTTTAGAATTGTGGTCGAAACCAACAATATTGTAGACGTCAGACCGACATGTGGGTACTCAAAATGACGTCGTTTTTTAATTTGAGTGTGAAAAACTTTGTCTGGAGCAACGAGGATCACTACAAAATTTCTAGGATCTGAAATTAACCAAAAACTTTGATTGCTTCTAGAATTCTAAGATCTGAAATTGTAAAATTTTCTTCCTTTCCTTCCTCAACCTCTATCGACATCACTTGATTGCTTCTAGGGTATTAAGATATGAAATTGTGAAAATTTCCCCCAAACCAAAAAGAAACGATGAAGAGAAAGTTTTTTTGGTTAATTCTCGACATAAGGCAAAACTACTTGGTTTTATGTATTTCACACTCAAATTACAAAACGACGTCGTTTTGAGTAACCACGTGTTGGTTCAGCCATCAGCAGCTAACAGTCAAACTCACGACGTTTATATCGTTGGTTTCAACCACAATTCTAAAGGTTATGGTGGAAATTTAAACATTTCAATAGTTCACGTAGTTTTCGGCATTATTTCATAGTTGATGTATGAATAATGAGGAATATATTAATTTATGATTGGAATTAGCCGTTTTTCAATTGTTTATGTAGTTTTCGACATTGCTTCATAATTGATGTATGAATAATCAGAAATGTATTAGTTCACGGTGAAATTGGTCGTTTTCCTCCTTGAACCGCTTGGTATCATTCACATTTCATGTATGGGTTGGTTTATAACACAGTGCGATTAAAACTGGGATGTGGTTCATTTTTTTCCTTCCACATTAATCTTTAAATGGTTCAAATGCGGTTCACATTTCTATATATAAACAACATATGAACATTTTAATGATTAATACGATTTTACCTTACCAAACAAAATATTTTATGAACATTCGAATTATTAATAATTAAATTAATTAAATTTCATTCAGTTTTCATGGCTTGTTCCATTTGTTCTACACGGCACGATGTATTGTCAGTCACCACTAAAATCTTCAATTTTTATATTTGTTGTGTGTCGCAATTATTATTACTACATAGTATAAAGTTCAAACTACTTTATAACATACATATCTTTCCTCCCTCTCAATTATTACAACTTTAAAGTGCAAAAGATGTCAGCGTGCATCAGTACTTATTTCATCACTTCCTTTTTTCGCTAGTATATATCTTTAGAAGTGATTTATTACAATGACGTGGATGCTTAAACACGAGTCATTAGGTTATGCGATATACGAAAAGGATGAGTTTAAAAAAAAAAAAGTAGGGCATCTCTACGTTCTTCTGCCTCCACACCCATTCTCCCTCTGACAATTGAAGAAAGAGACAGCCACAGGGAGACCAAGATTGTACATCTCAGCGAACTCACGAGTGTTGAACTGTTGGCGCCACCCTGGTGCATAAACCGTTTGTCTTCCTAGTTGTCGGAACAGTACTAGCACGAGCCGGTGAATCCCTGAAGGAGGACGTGGATTCTCATAGCACATCATCTCATTGCCTGACAAGTTACAACAACAAAAACAAGAAGCAATCATCAAAATGGAATATTAGATTATAAGCTTTAAATGGTTGCAACACACACACACACAGACACAAGCGGACTAGATTTGAGGCGGATAAACATATAATTTCAGAAATTTATCTACATGCAGCGTACAAAACTTCCTCTTCCATGGCTAATACTATTCAAAGGCTAACTAAGTATAGATTTGATTAAACTTACCAAAGTTCGCTCCAGTTGTGGCAGGTATATCAGTCACCAACCTGTAACGAGAGTACCCATGCATTTGGATTTAAGATATCGTGTAACCAGATAATTAACTAATTAGCTACTTGAACAACACAAGCTTAATTTTTTTTTTTTTAGTCTACAGCATAGAAAGGACATGTTGTTGCGTGCTAGCTATATATGATATAACTTGACACTCTAAAGCAGAAACTAACTCTGACGACAAGGCATGTTATGTACTTGTCGTCATGTATATATATAACTATATATAGAATTATCTGTGTAATTCATATTGAATACGTACGAAATAATATATTGTCAAAAGTTGCTCTCTTAAAGTTTATATTCTGTATGTCCCTAGTCCCCTTCTATTATAAGTGTAATATCTACTTTTGTGTGTCACTTGAGAAATAATTATTTCGGAAGTCTACTATATATATATATATATATATATACAAACATATGACCAGTCGATATCTATTAAATTCGAACACGAAGTGTGTGAGGCTTTATTTATCTCTTATGTAAAGTTAAATGAAATGAACAGAGATGATACAAACCAATGGAGATATTCTCGGAGGTAAGGGTTGCTTGGATTTGGCACATCTGGATCCACCATAACCTTTCATTAAATCCATTTCACACTAACCGTATAAGAAGATATTCGATTATATGAAATATCAAAACAATCACGAGGCTTCTTTCTGTTTGTTTTTGATTAAGTCTGATTGATGATAACACAAGAAAGAGCTAAAAGTTCAAATTAAACCCTTAAAAAGAAAGGAAGAAGAAGCTGCTTAAATGAAGAAAGAGGTAGTAGTTACATGTTCATGAAGAAAATTGAAAAAAAAAAAACATTGGCTAATTACTTTGGGTATCAAAGGTCTTCTTCGAAACCAGAATTAAACAAAAAACAACGTGACACGGTAACTGAGGAGTCTATTACGTTAACGTGAAGATATGTGTTGAACTTTAGTTTAAGGATTAAAGAAGAAATTAAGTAGAAGAACCAACCAGGGTGTAGAAGTTTCTGAAATCTTCTCCTCCAATCTCGACCGTTGGTTTGTTCAGAACTTGGGAAGGTCTTAGATCCAAGCCATTAGTAACCTCTCTATGGCCATAAGCAACCCTAAGAGAGACCAATCTCGTGAATGGATCAACAACATCTCCAACAACTCTTCCCACCACAAGAGGATCTCTCGGACTTAAAGACATAAATATTCTTTCTCAAGTCTCAGAAAAAGGTTTGCTTCTTACCTTATCAACCCTTTACTTCTATTTCTATATATAGAGATAATATTTTGGGAAATTTGCAATAATTAACTTGATTTGTTGGAATGAAATGATTACTACGGTCTTTTTCGTGTCTGTCATCTTCGAGAATCTAAAACTGGTTCGACGTACGTACATCACTTATTATCTTCCTATTCATGTTATTTCTTTCCTTTTTCTGTTTGTGGTATTCTAATTCCAAACCCACCCACTTAAACATGAATCATAATATTCCAAATTATACATCATCCACTTGCTACACTTGCTACTTGCTCTAGCCACTATAATGCTTGATTCATTACCTTCAATCGAATACATTTGTCGAGCATATATATTATTCATCATTACATATACTAAAACTACATGAGTTACGACGAATACAAATTATAACACCATAGATTCAATTCACATCTCTACTTTTATCAGTTAGACAAAAAAATTTATTTAACTAAACAGAGCTGTATATTTAATATTACATATATAACGAAAACATACAATTACAATAAAGTACACGTTAACTCAAGAGAATTAGGGAATCAAAGGTTGAGTTCAATCATGATTGATCACTGCATTTATACGCTTATATACATGGTTTCTCACATGCTTCAAGTAAAACTCTAGATTATATTTCGGTTTATGAAAAAATTTCGTTATAAAAGTGATACACTTATGACCAAAGTACCATACTTATGACCGTATGTAAGACATTAAATTATATAAGAAAATAAATTTAATTATAATAAATGATATATATACATTTTTTTCCCAAATATTACCCTAATAAATATATATTTAATTACATATTACTATTGTTAGATATGTTGGGTATATATTGTTAGATATTTAATCATTGGGCCAATCAAACCCAATAAAAAGTTGAAAATCCAATAAATTCGAACTTTTTTTATCAGTTACCATCATAGCCTAGAGATTTATCATTTATACAGTGTCTTGATCGTTTTATTTGTGTTTTTTTGGTATGAAATATGAATATTATTGATCTTTATTTGTTATTAAGGTCAAACAGAGATATATAACGGGAAATTGGCACTGATGACCATAAAAAAAATTGAAATTCAGCAAATAACCATAACAATTGGGGTGCTATAGTATTCATTGTATGTTTTACAATATATATGAAATTACCCTTTTTAATTTTAACGATATTTTTTTTTCTCCTCTTCTGTGATCTTCTCCCCTTCCCCTACCGTTCCTTCCCTTTCTTTCCTGGTTTTTTATTTTTCTTCTTTTCTTTTTCGTCCTCTCTCTTCTCCTCCCTCTTTCTCCCATTTCCCTCCCATTTCTATCCCTTCAGTTTGTAAATAGTATAAATAGTATAGTATAACAATAAAACTAATATGTAATCACTATACTATATTAGTTTTGTCGAAAACAAAACACATATTATAGTATAGTCCAGAAAAAATATAGACAACATGTGTTTTCATAATATTCTCACACGAAAAAGAAGAAGATTTTAGTAATTTTTATGTGGGTCATGATTAGTTTGCATATTATTTGAACAGCATAGCTATATTCTTATGCTTTGATTGTTTTTCAAATATGGTTATATAACGAAAAAGCCATATATAACTCTGCATTTTTCCGTAATTTTTTAAAAGAACACTTTTTTCGTTTTTTTTTTTGATAGAACCATAAAAATACGTATATTATATGATTTTTAAGTGGATTGGATTTATCGAGTGGTATACTGGTATAAGACTTAATTAAACATATATCGGTTTAATCCAAAATCGATCCGATCTAAATTTGATCTGTATGTTGTTCTTATGGAACCATCTGAAGATTTAAGAAAAGTCAAGTCCTTACGGAATAATTTAATCGATTGACGTAGTAAGTTTGACTGAATAATTCATATTTTATAGTTAGCAGCACTTAGCAGAAGCCAATCGCTGCGTTTGAACCGCCTTTTGAAACGTCCAGACCAGATTTTATAAGCGCGTTTTAAGACATCATATTATTTTGAGCCAGACAACGCTTTTGTCGGGAAAAAAAAAAACCTAGGTGTCTTAACGCGTCAAGTAAAAAAAAAAAAAAATCCATAAATCAAAAGCGTAAAAATACAGAGAGATAAATCCGGGTAAGAGATTTTCGGGAAGAGAGAGAAAAAGAGCAGGGAGAATCGAAATCAATTGTCCATTACTCAGTTTGGATTGGCTTTTCTGATTTCCGCGGGTTTTGCAATCGATTCCCTTTCATCTCCAGTCGGTAAGATCGAGCACAAAATCTCTTTATCTCTTTTCAAATTTTCTGGAATTTGCAATCTCAATACTGTTCGTTTAATTTATACAAAATTATTCTTATTTGATTATGGATGCAGAAGTTTTGGCTTTGAATTGGATTTGGGGTTTCGGTTCAAAAGTCAGCTCTTTTAATTTCTCTATTCCTTTTGTGTTCCCGGGAGAAATCAGGTGAGTCTTTTTTTTATTTAAAGGTTTCTGAATCTCCCCAATAGCTTTTGATGCAATGACGCATGCATATAAGTATTGTTTTGAATTGAGAATTGAGAAAATGGTTAGCGTGAAGCAAATTGTGATTGATTTATTGGATAAACCAACCAAACAGAGATGCAGGACCAGCTCGTTTGTCATGGCTGTAGAAACACATTGATGTATCCTAGAGGAGCAACGAACGTGCGTTGTGCGTTATGTAGCACCATCAACATGGTTCCTCACCTTCCTCATCCTCATCATCCTCCTCCTCCTCATCCTCACGGTATTGGTTTAGTCTGTGAGACCTATATATGCTTTGTTGATTGAGTCTGGAGTCTGAACACAGCTCATGCAGGGATGGACATGGCTCACATTGTGTGTGGTGGTTGTCAAACAATGCTTATGTATACTCGTGGCGCAAATAGCGTAAGATGCTCTTGCTGTCAGACTGTGAACCTTGTGCCAGGTACAATGTAGAGTACTGTAGCTGTCAAATACCTTAAGTTAGGATTTGTAGATAAGCCTCTAAGTTGATTGTATTTGGATGTTGTATGCTTTGCTTCTTGGGTTTTGCTGAAACTGTGCTTTGGCTTTTGTGATATGGACAGCACACTCGAATCAGGTTGCACATGTCAATTGTGGGCATTGTAGGACGACCCTCATGTATCCTTACGGTGCATCATCTGTTAAATGTGCTCTTTGTCAATTCGTTACTAACGTTAACGTGAGTGCACTGTACTCCTCCTTGGCTTTCACTTGTGTGTTAAAGTATAAATTTTGATTTCTTGATTTTCACTTTCTCATCCACACAGATGGGCAATGGAAGGGTTCCTCTGCCAACTAGCCGGCCAAATGGAACAATGCCCTCTACATCCACTGTGAGTTATTCAAATTTATGATTTTTGTAATAACTCTGTTAGATTCTTAAGGAAGTAGCACTCACTTACTCTGTTCATTGGGGTTTTTTCGATTTCCAGCAGTCAACACCACCCTCTCAGACCCAAACCGTTGTTGTAGAGAACCCCATGTCCGTTGATGAAAGTGGAAAGTTGGTGAGTATTAGTATCTTTTGTCTTCTTTGTTCTTCTTGTTTGACAAAGTGACTGAACACACACACACAAATTGCAGGTGAGCAACGTTGTGGTTGGAGTGACAACCACCGACAAAAAATAACCGAGAATGAGTGATCTGAAAGATCAAAATAGATTCATCTATCCCTGCGTCTGGCTTGTGCATATTACATACGCGGATAAAGTTTCTGTTTACATACCTCATGACTCCTTTTTTTTAAACCCAAGAAAAAGGCTTATTCAGTCAGAATCTCTTTGTTTGAGTTTTGTTTTTTGTGGGTTTTTTTCAAAGTTGATGAACACAAAAGGTTTTTTTTTGTTTTGTTTGGTCTAATAATCTTGGATTCCTGTTTGTAGACTTCTAAACTCCATTGGCCCTTTGTGGCATTGTTAATGTACAATCTGATACACCAGCCAAACATTAAGATTTTTGGGTTTGAAATCTGTTTGCTTCATGGAACAGGAACATGTCAAGAAACTACTGATCTTAGCTTTGGTAGATAAGACTCGTCTTAAAATCTGGAAATCTGTTTTGCAGTAATCTTTTCACAACGACCAAAACCTAATCGATAAACTCCAAGAACCTTAAAGTTAGATGATCTGACAAAACCTCCAAACAAGACCAAATACAAACTTCTTTTTATATAAATACACTGTCACATTTGACACAGAGACTCATCACTTTTCTCTTGATCACTCACTGCATCGACTATGGCCGGAGAGAAGAAGATTCCGTTGACAAAGAGCTGGAAACTACTCCTGGGGCTGAGAATATTTGCATTCATGGCTACTTTAGCTGCAGCCATTGTAATGGCACTGAACAAAGAGACAAAGACTTTAGTTGTGGCCACCATTGGCACTATTCCTATCAAAGCCACTTTAACCGCTAAGTTTCAGCACACACCAGCTTTCGTGTAAGCTCACAAAACCTTACATTAAGGACTAGATTCGATACCTGTGGAAGTTACTAACTCTGATTCTTGGTGAAAAAAAATGTATTTACAGGTTCTTTGTTATAGCTAATGTGATGGTGAGTTTCCACAACTTGTTGATGATTGCTCTTCAGATTTTCAGCCGAAAACTGGAATACAAAGGTCTCCGTCTCCTCTCCGTAGCTATTCTCGACATGGTATAAACATATAAAAACCATTCTCGATTGAATCAGTTCAGGTTTATATACTTTCAATACTACATGTATTGACTCGGTTTCTTGATAGCTAAACGCCACTCTGGTATCTGCGGCTGCAAACGCGGCGGCGTTCATGGCGGAGCTGGGAAAGAACGGGAACAAGCACGCCAAGTGGAACAAAATCTGTGACAGGTTCGCCACTTACTGCGATCACGGCGGAGGAGCACTCATCGCCGCCTTCGCCGGAGTCATTCTTATGCTCATCATCTCCGCCGTCTCCATTTCCCGCCTCTTACTCGATTCTAAGAAGTTCTCCACCGCCGCTACCGCCACATCTCCGTCGGATCTCGCCGCCGTGTCCTAAAACACGGCCGTCAGAATTCAGGAATGTGTGTATAAATGAATATATTGTTGTGATTTACTTTGTGTGTTGTCTCTCAACTCTCAAGTGACGACTATTCGATTGTCTAGTGCACTGCTCTGTTTTGTCACTTTCATTTCTTTTTTATTTCTCAATTACTTCTTATATTAAATTTGGTTAACCCATATATAATTTTACTAAACTGTTTACATAAAGTCTAGAAAGTCAATCCGAATTATATAGTCCGCATACAACTTCATTTTGTACTATTGAATGAAAGCTAATAAATCTAAAAATTAATCATGAGTATTGAAAGTTTTGTTTTATTTAGTAAGTAAATTACTGTTTACTAGAGTGAGAGAGATAAAAACCTAAAATGAATGAAAACGTTTCAGTAAGTTTCCTAACAAAAGATTTAGGGGTCAAAGATTTATGACTGAATAAATCTTTGATTTTCTGTTTATATAATATTCAAAAATGCTATCTCCTTTTGTTTTTTGGTTGGGTATGTATATATAAACGGATTAAAGATCGTTTAATTTTGTGGTTCTTACATAAACTGATAATCTTCATTTGGCGGCTTCTTTTTTAACCCTTTATATATTTCTTAGATCGGACTCCAAGATATCTCTCTCCCCTTTGGTAATCGTTGCCCTAATAAACTCTTTGCTCCATTTGTTAAGGAAAAAAAAGAAAAGAAGAAAAAAGAAAACCCTTTCACAGATATTTTTCACGAAAGGTTTTCGATATATACGTTACAAAAAATAAATTTCAACTCAATCTGTCAGTGAAGAAAACTTGTTCGGATTCTTGGCCCCTTCGCAAAGGTACAGTCATCTTCCTCCTCTAATGGCGTTGAGCTCTCTTTGTGGCTTTTGAGATTCTTTATCACTCGTTTGTGCCGTAGAGTAGGTTTCTTAACCAGATTAGCGGTTTATTGCTTGAAGAATTTCGTAGCCAAATGCGATAATTTGAGTTGGGTAGTGTTAAGTTCGATCCTTTTGAGCGATACTTGCAGCAGATTCTGGTTATTACGACCTGCTTTTTTTCTCTTTTAGGACTATCTTTACGCGTTCTGGGTTTTCTAGGGTTTCGAAACGGGCACTACATTTCAAGCGAGGGTTTTCTTTTAACAGATCTTTTCTTTCGCAGGTCGAGGGTTAAAAGTACCGGGTTTGTAAACCCTAAATTCACTGTAAATGGAAGGGCTTGTATCTGCAGCAGAGGCTATGGAGGTTCTGTTCTTATCCTCTTTCTTCTTTGATTGTGTTTTTGCTTTGTCCTATTACTCGAACTTGTAAACTCTTATTTGCATGTTTGCTAGATTTGATCTGTGAGATAGTTCCTTCTCTCTGTAGTGTACTGTTGCAGTGCCTGAGTGTGGAATTGTGATATTTTACAGGTTGATTCTGAGAAAGAACAATCGACTAAAAGGGACAGTAGCCTCGAACCTGACTCTAGTCCTCCTAGTCCGAAAGTAAGCAAATGGCAATCATTTATCTTCTAGCAAGTATTGGTTTGAGCTTGAATCCAACCGGTTTTCTAATTTTGATCAAATTCTTTGTTCTTGCTTATTAGTATCATCCTTTGCAAATCTAATGTTCTAAGTTTCTGAGAGTGGTTCTTACTGATTTTTCTTGGTATTAAGCAATCCAGTTACTTGGTTCCTGAGAATTTAGCAATCTCTCATCTGGATAAATAATGAGCTTATAAGTTTCATTTTGTTTGTTTTATGTCCTATCCGTTTCTCCAAGAATAGATGAGTCTGATTCCTGAATGAGATTGTTTTATTTTGTTTTTAAGATATCTGCTAAGTGGAATCCATCAGAAGCTTGCAGGCCGTCGGTTGATGACGCTCCCATATTTTACCCCACTAATGAGGTATCTAATAAAATCCTATCTGCAGTTTTGGTTATGTATTTGGTAATTTTAAGTGTTGCGTCTTCTGAAATTTTCATTCCTTTGATGCTTCTTGCTCAGGATTTTGAAGATCCACTTGCTTACATTGAAAAGTTGCGCAGTAGAGCAGAATCATTTGGCATATGTAGAATTGTGCCGCCTGTTGCATGGAAGCCTCCCTGTCCTCTGAAGGAAAAACAGATATGGGAGAAATCGAAATTTCCCACCAGGATTCAGCTGATTGATTTGCTTCAAAACAGAGAGCCAATTAAAAAGTCTACTAAAACCAGGAAGAGAAAACGGAGAAGAATCTCTAAAATTGGATACTCAAGAAGAAAAAGAGATTCAAGCTGTGATGATGCTTCCTCTCATGATGCTGAAGACAAATTTGGTTTTCAGACTGGGCCAGATTTTACCCTGGAAGAGTTTCAGAAGTATGATGAGTACTTTAAGGAATCTTATTTTCAGGTAGAGGATCACACTGGTTCCAAAGCGTCAGAAAACAAGAAGTTTAAACCTAAGGTTAAGGACATCGAAGGTGAATATTGGCGGATAGTTGAGCAAGCAACTGATGAAGTAGAGGTATGTACATGCAGCAGTATGATAACAGGTGTACTGTTTGTCTTTCTTGGCTTTCACCATTATCGTTTTCATGGATTTCTTCTAACTTGCTACTCTTGGTTTCACCATTATGACAGGTGTACTATGGAGCTGACTTGGAAACGAAGAAATTTGGAAGTGGGTTCCCAAAGCATTCACCAGGGTCTGCTAAAAGTTTAGAAGCAGATCAATACTCTAAAAGTGGTTGGAACCTTAACAATTTATCCCGTCTCCCCGGATCTGTTTTAGCTTTCGAGAGCTGCGATATCTCAGGAGTTATTGTGCCATGGCTTTATGTTGGAATGTGCTTTTCAACTTTCTGTTGGGTAAGTTACACTTTATTATAGGAAGTAAACTCCTTTGGGACCAAAATTATGGAATCGATGCATCTTTCCTGTACTAACCATCTTCATTCTGCCCCTGACTTTGTTTGAAACAGCATGTCGAAGATCATCACCTATATTCCTTGAACTACTTACACACGGGTGATCCAAAAGTTTGGTATGGGATCCCTGGAAACCACTCTGAGTCCTTTGAAAACGCAATGAAAAGGCGTCTTCCAGATTTGTTTGAAGAACAGCCTGACTTGCTACATCAACTGGTAAAAAGTTTCTTCTGGTTAAGAAAAGCTCCTTACTTATGTAACTTTGGAGATGATCTGGCGAGAGCTGTCTTTTGGTTAAAGATAATATATATATCTCATTCTGCACCTGATATCTTTGATCAGGTCACTCAGTTATCTCCAACCATCTTAAAGGAGGAGGGGGTACCTGTCTATCGAGCTGTCCAGCGCAGTGGAGAATTCATTCTGACCTTCCCTAAGGCCTATCACTCTGGGTTTAATTGTGGTTTCAACTGTGCAGAAGCAGTAAATGTTGCACCAGTTGATTGGTTGATTCATGGACAGAATGCAGTGGAAGGCTATAGCAAGCAGAGGCGAAAGAGCTCATTGTCACATGATAAGCTGCTTCTTGGAGCAGCTCTAGAAGCTATCCATTCACTCTGGGAGCTGGCAGTTACAAGGAAGAAGACTCCTTTGATTGTGAGATGGAAAAGGGTTTGCAGTGAGGATGGATTACTAACGAAGGCAATCAAGGTGATTCTGATTCTCTGTTTCTTTTTCGTGTGGTTAGATATGCATATACAAACTCAAACAAGCATAGGAAATATGTTAATATTTTCATAGATTGACAAGTATCCTCTGAATTAATTGAAGACTAGTCCACCTGATTGTTGATATATATTGGATCAAGCACCTTCAATTGTACTGACATAGCTAAGGTTTGCAGAAGCGGGTGCAGATGGAGGAAGAAAGACTAAAACACCTTGGGGATGGTTTTAGCTTGCTAAAGATGGAGGGGGATTTTGACATTAAGAGAGAACGAGAGTGCTTCTTGTGCTTCTATGATTTGCACATGTCTGCTTCAAGCTGCAAGTGTTCCCCCGACCGATTTGCATGTCTTACCCACGCTAAAGATCTGTGTTCATGTGAAAGCAAGGAGAGATTTGTCCTTATTCGCCACACCTTGGTTGAGTTACGGTCACTGATCAGAGCTCTAGAAGGGGATCCCGATGCCATAGAAGCATGGGCACGTAAAGACCGTAGCCAGTATCCCTTACAGCATCCGACAGCAAAAGAAGGCGTTGATCCCAAGGGTACCTCCTGTTCTAAGAGTCGTGGTTCATCAAAAGCACAGCACCGAGAACAAAACAATCTTCAGTTAGGCCCTGAAGGCGTACAAAGCGATTTAGTCATAAACAAGGAAGTTCAGTTGAAACAAGATTTAGATGGCATCAGTACAAAGTCAACTGTCACTGATGTGAGACTTGGTGAGATAGATAAGTTGGATGAGAAGAAGATTTCGGCTGAATCTCAAAACCCACATTCAGTTTCAGATGTAGGGTGTAGCGAGCCGGCGAAGAAAGTTGATGGTGGCTTAGAACAGAAGGACCAACACACTACAACCAGTAGGTTAAGTCACTCTGTTGAGCTTTTGAAGTCTGGATCTCTCGTTGTTAAAAAGCTGTGGTGCAGTAAGCAAGCCATATACCCAAAAGGTGAGATGAATTGAGGATTTCAGATGAGCTTTGTACTATAGCATTGTTTATGCCTTCTAAAACTTTGGCTTTTGATTGAGTTTTACAGGATTCAAGAGCCGTGTTAAGTTCTTAAGTGTGCTTGATCCAACAAAACTAACCAACTACGTCTCAGAGGTTCTGGATGCAGGGCTTCTTGGTCCACTGTTCAGGGTAGGGTACCCTAATCACGTTGTGGTGATTTCAAGAATATTGACTAAACTCTGTTTGACGCAATGAGGGTGGTAAAAAACCACGACACTGCTGAATCATGCTGATCTGTTGTTATATGTTTTTCAGGTTTCACTAGAAGAATGTCCCAGCGAGAATTTCTCGAATGTATCAGCTGAGAAGGTCTGGCAAATGGTGATACAAAGGCTCAAACTCGAAATCCTCAAGAGATGTGATCAACCAGTTTCTTTAGAGCCTTTGGAGAGTGTTAATGGGCTTGAAATGTTTGGATTTCTCAACCCGCACGTTATTCAGGTAACACAAATAATTTCTCGTACTTAAGTCATAACACAATGTTCTTAATCTTCTCCTGGTGAAAAGATCCATCCTTCTTCTGTCTGCTGGGTCCAGTCTTCTGTTTCGTTCTCCCTTGAGCATCTGCCTTACTCGCTTGCATGACCTTTTGTACTAAGTGTTAACTTTGTGCACAGGTGGTGGAGGCTCTTGATCCAAAGCATCAATTGGAGGAGTATTGGAGCCAAAGAACAGCGAAAGTGTTTGGTGTTGAACTACCAAAGGAAGAAAAGGATGAGAAAGAGAAAGGAGGGGCTTCAGATCCCTCTGTGGATCGGGACACAAGGCTTCTGCGTGGACTGTTGAAAAAGGCGACACCGGAAGAGCTAGCAATGATGCATGGACTTCTGTGTGGTGAGGCACGCAACACCGAGCTCCACGAAGAGCTCTCTACTTTGGTCGATAAGATGGAGAAAAGTCCTTGATGATAAGCCAAGCAGGCGCACACACACACACACACACACACTCTCTTTGAAGTTGATTGTGTTGTTGTTCCTTCGGTATGTGTGTTGAGGCTTCAGTCATTCTGTTGTATTAGTGAAGAGAAATCTTAGAGAGAGGTAATACAAAAGTTTGTCTTTCCCTTTTTCTTTAATAAAAGGGTTTAGGATTATTGATTGTACTACATTTGCTATGTTTGTTATCTATTTCATTTGCTTGTAGCGGCGTTAATTGAAAAAAAAGGAAAATGCTTTCATTATTAGCAGAGAAATTTCTGTATTTTCAGTAGAAATCCAGCCTATGTTAAACCTGTATGAGCAGAAGCTGTTAACACCAGATGTTTGTTTGTTTTAGTGGAGGCACAAATCTGAACTCAGACTGAGCCTTTATAAATCAATCATTCACACAAAAGAGGGTTCGGACTAAAATGATTTTTTTTTTAAAACAAGTTTGGCTTGAAAAAAAGCAAAGTGTAGGAATCTGAATATGTACAAAAGGGGGGAATCTTTAAGTGAGATCATCCTCGTCGAGATCTTCACCAGTGTTCATCTGAACTGCAGTAACATCTCCAGTGGGTAGCTTTCTAGCCAGCTTGATGATCTGCACACAAATACTTCTCAATTAGATTCTTTGATGTTCTAGTTTAACAATAACCAAGAAATGCCGAGCAAATCCATTAAGAAACAGGGAGATAGGATTATGATTAGGATTACGCAGGTCATTTAAGTGAATTACCGCATGATCCAAATTCGAGACAGTGCTTGAACTTGCCACCTTCTTGATTTCTTCAATGTCACCGTCATTATAGGCTGAGAGCAGTCTACTAGCAGCTCGGTTCTGATCACTCTTTAGAAAAGCATCAATCCTACACAAAAAATAAAGAATTTCAGACGCAAAATTTGGTATCAGCATTTCCACATTTGACTAAACTATACATGTTATCTTGTTCGTTGTAACATCGTATATAGTGGCTGCATAAAGAGAGAAGAGTAAACTCACTGAGAACAGTCGTTGTAGCATTTTTCTGCCTGCTTCAGGTCATGACCATACAGATATACAATGATTGCACTAAGATATGCCTGAAATAAATGGTTTCAAGTGAGAAAAACAGTTAACTCATCAAAACAGCATTCAGAGATACAAGAGAATCTGTCTGAGCTAATCAGAGAGCATTACAGATTCCACACTCATACCTTACACTGGCTATTTGTGGCGTCGCACTTATCAGCAGCTACGCCTAATCTTAAGAAAAAAGTTGCAGCATCTGCGAACCTACAAGTTTCAATCTATGCCAGTTATTTTCTTTATCAAATACAACGGAAACTTCAACCTCGTGTGATTTCTTAATGAAAGCAAGAACTTACTTCTCGAGCTTTATGTAGACGTTAGCACAAGCACGGTACAGATCAAAGGCCATTTGGTCCCTCCCATCCTCTTCAAGAATTTCACAAGCATCAGTGTATAGTTGGATGGCATCATCAGGTTTGACCTCTTCCAAAGCACTGAAGATGAAACAAACAGAAAAAAGGAGCACGCTTGAGATGTCAGACTCAGAAACACATATAAGACATCAGATTCAAATCACATACACCATGCCAATCATGAAATACCCAATTTTCTTGATTACAAAAGACGTCAACATAAATTTACCGTGCAGCCTTTCCAAGAGCATCAGATGCAGGTTGTGCCCTTCCACACTCAACATACAGCTCAGACGCCTTTCTATAGAAATCAGCAACCTCATTCCAGATACTTAGCTTCTGTGCTAGTGCAGCGGCAGACTCCATATGTTTTGCAGCATCCCAGGGACTAATTCATATCAAGGATAACACTACATAGTGCATACAGCAAAAATAACAGACAATAATCTTAAAGGGTAATTTGGGATACGAAGCTTGCATCTCTTGTCCTTTCGAAGCTTTCTCGAGAGCCACTTTAGCTTTCTCATATTTGTTTGATGCCCTAAACCCATTTGCTGTCATTTACCAATGAAAATGAGTTCCAAGAACAGAATCAGTTCTCATTTCCGAAAGAAACGACTTCTCCATGCTCATAATATTTTTAGCCTCAAAGCTTTAAGAGATTAGCATTAGGGAACAAAATAAAAGAAAAAGAAATCTAAAACTGAGATAGTGCCATAGAGGAAAGTACACAATGTTACCAACCTGCTTGCTCATACAACTCAGTAGCACCTCTCCAATCAGCACTCCATCTGGTAAGCGTGAGTTTTGTCCTGAAGAACCAAAGACGCTTAGAAGTATGTTCAATAACAGAAGGAGATCACTGACATGTAGGATTGTCAAAATCGTACAACACCATTTTAAAAGCAAAGACAATGTTCCTTATCAAAACCAAATGTAAACTGATTTCTCAATCCTTGTCAAACTAGGAAGACTATTACATTGCATTCTCGTTATCACCTTTAAAATTCTCCTTGATTCTATCAAACAAATAAGTCTTCTTAAACTTAAAGCAAGCTCATATTAAGCTGTTCCTATGCAAAAATACACGAAATCCTAGATTTTTCCTTTTTTTCCCAATAAAAAATCTCGATCGAGCCATAAAAATGGATCACAAGAAGTTTCTCGATCACTGTTACAAAAGAAGACCATCATATCTTAAAAGATCAATCATCACGACACTCGATTAACCAAAAATAGCGTGAAACCCAATTCGAATTTTACTTGCACCGATCATTCACATATGTGATACGAGAAGAGGAAGAAAGCATACATTTTGTCGGCTTTGGACATCATTTTGTCAGGATCCGAAGACATGACTGGCTCAAATTCAGTAAAAGTCCCTGCGATTTAGCGAACTCGGAGATCGATCTGCAAATTTAGAATCCCTCCACTATCTGATCAAAGGGGTTTTGCCAAAAGATCTTCTATTTTTAGTTAAAAATAATTGGACTTTATCTTCCAGATTTAAAATAAAATATATTAAAAAGTTTTTATTTTATTTTATTTTGGTTACACCATGAATATCCTTATTCAAAAACAAACAAACGAAAAAACATGTACTTTTAAATTTTGATATTACACAATTTCCAGATTTCTGTGCAGTTGTGAGCTCCTAATTCTCATAATTTAGATGAAAAGTAACAACTTTGTTAACAAAAATATAAACTTTGTACCAAAATCAACTTATATCTCACCTTCTCTTGTTCATCTTCATAAAGCTCATGACAATAAGCATGATTCTGAATAATGGAGATTTAGGTAAGAAGTAGAAATCCAACGTTTTATCTCCCATCACATTCTCCTAACTCATAACTCAATCTACAATCTCCACTCTATAAATTACAACACCATTGACTTCAAACATCATCAAACAAACACCATCATTCACAAGCAACTCCCACACACACACAACAAAACACAATCCCCTCTCTGATAAAAGTCCAAGAACACAAAACAAAGTCAGCTACATACAATGTCAATGTCAAGAGTTTACCTCTGCCTAATCTTTCTCACCTTCCTTACTTCCCCACCTGTGCTCTGCTCTCGCAGCCCAAGACTCGCAGCACCATCAGCCGCGATAGGCAAGAAGCTCGAGAAAGCGCATGTTCATCCTCCGGCGATGCTAGTTTCTGAATCCACCAAGGTCGATTCACCATCCTCCATGACCAAGATTGATGATGAGCCTGCAACAAGCTCTGCGATTGCCGGTTTCTTCAGGTATAGATTCCCGTTCCAAGGCTGGCCTTTCCACAAGTATGCTCCTTTCCCAATGGTTAACCCTGCGAATCCTTCTGTGCCTACTACAACACCTGCTACTGGAGCTGAGGAAGAGGAATCTGAGAAGGTGCCTTCAACGCCAAGCAAAGGAAACGGAGATGGAGGCAACGCTTGATGAATGAAGAACAACAAATGTACTTAACTACTAAAAAGTAAAAACCTTATTGTGTTTTATGAATGTTGAATCTTTTATTCTCTAGTTTTACACAAATGTATCAGAAATAATATGAACCATGTAATACTATAAATGCTAATGTGACATTTTACATGGACAATGAAATGAATACAATTTAATTTATGTGCCAAGCTCTGAGTGATACGAGTTTCTGAGTTTCATCGTTTCTACAGACACTGGAATATGAACAGTGTGTTTTAAACAGCTCTACTTTTGTCGGTTTGATTTCGAAGATATGGACTCGTCACCACTTCTCGCCACGTCACTACCGCAGAAACAGTTGACCACTTCCTCGTCAGCTGCAACCGCCACCGTCGGTTGGGTCCGCCTTCCGCCACCGCAAAAATTTGCGTTTTTAATCGACAGATCGGAATCTGTGGCTGAAGTGCTCCAAATCCACGCAGCTATTCTCCGTCATAACCTCCTCCTCCATCGTTACCCGGTGCTAAACCTCAAGCTCCAACGTGCATACGCTTCCCATGGCAAAATCCGCCACTCGTTGGCTCTGTTTCACCAGACGATCGATCCGGACTTGTTCCTCTTCACCGCCGCGATCAACACTGCGTCCACTAACGGCCTCCATGACCAAAGTTTCCTGCTTTATGTTCTTTTGCTTTCTTCTCAAATTGTCCCTAATGAGTTTACTTTCTCGTCGATTTTGAAATCATGCTCAAGTGAGTCCGTCAAATGGATCCATGCCCATGTCCTTAAATGTGGGTTGGAGCTGGATCCCTACGTGGCGACTGGTCTCGTCGACGTTTATGCGAAAAGTGGAGATGTAGCATCTGCCCAGAAAGTGTTCGATAGAATGCCTGAGAGAAACCTCGTTTCTTCCACGGCTATGATCACCTGCTACGCAAAGCACGGGAACGTTGAGGCTGCGAGAGCTTTGTTCGACACAATGGGTGAGAGAGACATTGTTTCTTGGAACGTGATGATTGATGGATACGCTCAACATGAGTTTCCAAGCAAAGCTCTGATTCTTTTCCAGAAACTTTTGGCCGAAGGAAAACCAAAACCTGATGAAAGAACCGTCGTGGCTGCTCTCACGGCTTGCTCGCAGATTGGTGCACTTGAATCTGGTCGCTGGATCCATGTTTTCATCAAGAACAGTCGCATCAGGCTCAATGTTAAAGTATGTACGGCATTGATTGATATGTATAGCAAATGCGGGAGCTTGGAAGACGCAGTTTCAGTGTTTGACAACACTCCGAGGAAAGATATCGTGGCTTGGAATGCGATGCTTGCTGGTTACGCAATGCACGGTTATAGCCAAGACGCGTTGAGATTGTTTGATGAGATGCAGGGAATCGCAGGGTTGCAGCCAACGGATATAACTTTCATCGGGATGCTTCAGGCTTGTGCTCATGCTGGATTAGTAAACGAAGGTTTAAGAATCTTTGAGTCGATGGAAGAAGAGTATGGGATCAAACCCAAGATCGAGCATTACGGATGCTTGGTCAGTCTCCTCGGTCGTGCCGGCCAGCTGAAACGGGCTTATGAAACCATCAAAGACATGAAAATCGAGGCTGACTCTGTCGTATGGAGTTCTCTTCTCGGAAGCTGTAAACTTCATGGGGATTCTGTGTTAGGCAAGGAGATCGCAGAGTATCTCATTGGACAGAACATCACAAACTCAGGAGTTTATGTTCTTCTTTCGAATATGTACGCATCGGTGAGTGATTATGAAGGCGTGGCGAAAGTTAGGAGGTTGATGAAGGAGAAAGGAGTAGTGAAAGAGCCAGGAGTAAGCACGATTGAAATCGATGATAAATTTCATGAATTTCAAGCTGGAGATAGAGAACACCCGAAAAGCAAAGAAATTTACGCGATGCTGAGAAAGATCAGCGAGCAGACCAAGTTTAATGGCTATGTTCCAGATACAAACACGGTCTTGCAAGATCTTGAAGAGACGGAGAAAGAGCAGTCTCTACAAGTTCATAGCGAGAGGCTCGCGATTGCGTATGGTCTGATCAGTACCAAACCGGGAAGTCCCCTTAGGATATTCAAGAACCTGCGAGTGTGTTCAGATTGTCATACGGTAATAAAACTGATATCGAGAATCACAGGACGGAGAATTGTCATGAGAGATCGGAATAGGTTCCATCATTTCGTGGATGGTTCCTGTTCTTGTGGCGATTTCTGGTAGAACCAAACAGAGATGAAGGCAAGAAATGTACTTACGACTAAAAACCTTTTATTGTGTGTTTCTGACAGTTGAATCTTTATTCTCTAATTATACATTACAACAAAATGTACCATGTACTATATAAAATGCTATGATGACATTTTTACATGGATAATGAAATGAATACAATTTATCTTATCTACCAAGCTCTGTGTAATACCGAGTTCTCAGGTTCATCGTTTTGAGACAACTTTCACTATTACAGACACAGGAATTTGAACAGTGTGTCCCATGTTTCCAAAGAGATTGATTCTCCCAAAACTGGCAATAGAGTTGTTCTTCTTTGCTGTGAGGATTACACTAAGTAGCTTTGCCTCTCCACTGGATATAGAGAATTGAGTAGGAGACACCTTCATCAAAACACCAATAGGAGGAATCAAACCGACACTATAGGTCTCATTTCCAGCAATGTTTGTCATTATTCTTTGAACAGTTCGCGTGTTATTAAGCCTCGAGACAGTGATGGATGGCAAGTTGAGGTCAGATCCACTGATTGTTGCATTGCTAAGCAAACAGTTCTTGCCGGTGTAGTTAAACACCACTGGTGCTGATCCATTGATCCCACAAAGGAATGACATATAGTCTTCAAAACCTGCACATAGAGAGAGAGAAAGAACATTTAAAGACTGGTCTACATTTGGCTATATGAAAATGTGGTAAACCGTTATTTGTTAACTCACTAGTATCAAAGATTAGGCCAGGATCCAAAGCTGCGGTTGCATTAACAAAACCATTCCCCATATCAAATGGGGTTGCAGGAGAAAGGTTTTGATCAGGATTAGCGTAAGCACGTTGAGCCATGATCTCCTCGCCTTTATTGTCAAGCAGAACAGAGGTTGTTGAAAGTGCAGAAGCAATGGCTGAAGGACTAAATTTTCTGAATTTTTGCTTGATCAGTGCAGCCACACCAGCTACATGAGGAGCAGCCATGCTTGTACCAGACATCATAGCGAAACTCTCTCCTAAAAAGACCAAAAAGAACACAACAGCTTGAATGAGAAGAAGTCATTAACTTCAACAATGTCATGCTTTGTATATAACTATATATATACCTTGAAACTCAGCTGAATCAGTGGCAGCAGAACTCCAAGCGCCCCAAATGGAGTTTCCAGGAGCAACGAGGTTGGGTTTCAAAACGTCGGCGTCGTTGAACAAGCTGTCTTCTGGATCAGGTCCTCTTGCTGAGTAATACATAATCTTGGGAGCTCTGTTACTGAAGTTAGCATTTTGTCCACCTGTAATGGCTGCAACTGCTCCAAATCTAACAATCTCCTTGGTGGTTCCGTCTCTTTCAAGAGTAGAGTTATAGTACTTGAGTAAAACCTACGATTTACAAATCTTTATTAGATCTCTGTCCCACAAGAATCAAGAGAAGAAGTGATATGTTTCTCACCTTGGAATCTTCCGGGGATGGAATTATGATTCCAGGAACATCCATTGGTGTAGGATTGATCTGAAAACCAAGAACATATGGGTCCATGTAGAACACAACACCCTTTGCAGATAGATTCTTGGCAACAGCTAAAGCTTGTTTAATAGTGGAAAGCCCGAGCACAAAACGAATAGAGTAGCTACATATCAGGAGATTCCCACTGACAAGATCCTTCTCGAAGCTGCCATACTCTTGGCATTCACCTGCATACATGTCTGTGTCTGCTACAGAGCTTTTGTTCTTCAATGCATCAACAGCAGATATCATCGTGTACATCTTGCCTTCATCAGTAGGAACTAGAAGAAGAAAACACAAAAACAGCAATTCAAAGCTAAGCCATTACAAACTATCAGATTGACTTTGAAACGAAACGAAACGAAAGACTTACGTGCAAGTCCTACGCCTAGAATGGTTACATTGTTGCCTAGTGTTACGGAATTAGAGTAAACTCGATCGTGAGTAGAAGCACCAACTGTGAAAATCCATGGGCTGAAGGAGGACATGCTCTTAGGAGAAGGACCTGTGTTTCCAGCAGCTTGCACAACGAATATACCGGCTTTCACAGCGGATAGCATAGCCATATCTAGAGGGTTAAAGAACGTGGCAACACCAGGAGGACGACGGTTAGGTGTGATTGATAGACTTAATATGTCAACTCCATCTTGAGCTGCCTAAACCAAATTCATAAACCACTGATAAGTGTCATGGAAAGATAGAGATACATTCTTATCATTAATTGAAAAACAGAAAAAAGGTAAATGCTTTTACCTGGTCTATAGCAGCAACAACATCTGCAGCAAATCCTCCAAAACTCTTATACAATGCCTTGTAAACAGAAATACTGGTACATACAAACATACCAAAACACATAATGAGTACACTCATTGCAATATGAATTAGAAAAACCATTTGCAGCTGGTGTCTCAAAACTTACTGAGCACGAGGAGCGATTCCACTAGCACTTCCAAAGTTATGCCCTGAAACTATAGCTGAGACCCCATGGTTACCTGCTGCAATGGAAGCTGTGTGTCTGCGTACAATCAAGATAAACAATCTTTCAGCTGCAGTACACATGTGAGAAAGAGGCAAAATGAATTTACTAAACTTACGTGCCATGGCCATCGCCGTCAAAAGGGGAAGCATAGTCCTCAGATGAGTTGAAAATGCCTCTAGTGATAGCTGACTGCGCGAAATGGCGGGCTCCAACGAGCTTCCTGTTGCATGAACCTGATGGAAAATCCGGCGTGACTTCACAAACACCTGAGAAATGATTAGGGATCGGATACTGTCGCTGTGAAGTGTCAGTGCCGTTGAAGCTAGGGTGTGTTGGGTCAATGCCAGTGTCGATAAACCCGATAACGATTCCTTCTCCTGCAGTTTCATATCCGCCTTCTTTGACCCATGCACCTTTTGGTAGACCCATGAACTGAGGTGTGTAAGTTGTAGCCGTCCGAACGGAAAAATCCATCACTATGTTTGCTACTTCCCTTCTCCTTGAAAGCTTCTCAGCCTTTTAGAAGAGAACAAGAAATGAATTTCACATCAGATTCTTCTTCTTTTCTTGTAAGACAAGCTCATATAGATATGGTATGATCAAAGATTATATACCTGTTGTGAGCTAACAAACACAGCAAAGCCATTGATGAGATAATGGAAGCTATAAAGCTTTATGTACTTCTCTCCCTTCAACGCATTTCTCAGCAAAGAGTCATGAGCTTGAGCAACTGCTGACCTCCTTGACCTCCAATAACGTGACTTTGATGAGATGTTCCTATAAACAGAGAAGCTAAATCAATACCAACAAGGTTCTGCACAATAGAAGACTGAACCTTTACTAAACTGTTCAAAACATGATCGTTAAGAGAATCATACAATGCATGTACCTAAAAAGAGAACTCTTTCTAATTAAGTGACTGATTCAATGCCAAAACCTGAATTTCAAGATTCCAAAGCAAAATTCAGTTACCTTGGTTGGAGTTTTGGTCTAGTAAACTTTGAAGTGTCTCCATCTCTGACTCTTTTCAGCTCTTCTTCTTCTTGTTGGAAAATGTGAAGAGTAGGAGCTTGCCTCAGAGTAACAATGTAAACAGCCGTAGTGCAGTTTGCATCAGTACCATCAGTAGTATCTTGTCCCAAGGTGTTCGACAAAAAACCAAAACAGAACAGAAGAAGAAACCCAAAATTCACCATTAAGACTCTCCTCATTTTTCACTCACTGATAAAAGAAAACTGCACAAAACCCAGCAATTGCTTATATAAGAAGAAAAAGAGAGAAAGCTGCAAAAAGTAGAAAAAGAAATCATGAAGCAAACATGGTGAATGAGTGGAATTTGCAGAAAAAAAGGAACTGCCTTTTGTTTTTTTTCGTGTTGGAGACGGTGTAAAGAGGAGTGTGCTTGATATATATGTGTACTTATTATTTATACATATAAACAAGAAGATAGATATTTTCCGCAGAAAGAGAAACTCAAAACTCACGAGAATCTGAAACCTTTTTTTTTTTCTTGGATTTTGTGAATATTTTTGAACGTTTTAAGTATTACAGGGGTCCCAGAAGGAGAAGCAAAGAAAAGGACGAGCAGAGTGTTATTGAAAAAAACAGAGTTTTGCAAAATTTAGCTGTTGGAACTTGTCGGGTTGAATTTTTATCATCTTCGTCGTTTGTTTACTTTAATTAAGAAAGAACAAAAAAAATGTGATTATTCTTATCTTTTGATCAGATAAATAACTTTATCAGTAGAATCCATAAAAACAAATAGTCTAATAGAATTTAGAACTCAAATTTGTTATAACTTATAACTATCACTTCGATGAAGGAATAAACAGTAACAACTAACAAGTAACGAAAAAAAAAAAAAAAAAAAAAGTAACGACTATATGTTATTAGATGATTAAAGTCGAGGCAGCTTTCTTATATTATATGGTATTTTAAAATTAAAAGCTGAGATTTAGCAATGGTGGGTCAAACGTGAAGAATCATTAGGAGTGTTAATGGGTCACACCGTTATTTTTTTAACTTTTTAATTCTTTTCCTACCTTTTTTTCTATCTCATCCTTCAACGGCCAAATTCTTGTAATGAAACCAATTCTTTTTTGTAATACGAATGTTACACATTCAAACGAAATAATAAGATGAATAAATCGTGTTGAAGAAAACGCAATGAATGGACTCAGTTATCGGTATCACTTATCAAATCCTGGTTAGTTCCTCCGATACTTTTGAACCACTTGTCTGGTTTAGGATGCTAACCAAACCAACCAAACCGAATAGTTAGGATTCATTAATTTGCAGGCTTGTACCCAAATCGAACCCCAACCAAATCCTGAATATTCATACTTTACATACCATCCAACCTTAATTATTCATCTTATTATTTCGTTTAATCAAATTTAACACAAGTGAAATATCAAACCAAAACCAAACTAACCAAATCATTTGGATTATGATTCGCCTATAGTTTTACTAAATTTGAACCATACGAATAAGAATCAACATTTTCCAAAGCCCTCTATGTTGTCATTGCAGATGTACGGTTGTGAACGCAGCTAAAGAAGTTTTTCGCTTAAAGAGTGAAGAAGTCAGCTCATGAAATTTGATTAATCCCCCCAATAGTAACTTGTGGAAGATTAACAGTCAAAGACTCATACAGTTCAATCGGAGAAAAAAAAACTGTTTTTCAAGCAAGAGATCTCAAACAGATAATGACTTTATATCCAAAATTCAAAGGTAAACGCGAAGATTCCATACTTTCATCTTTAGATATGCATCCACAAGTTCTTCATCCACAAAGAGCTGAAAGTGTTCACCCACAACATCCACGGGCTCCCTAAACAAGTTGTCAACTTTTACCTAGACAATCCATAAACAAAGGACCAGAGAGGTGATTAACAATCATAACCTATTTAGCCCTTCTTTAAGCAAGACTCATATGTGATCACTAATGGCAATCGATTAGTTTCTAAGAGGAGATTAAATTTCTCAAAATTGTGCAAGAATGTTGCTGTTTCACCCTTAAGAGAGTTAGATGTTTCACCTTGAAAAGTAATATTGATAATGACCAGGTTTAATGGAGAAGAAACACAAGAAGATAAAGGCAAAGACACTCACTCGTCAACAAATCTACAAACTCTGCAAATCTAATAAGATAGAACAGAGATTGCGGCTAAAGTTATGAAAGCACGACATTGTAAACCTGAGGAAGTTCAACCAAACAACTTAATAAAGCCTTCACAATCTCAAGAAACCGCGAAAACACACAGTAAAAGCCGAGACAAAAGGCAGAGCTCGTCGCTAACCTAATCACTGCTGCTGGTTATGGGGATTAGGCGGTGGTGGCATGCCGGGACGCGGTGGAGCAAAACTTCCAGGAGGAGGAGGCATTCCAGGGCGAGGAGGAGGCGGTCCTTGCATCCCATGAGGTGGAGGAGGTCCTCTCATCATACCACCAGGAGGAGGAACCATCGGCCTTTGCCCATACGGAGGAGGTGGTCCTTGAAACTGCTGCGGTGGCCTCATACCGTAAGGCGGAGGAGGACCTTGAGGAAGACCTCTTCCCATCTGAGGAGGACCTTGACCACCAAAAGCTGGAGGCGGTGGAAGCATCTGTCCTGGAGGTCGGATAATCGGAGGAGCTGAGAGCTGCGGCGGACGAGAGATCTGAGGCTGCATCATTCCCGGAGCTGGTCCACCGACTCCACGAACCGGACCAGAAAGCCCAGGCTGAGCTTGAACGAGCGGACCTGTTGGTACTCCGCGTCCGGCGGCACGGCCGATTCCTGGACCGGCAATAGCAGCTGCTGAGCCAGACTTAGCACGAGATTCTTCAGGAGGAGGTGGTCCTTCGACTGTCATGGAGATAACCTCTTCACCTCTAAGCAGCACCAAACCGAGCGTACGGCGATCTTCCCTCTCCTCGTTGATCTTCTTCCCTTTCGCTGGTGGAAGCTTACGGAACTCCTCGCAGTCGCCGAGAACGAGATTCATGTGGCGGTCGAACGCCATAAACTTCCCCACGAGCTGCCTTCCGTCTTGGATCGTCACTCGCATCCTGTAGTTGATGAACTGAAGCATCTTAGAACTCTTCGACATCGACATGATTGCCGATTAAACAGTAACACACGCGAAGCGCTGTAGCAGAGATTCGGCCGGCGAATCGACTACGCCGGAGATTTAGAAACGAACAGATCGAGGTTAGGGTTCAATCGAGAGACAAAAATTGGGGGGTTTTTGGCTGTGAGCATCGCGAAGTGGGAAATTTCTAGGGTTTAATTATAAGCGAGTGCACTCTTACTTGCTTATGGGCTTAATTTCATAATGGGCTCAAATATATTTTAATGGGCTGCAGTTATTTTATATTCCAATTTTAATTTGGAAACATTGGAATATAGCAAGTGCTTCCAACTTGAATTTTTACCCATTTTCTAGATTCCTGATGGCCAAATTTCTCAAGAAAATTGTGTCTATCAATCATCCAATGAGACACTAAACAAAATCACTCAATACATTATGCACAACTTTTTTTTAAAGAAATTAGAAACGCTGTATCCCTTTTGTATAAAAATCCACTGATTAATTCTTACATAAACTGTATTAAATAACCATAATATTAATTATTGAACTGTGAGTCTGAAATAAATCAATTTTTTTCTTTCTATCAGCTAACCTCTCCCCCAAACAATTATGCAAAAGGTAATATTTAAAACTCAGTTTTGTTATTGCCTTTAAGAAGAAGCATATCCATGAGGATGAGTCTTCTGCCACTTCCAAGCAACCTCAAGACTTTCTTGAAGGTTAGTGAAACGAGCAGACCAATTAAGATCTCTCAAAATCTTTGCCGGATCACTGTAAACCTCTGCGTAATCTCCAGGTCGTCGAGGCAAGAAATCTACTTTGATATCTACTCCTGTCGCTTTCTTACAAGCTTCCACAAACTCCTTCACCGACCTTCCTTTTCCGGTACCTACATTGTAGATTCCAACATTTCTTGGCTTAGCTTTCTCCAGAGCCTTCACGTGAGCATCAACGAGGTCAGTAACGTCTATGTAGTCACGAACACAGGTTCCATCTCCTGTTTTGTAGTCTGTTCCTTTGACCTGTTCATAGAATAAACCGGAGTTGAATCCATAAGTGTTTGAGTAAAGAAGAAGCATAGAGAGTTTGAGAGAAGACTTGTTCTGTTTATTTGTTTTTATACCTGCAGGCCTGGAATCACGCCACGAGCTGCATCGAAACAAGCACCTGAGATCCGTCCATGTTCGCGTAGCTCAGGCTTCGGAGCTTCTCCTAATCTACCTTCAGGGTCTGAACCGATCACATTAAAGTATCTGTCAAAGTCATAAAGATGATCAGACATTTGTTGGTCAGCTCAGAATCAGAGACTCTTAACGCTTCAAGAAAAGAAAAAACGGAACCCTGACCTTAGGATCATGACCGCCATGTCAGAGTTCTTAGAGAAATCAAGGATCATATCTTCAGCCATCTTCTTAGCTTTTCCATAAGGGTTAATCGGGACCTGAAACCGAAAATTTGCCAAAAATCTGATGAGACATTGATCATTCGAAAGAGAGGGTTTTCCGAAACTGTTTTTGAGTACCTGTGGAGTAACTTCAACGATAGGCATTTTGTCAGGCTCTCCATAAGTGGCACATGTGCTTGAATATATCAACTTCTTCACTTTATGTCTAGCCACAGCTTCAAGAACCACCAATGTGTTTGATGTAATGTTGTGGTAATACCTACAGAACGTAAATCAGTTTTTTTTTTTATCAGTAACTTAACCATGAGATTAGCCACAAAGAACTCCAATCTTGTAGAGAAGATTTAAAACAAAAACAGTGGCTAGAGATTGTTACTTTAGAGGATCTAGAGTGCTCTCCCCAACATATGCTACTGCAGCAAAATGCATCACAGCATCAAATGCGTTCTCTGAGAAGATTTTATCGACCTGAAAATGACAATCATACTTCATACAAAACACCAGGAAAATCACTCAAAGAGAATCTTAATGATATGAAAAATTACAGCTTTGGCATCTCCTAAGTCGGCATAGATGAATTGAAGCCTCCCAGCTTCTGGGAACAATCCTTGTAAAACCTTGACAGCGCCAAGATTCCCGCGAGAAAGATTGTCCTGTGTTTGTGAGACAAAAAAAAGACGAGTGTTACAAAACCGAACATTTGCAGTTTTGACTACTTCCCCCAACAAATTGCAAAACACCATCAAAGAAAGAAGCTTTACCACAATGGTTACACGGTATGAATCCTTAAGCAGCCTCAACGCAGCATGTGATCCGATATATCCAGCACCACCAGTGACTAACACATGAGTCACTCCTTCCTCGCTACGAGAGAACTGTGAAGAAACAAGAAATGTTTCAGCAAGACTCAGAATACAAAAACATCAACTAAAAGAACCAGATTCAGAAGAAATGTTTCCAGACTGTAAGAAAAAAGCAACGGATCAAAGATTTTCTAGCAAATATGACTGTGGAGTTACCGCGGTTGGTGATGTGAAACTCGGTGCGTGCTTGAGCATAATAATGCATAAAGCTGTAAGAGAAACTACCAAAACAATCCTGCCCATCACATTGCTCTTCCGTTTGGGTTCTAAGTATTCCATCCCTGGAATTTCAAAAAATCAAAGAAAAAAGATTGTTCATTTAGATATTCAAATGTTGCAGAGATTGGATATATAGTCGAATAGATTCTATAGACTAACCTCCTGCAAGAGGTCTCGTGTTTCTTCCTTGACTTCTGGCTCTAGAGAAACTTAGCATTTGGAGGATTCAGAAGAATCTGAACTTAAAGCACCTCAAAAGTCTTAAGGTTCTTTTGGTATTGGGACAAAGCTCTAGAAACAAACTCAATAGCCAGCAAACATGACGTTCATGATGCTGCAGATTGCTGTTTGGAGTTAAAAAAGAAATGAAATTTTAAACAGATGAATACAAAAGTCAAAAGCATATAGTATATCATAGAGGGGAAAAAATAATATTTGTTGGGAAGTGGGACCTGGATGAAAGAATCAAAAACATAGACAAAGACAGACAAAAGTTGAATACATTTATGAGAGGAATAAGATGAATTTGTTTTATTATTAGCATGTTCCTAAGTATGATGAGATATATTAGTTTATATGTTAATTAGAAAGACAAGTTCTTTAGGCAGAGAGCATGTTTGTCAATTGTCACAGAAAGAACATGAACAGAGAAAAATCAAAATGTTGAATGAGTCTGAGAAAAGTCGCCGGATTTGATTAAATTTCGTCGTCTAATGAACAAACCCATCTCAGAAATTACGGATCAGAAGAAACCCAGAATTAAAAATTAAAAAATGTTTTAACCCCAATTTTAATCGACTCAACAATTTTGATCAGAATCCGATTTCATTCAGAAAGGGAAACAAATCCAGAAACCGAATCAAATGAGGTAAGGAATTGCGTAATTACGGAACAAATGTAGAGACAGACAAACGTCGTATTTGTCGGGGAAAAAGACATAGATAGAGAAAGTACCTGAGAATTCTGCGAGAAACGGACTGAGAGAGAGAGAGAGAGAAGGAGAGAGGAAGAAGAGTTGTGTGATGGTTGAAAAGGCGAAACTGGAGACGTTATGAAGGGAGTGAGAGAGAGAAAGGAGGAGGAAGAACGTAAGAGAGACTGGGAGAGAGAGAGAGAGAAAGTAGGGAGAAGCGGAGGAAGAAGAAGAAAGTGAGGAAAGAAACGTGCAATGCAAAACCAAAGCACAACTACGACCTGGTCACCACTCTCTCCTCCTCCCTTTCTTTTAATTTTAAAGGTCTTACCTTTTTTCTTTCTTTTGGTAAACTAATATCAAAACTATTTAGGTAATTTAATTAAAAAGAAATCCTCTAATTTCGGTCAAATCTAATTCATTGGTTTTTCTTTTAAAAAAAACATTAACTACACACATACAGTGGGCTGGTTTGGTTCGGTTTAGTTTGGTTTGTTATTTTAATCATTCGAAACCGAACCTTATTCCAACTTGTTATGGATGGCAATTTAAACTCATTTAGACAAAATGTGATTATAATTTTAAAAAGTCAAACAAAAACAACGTCGTTGCTCAAAATGAATGTCGACACAACGAGTTTGTTCCTTTCGTATGGATATATTTCAATTAGGTCTTTTATAAATTATTATGATGCGAATGCAATGATTGTAATGAGCAATCATTTGTTGCAATCCATATTTAATTAATTATTGGAATGGTGTGATCAAGCTTTTTTGCTGCCTAGTTGTAGACACTGCCTAACCATCTAACGTGATTAGCCAACGAATCGATCGTAGACAAATAATTTTCCAAGACATATGCTATATAAGACTTTGAATATATACAATAGTTCTTGATAATTTCACAATATATAAAAATATCTTTGTCAAGTTATAGTCATTCACGTAAATCGTTAGATTTCAAATACATTTATCTACTTTTAGAATTATTGTAACTAAAAAAATGCCTAAACAACATTACAATTGTCCCATTTTGATCACTCAAGCCAATGGTACAATGGTGTTCATACAGTCTTTTACATATCCTGTTAGAAGCTGATGTTTAACGATCTGTACTTTTTAGTTGTAATTAACTGTGAGTGATCAAAATGGATCAATTGTATTTTATTTTTCTTTTTTGAAATTGAACAAAGTTTAAGTTTCCTTCAGCGACCTGATTTTGGTTGACTTTCCTTTTCCTTTCACAGTCAAAAAGGAAACGAAAATAGACGTCAAAATTCAATAGTTTTGTAACTTTAGTTAGAGAAAAAAAAACGAGACTAGTAAGCTAAGAAAATCTAAAAGATGGCTCGCCTAACTCTAATGCTAAAATCAACTGGTTAATTCTTTTAGTCATTAGGTCATTAACAACTTTCTGACTCCTTTAATACATTTTTCTTCTTAATTGGATTGAGTTAGCTTTTTGAACTTAAGAACAAACATCTAGGGTTCGATAGAACATATACTGTTTTGATGTTTATAAATTACAAAAACGAGCAAATATGACCACCTTGGTGTGAAACATTAGAATAAGACCTCATAATCCTCCATTAAAAAGAGTAACTAAACATACGAAGAATCAAACATGATATTGTTTAATTTACTAAGTTAATAGTATAGTTTGTACTAAGTTAGTATTACAGCTAATAGTACTTTGTACGCAGTTTTGAAAGCCTCCATTAAAAAAAAAAAATAACTAAACATACGAAAAATCAAACATAACATTGTGTAATTTAACAAGTTAGTATTACAGCCAACACTGTAGTAATTTTTTATTAAGTTAGTATTACAGCCAAATAGTATATAGAGTAATTTACTAAGTTAATATTTTACATTTTTGTTTCGTCTCAGACTCACTAAGTTAATATTTTACAGTTACTAGTAGTTGATGCTAAAAAGGTAAGAAAATCATCCTAAAACAAAAAAAATCGGAAAGTAATGTTGGTTCGAGCATATTAAATAGCAAGATATACACACATTTATATACAAAAAGATATTAATGAGTTTACTTTATTATTAGTTGAAAAAAGAAAAATAATGTGTTTTTGAAAAATATTGCCCATAGGCCATAGTTCGGTTGTATATTTCTCGAAACCGAGAAAATCAAACCGTACCAAATCGGAAAAATCAACCGAATCTTACTGAAGTGAATTAAGAGACGGCGTCGTAACATTTTAACATTTAACACATAACTAATTCAAGTGCGAGTGAGCAGAGAAGCGAGCTACAATCGCCATGAAATCACCCAAACCTCCGAATCTCTCTGAGAAATCTCTTAAACCCAGTTTCTTCTATGGCCACCGTAAGCCGTCGCATAACCGCCCTGTCGTATACGGTGGTCTCTTCTCCAACCGTCAAACTCTCTCCAGAGATTCCCCCCAATCGCAATCCAACGCCGTCGCCGACCGGACTCCCTTCGATCTCCGCAAATGGGACCCGGAAACCCGTCTATCTTCGGAAAGAACTTCCTCTCCGTCGCCTTCTGCGGCGATTTCCGCCGCCTCCGAACGTCTATCTCCGATCGCGCGGTTCGTCCTCGACGCTTTCCGCAAGAATCGTAATCACTGGGGACCTTCCGTTGTCTCTGAGCTAAGCAAACTCCGCCGCGTCACGCCGAGTATCGTCGCCGAGGTTTTGAAAATAGGAAACGATGCTGCAGTTGCTGCCAAGTTCTTCCATTGGGCTGGTAAGCAGAAAGGGTATAAACACGATTTCGCGGCTTACAATGCTTTTGCGTATTGCCTTAATCGAACTGGGAATTTCCGTGCCGCGGATCAGTTGCCTGAGCTCATGGATTCTCATGGAAGGCCTCCTTCGGAGAAACAGTTTGAGATTCTGATCAGAATGCATTCGGATAACAAGAGGGGTTTAAGGGTTTATTACGTTTACGAGAAGATGAAGAAGTTTGGATTTAAGCCTCGGGTTTTCCTGTACAATAGGATAATGGATGCTCTGATGAAAAATGGCTACTTTGATTTGGCATTAGCCGTTTATGAGGATTTTAAAGAAGATGGCTTGGTGGAGGAAAGTACTACTTTCATGATCTTAGTTAAAGGATTATGCAAAGCAGGTAGAATGGAGGAGATGCTCGAGATTCTGCAGAGAATGAGAGACAATTTGTGTAAACCTGACGTTTTTGCTTATACAGCAATGATTAAGACTCTTGTTTCTGAGGGGAAGATGGATGCAAGTTTACGAGTTTGGGACGAAATGATACGCGACGGGGTAAAACCGGATGTAATGGCATATGGAACACTTGTTATGGGTCTGTGTAAAGATGGAAGAGTTGAAAAAGGGTATGGATTGTTTATGGAGATGAAGGAGAAACAGATTTTGATTGACAGGGATATCTACAGGGTTTTGATTGAAGGATTTGTAGCTGATGGGAAGGTCAGATCTGCTTGTGATCTATGGAAGGATCTGGTGGATTCTGGGTACATAGCTGATTTAGGGATATACAACGCAGTTATTAAAGGCTTATGCACTGTGAACCAGGTTGATAAAGCATATAAGCTCTTCCAAATCGCAGTTGAGGAAGAACTAGAACCAGATTTTGAGACCCTGAGTCCCATTATGGTTGCATATGTAGTGATGAAGAGACTGGGTGATTTCTCGAATTTGCTAGAACGGATTAGGGAATTAGGGTACCCTGTAGCAGACTATATTTCACAATTTTTCAGATTGTTGTGTGATGACGAAGAAAAGAGAACGATGGCTTTAGATGTCTTTGATGTATTAAAGACTAAAGGTCATGGCAGTGTCTCTGTGTACAACATCCTTATGGAAGCTCTTTACAAGATGGGAAATATTCAAAAGTCTTTGTCACTTCTCTCTGAAATGAGGGATTTTGGGTTTGAACCAGATTCATCATCGTACAGTATTGCAATTAGCTGCTTTGTTGAGAAAGGGGAAGTCCTAGAGGCATGTTCATGCCATGAAAAAATCATCGAGATGTCGTGTGTTCCTTCCATAGCTGCTTATCTGTCTCTTACCAAAGGACTCAGCCAAATTGGTGAAATTGATGCTGTCATGATATTAGTTCGTGAATGCCTGGGAAACGTTGAAAGTGGTCCTATGGAGTTCAAGTATGCTCTTAGGGTTTGTCATGAATGCAAAGGGAGTAACGCTGAGAAGGTTATGAGGGTGCTAGATGAGATGAACAAGGAAGGTATCTCTATCAACGAAGTTATATTCTCTGCAATTATCTCTGGTATGTGTAAACATGGAACAATCAAAGCAGCGAGAGAAGTCTTCGCGGAGCTGAAAAGGCGCAAAGTTATGACAGAGGCTGAAATGGTAGTCTATGATGAAATGTTAATTGAGCAGACAAAGAAGAAAACAGCTGATTTGGTGCTTTCAGGGATCAAGTTTTTCGGTCTTGAGTCGAAACTAAGAGCAAAAGGTTGCAGACTTCTCGATAACGAAAGTTTGGAGGACTGATACAACCGCACATGTGACTAAGGGAATCTGCTTTTTCCAAACCACTGCATAAGCTCTGTGGGACGTTTATGGTACTGAGTTCAATGTTTCTTCTGTATGGTTCGCTGATCCCAGCCATTACAAGTTTTGGAGCTTCTCTCATGATTCGATGGTGAATCTTGGAAGTAAGCAACTAAAAGTCTCTATCTTTGGATTCAAGGGTGATGCAGTGAAGCACCTCACGAGCATTGCGTGGTCATTGGCCGAAACTTACAAATCAATGGTCTGGAGAAATCTGAAGTTGTTGGCTCGGATTTTGCGACTCCATAACCGTGATCTCTCTTCCATCATCTTTCCTGCAACTCCGAGATGATTGAATGACATACCTTGTGCTAGTTTTGATGTTGCAGCCTTAAGTTATCGGACATGGTGGAAGATGAGATCTATAGTTTCTATATAGAGTGTGAAATTCATTTCTGATTATCAAAATTGTTTTCAAGTTATAATTATAATCAGTTGTTAGTTCTCACTTCCAAATTATTAACACACTACGACCACTAAACAGTTATTTCAGTTTCTTGTTAAAATTTTGGATTGTGTGAATAAAGTTGGGATTTTTATCCCCGTCTTTGTGGAAATGGCAGTTAAGTTCCCGTGTCAATGGCGTTGTAAAGTGGTTGCATTTATGATCCAACCCTTTTGTTTTATCTTAATCACACATTCGAAAAAAGTATCCAATCTCTACCCCTTTCTTCAATGAACACTCTGGCGAAGAGCGGTGGAGCGTGGCTGATTTCGCCGTCGTTGGCGACGGCTCTGAGGAGGATGAGTGTAGCTGGTTTCGCCACGTCATCGTCGTCTGCTTCTTCTCCCAATTGGGAAGGTGGAGTTTCCATGGTCCAAGGAGCTTCCAGAGGCATCGGCCTCGAATTTGTGAGTCTCTTTCTTAATCCATCTCTATCCCCCAAATCATGAAATTTACTTGTCACTGCAATATTCATCCACTCTTCAGAATCTTTAAACTTTTTCATCTGAGACAAGAAACTATTAGATCCAAATTTGATATTATTTCACGTTTATTTAGGTACGACAGCTGCTGGAGAAGAATAATGAAGGGTATGTTGTTGCTACTTGTCGGAATCCAAAAGAAGCAACGAGTCTCTCTGATTTGAAGAACCGTTTCTCTGAAAGACTTTTCATCCAAAAGCTTGATGTTACAGATGAAGCTACCATTGAGGTTATAAGTCTCTTCCCTCAATCTGACTCCTTTAGTTGTTCAAAATGATTCTTGTGGCTGATTTGTTGTGTTACTTGTGTAATCTGTGCTGCATGTTCTTGCGCGCCTTCTCTGAAACTGTCATCGGTTTATTAGGAATCAGCCGAATCTGTGAGAGAAAGATATGGTTCTCTCAACCTGCTTATAAATGCAACTGGTATACTCTCAATTCCTGGTGTATTGCAGCCAGGTAAATGAGTAATATCTTTCATTTGACGAGAGATGTTAGTTTCAGTTCTCTCTGCAACTACCAATGAAAACTTCAGAAACATGACTGTTTTTTTCTCCTTTTATTCTCAGTACAGAAACAACACTGAACAAGGTTGAAAAATCATCATTGATGCTTGCTTACGAGGTTAATGCCGTTGGTCCAATTCTAGTGATGAAGGTAATGCCTCAAGAGTCACTATTCTAATGCAAAACAGAGTGAGAAATGACTTGAGAGCAATGCGTGGACATGAATTCAATTTACTCAAATGTAACAGAAAGATTGTCTTTGGCTCTGTTGTAGCATATGTGGCCTCTCCTTAAGGCTGGTGGAGGAAGTGGAACCGATAGGGAAGTTGCTGTTGTAGCCAATCTAAGCGCCAGAGTTGGATCAATCGGAGACAACAGACTTGGTGGTTGGCACTCTTACAGGGCTTCAAAAACCGCACTCAACCAACGTACTGTAGATTGTTGTTATTTGGGAAAAAGACTTGATCTTGTTGGTATAAATTGAGAAAACAAAACCATTAATTTCTGTTGCTTTTGCAGTGACGAAAAATGTATCGGTTGAGTTGGGTAGGAGGAAGGATCCTGTGGTATGCATTCTTCTGCATCCAGGCACAGTAGACACTGATCTCTCTCGACCGTTCCAAAGGAATGTTCCCGAAGGAAAGCTTTTCACTAGAGAGTACTCTGTTCAGAAGCTATTGCACATCATCAACAATGCAAAGAAACAAGACAACGGCAAGTTCTTTGCTTGGGATGGCCAGGAGATACCTTGGTGATTGCTTCATTTCTTTGTCTGAATGGTCTGTCACTTCTTTCAAATTGTGTTGAATTCTTCTCGAGGTTTATTCCCTTTCTTGACTTGAGAGCAGAGTATTATCAAATAACCTAAGTTGAGAGCTTCTGAGTATCTAATAAACAGTGTGATGGTGGGACACTTTAATCTACCTTATGTTTACCTTTACAAGCTATTTGCGACAGTCCCGAGTCCAATTATTGCTCTCTGTTATCCAGCTACGCCCTGGAGTCTTGCGAACTCTGTTCTTGTTCATCAATCCTTGAAGAGCTGAAGCGTCATCCCACTGCCTCACAGAACTATATGTGTTGCCTAGTAGCACATAAGCTGCAGAGTTCTGAGGATCCAGACTTACGAGTTTCTCTGCGACTCGTCTAGCTAAGCTCACATTTCCATGGACTCTACATGAACTAAGTAGAATCTCCCACAGAACAGAGCTGCTTTTGTAATGTGTAGCTTCTGCAAGAGTCTCTGCATCTTCAAGCCGACCAGCTCTTCCAAGACAATCAACCATACATATGTAATGATTCAGCTCCGGTTCAATTCCATGATCTCTCTGCATCGAACTGAGAATCTCAGACCCGGTATCAACCAGTCCTGAGTGGCTACAAGCAGTCAAGACGGAGACGAAGGTTATCTCGTCAGGTTTCTCTCCCGATGCAATCATCTCTCTGTAGAGACCAACAGCTTCATCGCCTCGTCCGTTATGAGCATACCCATGTATCATCTCGTTCCAAAGAACAGTGTTTTTAATCAAGACGGTATCGAAGATTTCCCGAGCCGAATCTATTTCACCGCACTTACAGTACATATCGGTAAGAGCGGTTTCAACAAAGGAATCACTTACATATCCGCTCTTCACTACCTGGCCATGAAACTGTCTTCCATGGAGTAAACTACATAACCTTGAACAGCTACCTAACACAGTAGAGTATGAAGTTTCATTAGGAAACAACTCACCAGTCTGATGCATTCTTCTGAATATAATTAACGCTTTTGTGTCCAGTGAGTTGCGAGTAAGACCTGCGATCATCGAGTTCCAACAAGCGATATCCAATTCGGCTATACAATCATCAAAGATACATTCAGAGATCTCCATCTTCTCGCATTCCGAGTACACTGCAATAAGGCCACTAACTACGTGACTGTTCTTAGACATATTGGTCCTTATCGCTACCCCATGGACCTGTTTCCCTCCTTCCAGAAGTCTCAACTTCGCGCATGAACTTAGTATCACACTCAAAGTGGTTCTGTCAGGTTTCAGGTTCTCAAACTGCATTTGTCTGAAATGGTTTATTGCTTCCTCATAGTGTTCGTACTTGGAGTAGCCAGAGAGCAAAGCATTCCATGCGACAACACTCCGGTGCGGCATGCAACTGAATATTCCCTGACCGGTTTCGAAATCCCCTGAACGGAAGCACGCTCCAATAACACTTATACAGGTAACTTCGTTAGGTTCAAATCCCGACTCTCTCATTCTCTTTAGATATTCAACTGATTTGTCACTTCGATACTCCTGACCAAACCCAGCTATCATGATGTTCCAAGAGACAACATTCACTTCAGGCATCTCACCAAAAACCAGCTCTGCACCATTCATGTCTTTACTCTTTGCATATACTTCGAGCAACGAATTGTTCAGATGAAGATCTCCTTCGAGCCCAAGCCTTAACGCGAGACTATGGATCTGTTTCCCCATCACATTACAATAGGTTTCATTCGAGCTGTCACATTCTTCTCTTGGAGCAGAGATGCTGAGAATGTTAGACAAGCAAACAGAATCCACTTTGACACCTTTCTCACGCATCGACCTGAACATGTGAACTGCCTCCAATACTTTATCTTCCCGAGCTAAACCGTTGATTACCGCTGTAAAAGAGACTTCATTAGGACCAGAGAGAGATTCAAAGACCCTAACACCATGATCCACCATAAGCCCACACTTGGCGTACATAGACAACAACGCATTGCCCACAAAAATGTTCTTGTCAAGACCGGTTTTAACAGCAGTCCCGTGACATCTCATACCGGTAACACCATCCAAAAGCTTGCTACACGCGCTCAAGACGCTAGCAAGCGTGAACCGAGAAGGCAAGAAACCTTGAGAAACCATCCTCTCATAAACAACCAAAGCTTTCTCCTCTAAACCTTTCCGCACCAATACGCTAATCATGTTGTTCCACGACACTACATCTCTCTCAGGCATTCCATCAAAAACCTCACAAGCTTCCCTCAAATTCCCATACTTACAGCTAAACGTTAAAAAAGCGTTCCACGAATAAACATCTCTCACAGGCATTTCGTAGAACACCTTACGTGCATAGCTTCCATCGCCACACTCACAGTATAAATCCAATAAGCGGTTACAGAGATAAGTATCGCCGGAAAAGCCAGTCCGAACGGCGAACCCATGTATGATTTTCCCGGAAAGTTTACACTTTTCATCTCTGCAATAACGCAAAAGATTCGCTAAGTACCGATTGCTTCCACTACGCATTCTCTCTTTGAGCTACTTCACGAGTAGTTGGAGTACAAATAATAACATTTTTATCCATTAATAAACTAAAATTTCAAATGAAAACAATTTATAAATTATGTATGAATCCAATCATTAACATAAGTAAATCTAATTGAAATTGATTTTACATCTGCGCGCGAATGAATGCAAATATATATAGAGTTTGAAAACAAATTGAGAAAAATAAAAAAAGTAAAAATAATCTTCTGGGAAAATTTTGGTTTACGAAATCAAGAAGAAGGGATGACGACGGTGCGCATCATGTTCTTGAATTCGAAAAAGTCAACGCGGCCATCTTGATTCCGGTCAACGGAGACGATCATCTTCTCCACTCTCGCCATCTCTCCTCCTTCAGGCAACCCAAGTTTCTTCAGAACCGTCTGCAATTCCCTGGCGGAGATGAACCCGTCGCCGTTCTCGTCGAACACCTTAAACGCCTCCGCGAGATCCGACTCGTCTGCGGCGGCGGATTCCGGGGAAGAAGTTTCATCGTTTTCCTCTGCTCCGCCGAAGAAGGAGTCGTCGAGGGTCTTGTGGAGGGAAGAGAAATCGTCGAAATTGAGGCCGGTGTTTCCAGGCTGTATGTAGGATTCGACGGTGGATTTGAGATCGGAGAGATCGGCGTTGAGGCCGAGACGAGAGAGAGCTTGGCTTAGCTCCTCGACGGTGATGAATCCGTCGCCGTTTTTGTCGAACAAGTCGAAAATCCGTTGGAGACGAAGAGCGTTTAGGCTTGGGCTTCGCAGCCTGAACGATGACGACTTTATCGTAACTTTCTTCTTCTCGCCGTCGCTCTCCATTATCTTCTTCTTCTTCCTTTCACTGCTTCTTCTTCTTCGTTATGGAATTAAAAGTCTGAGATAAAAATGGGAATCGAGTGATGGGAGTCTAATTATAGAAGAGAAACAATTGGGAGAATTGAAAATTGTATGGGAAGGAGTCCGTTTTTGCCGGCATTGACTTTGTCTGGCCCGCCATGTACGAACTTCGGACATCAAACCCATAAGGAGGAGGAAAAATATACATTTAATTCACATCAATGCGGAAATAAAAAGGTCAGCTTTTGTGATCTGTCAAATAATGTTGACATTAGAGGAGAAGAAAAAAAATGTAATTTTGAATTACTTCATGTTAATTAGAATGCAGCAAATTTACAAATTGTTTGAGGAGGTCCAAGAGCAATTTGCAGGGAGATTTCCAATTGAATTGTGATACAAAAACCGTTTCATTTCGTTATCGTTATTTTATCATAATTGTGTGTGTGATATAGAGAGAGAGATTAATGCCTTAATGATGGATTAATTTCTGGTTAATTTCTTTTAGATGGTTGTTTACTTATATTATAACCGAAAATGCTTTCAAGTTGATGATACAAAACATAGTAATTCAGAACTGCCGTCGACTTTTTCAATGGAGAACAGACAGGTCACGTCGTAGTTGTTACCGAATTTAAATGGAACGGTTCCAATTGTTTCAGAAGCTTCCGAGTTTTTGACCCGTTCACACTATCCGGGCCGGGTCGAGAGAACGCACAAAACCAAGAAGCCCAATACGGCCTTGGCCCATAAAAAAATATACTAGTTCTTTCAGTTTTGGGTACTCATTTTCTGCAAATTTTCTCAATACTCAATACGTATAAATCATAGAAAGTTAGAAACATCAATTTCACAAAGAAAGAAATATACATGTCTTTAAATCCTTACAAAACCATAAAACTATTGAAAAATCAAAACAAAACAAAACAATAAAAAGCATAACCCTAACCTAAGCAACTATCTCAATGATGCCTTGAGCTAGACTCATACAAAGAAACCACCATGTCATAAATCTGGGTCAAGCTTGGTTGCTTCAATGGTGGTTTATCAGTACACATAAGTCCAAGTGTCATCGCTTGCTTAACATTCTCCAATGCCTTCTCCTCAATCTTCATCTTCTCATCAATCACTCTCTCTAGATTATCCGGATAATGAACTCTTATATACTCAAGATACCTCCTTTCTGAGTCTTCTTGTTCCTCATCAGGTCTTAGATTTGTAATCATCTCCAAAAGAAACAACCCAAAGTTGAATATATCTGTCAATAACAACACACTTTATAAGCTTTTTATAACCTGTAAGAAAATTCATAATTCCAAGAAAGAAAGAGCCTTACTTGTTGATAAATTGGTTCCATCTCCAATCTTGAACTGAGAAATCAATGGTGCTTGATCATCAGCAGATAGCAAAACACTGCTTGTTCTGAGATCAAATGTAATCTCAGGCCATTGATCCGATAGATAGCAAATACCTTCTACAACTCCCATAACCACTCTTAATCTTCTTCTCCATGATGAAGCCGATGAAGAACTTAACCAAGTCTCTAAATTTTCTCCATTAGTCCACTCTGTAACAAGAGCTCTCAAGCTTCTGCTATTACACCAACCCAAAACTCTTACCAGATTCTTGTGTCTTAGCTTAAAAACCGCCTCGCACTCCTCTGCGAATTCGCGCCTCTTCTCTCTCGAAACCTTCTCTGTATAAACCTCAATCTTTGCCTCTGTCCCGTCTCTTAACGTTCCTCTGAAGATATCCACTCCGTTGCTCTTGCCCACAAGTTTCTGATCTGAAAACTCATCGGTGGATGCTTCGAGCATCGCCGATGTGAACTTGTGGCTTCTCCGGCATGTTCTTGGTAAGTAATCAGGTCTTTTGAGACATATCCACCCAAAGCAAAAACAGAGCAAAATCACCATTAACGGAAACACAATCAGCAAGACCAAGACTTTCATCTTGTAACGCTTGACATTGGGAAGAACACCGGATTGTATGAAACTCGAGGCGTTAAACCGTTTGAAGAAGTCGGAATCCGAGATCCTATCCTCCGAGAATCGGTTATAGGAGACATTCAAACGGGTCAAGTTGGTTAATAGGGAGAGGTTTTGAACCGGAACGAAACCAGAGAACTGGTTGTAACTCAGATCAAGAGTGCGAATCTGAGCACAAGACAGAACATTCGTCGGAAAATCACCCTTGAGAGAGTTATTCACAAGCTCGATCTCGACGACGGTTAAAGGACAGTACTTCCAGAAGAAATCGAAAGAGAGGTAGAGCGCAGCGGTTTTAGGGCGGCTGTGGATTCTGATTTTGGGGAAAGAATCAACGCAATTAGGGTTTTTGGACTCGTTGCAGAGATGGCTTGCAACGATCGTGGAGCGGAAGATCTCGACAATGTCCATCGGAGAGGAAGAGGTGTTGTTGCAGTAACGGAGGTTTGGATCACGAAGACAGTTTGTGGTAATGGTGGTGCTGAAATCAGGAGGAGGAGTGAGATTAGCGAGATCTTCGACTACTGTGGCTGTGAGTACTGAGAGAGGAAGAAAGTATAATGATAGTGAAGTGAGGAGGAAGAGGAAGAAGAAGAAGAGAGAAGACGCCATTGGAGATTGATTTCTCTGTTCTAAACAAAAAGCTTTTTTGTGTGTGTGTGATGGGAGAGAGAAGCAGAGAGGTAGTTACTGTGTTATTTGAGGTGTTGACGGTTATTTTAAAACAGAGTGGGACTGTGGGAGGATATTTACGCGCTCATTTTCATGCTCTTTTAGTGATCGTGTGCTTGGGGAAGTTTAAATCTTTGGGGGAAATTAAATTTAACAAAAGTTTTCATAGTTTTGTAATTTTGTTTTAACAAAATTGTCTTGAAATATTTATAAGCGCACACACACACACACAATTATTCACTTTAATCAACAAAATATAAATCATAATGAAATTTTACCATACGTTGCGTTCTATTAATAAACATCTAAATTATCTACGTATGTATTCAACATTCTTTTACTAATGTACTTTCCATAATGTGTAGGTTTATTCAAAGCGTAAAGCCATATGACCAAAGTTATTAACTTTCGAAATACATAAAAGAAATGGCAGTCAAAAATAAAATAAAAAATACATAAAAGAAATGTCATGGACATGTTTCTACGATCTTCAAATAAAGAAAAAAATAGATGAAAGAAGTACTTAACATTCCGTTTCTTGTTCTTCTTGTTTCGGTTTTAGATGCAAAAGTAACGAAACAAAATATTGCAAATTTCCTCCGGTGCCTTCGTGATTGGACAAGTCCAGAGAATCCGATCACCGAAGCCATCTATACCCCCGGTAACTCCACCTTCGTGTCATCTTACGTGTCTTACACGAAACACAAAAGTACTCAAGCCCTAACGACACAAACCTAATATAGCCATTATTGCTGCAAAACATGAATCTCAGGCAACCGTGGTCTGCGCAAAGTCCAACGGAATCAAGATCCGAATCCGAAGCGGCAGCCACAACTTGGAGGGTCTTTCCTACATCTCGTGTATACCTTTTGTAATTCTCGAGATGCACAACCTCCCGTCTATAACCATTGACGTATCCAGCAAGAAACCTTGGGTTCAAGCTGGTGCGAGGGGTAAGGAAATCTCATGAGAAAATACAGAATCTCGGTGCATCATGTCGTAGATGCTCAATTAGTTTTCTTTCCGGTCCATAACGCAAAGTACTGAATCTTAAACAGGTTTCCTTTTCGATGAGGAAACGCGGTGGCATTCGCGAGAACCTGGTCCATCACTCCGCCGTAAGGGTTCCGCGAATGCCATGGCGTTTCCTCATCGAAAAGGAAACTTGTTTAAGATTCAGTACTTTGTGTTATGGACCGACGCAAACGCCACAAACGTTGATCTCGGTTTGATGAAAGAACTTTACGAGGTGGCGGAGCCGTACGTGTCAAGCAACCCGAGAGAGGCGTTTTTGAATTACAGAGACATCGATGTTGGAAGCAATCCTAGTGGAAAGACAGGTATTGAAGAAGCTAAGATCTATCGAAGTATTTCTTGGGTAATTTGAAGAGATTGATGGATGTCAAAGCTAAGTATGATCCTAATAATATCTTTAGGTACGATCGAGCAGAGTATCCATCCTGGTCTTGCAATGTAAGAGCAATTCTAATGGTAATACTATTAGTATGAGGGTTTTAATAATTAATTATTAATATTTGGTAGAGTTTTTTATTTTATTTTCTGTGTTAATTTTTCTTTCCATTCATATTTTGTCACTTGTCTTTATCTGTTCTTAAACCAAAAAAAATATTCTATTTTAGACACTTGTCTAAAATATTAGACACTCTATATCATTTTTTAATTCAGTTATATTATTAAGAACTTGTTTTTAGATCTCTACAGATCTGCATTGGGGTTGGTCTAACTCCTTTATGGCATTTTTGTGAACATGAAGCTCATGCAATTTTGCGTAACATATTTGCCTTACTTACATTAGGATTGCCCGTTGTGATATAAATTCAATGATCAATACAAAATTTGGGACTATTTGGGTTAATTTTTTGAAAGAATTAGCATAATGTTTTGATTAGTTCATGTAAATAATATTCTACGTTTCATAAAAAGTGTCATTCTGATATTTTTCACATAAATTAAAAAAACTTTGTAAATGTCTATTATATCCTTTGTTAATACACTAAAACTGTTTTTCTCTCTAATTAATAAGCTAAAATTACAAGGATAAAATTGAGAATAAATGTTAAAAACAGTATTGAAAACATAAAATGACATTTTTTATGAAACAAAAATAAAGTGTCAAAGTGACACTTATTTTGAAACAGAAGGAATATATTAATTAGTTCGTGTAAATGATATATCATTACATGAAAAATATAGTTGTCTTCAAAAATTATTACCTTTTAAAAAAAACTAATAAATAATAAAAGGAAACATTTACAACAATTTAAATTGATTAGAGAAAGAGAAATAGGGTGTGTGTATAAACTATTTTTAAAAATTATATTTTTTGGAAATTTCACATCTCAATATAAAACTAAATCAAGTATCTTTTATAATTTATAGCTATAAACTTAAATCAATTGTGAAATTTTCCCATTAGCTTTTTTTAAAAACATTAATGTTGTTTTGTTTGGTCAACACAATTAACATTAATTAGTGAGGGGATTTTTTCATTGTTTCCACTCCAGAAAAGAAAGGGTAAAACAATTAAATGGCGAAAGATTAGTAGTGAATTAGGAAATTGACTATAGTATTTTTGAATTTGAGCATTAAATTAATTTGCCACTCCTTCTGTCTACGATATCCTCACGCGCTACCAGTCTTCAAACCTTTCTTCCAAAGTCGCACGTGGGGTCTTACGAATGAATAAATTTTTTTTGTTCGTTAGTTAAATCTAGAAAGCTAAAACTATGTCCGATTGTGGCTTGAGTAACTGCACATTTAATATCTTGCGTCCCTTCGTTATCTGAACCCTAAAGTCAATTGTGAAATTGAAGGCCAAGTAAACGTCTACGAGCAACCCCCGTTCCAAACCGCCTCCGACCACCAAAATACCTCTGGTCGTGCAATTTGCTCAACCCTGTGCTCTTCCGTTGGCCGGACCTCTTAGACTGTTCCTATTCCTCGACTGCCGAAGGCTTTTAATCCCATCTTCTGCAGTCTCCGATTAAAACCAAACCCGACTAGCAAATCATCTCCGCCATTGAAATTCCAAGTCACGGACGCCAGCAACATAATTCAGGTATTTCGAACTCCCATCCCTTACGCCTAATCCCATTTCGGTTTACCCCGAATTTTGACCGCGATTATCGTTGCCCTCCTTCTTTCTCGTTTTTGTTCTTCAGTTGCGAGTAGGCTGTAAATTTTTTTTGATGTGAGTTTACTCTTCCGATTTCTGCTTCCATTTACTTTTCAGAGCCTACTGACACAACATGCAATTGTCTACATAAGTTTACGGTTTATAGATCAATTTTGCATTTACTGCCGTAAGAGTTTTACACATATTACGCTATCGCAATCCTCAGTCTTTAATAGGCATCCATTATCCGTATATAGACCACCACAAACATCGCGGATCAAGCACATATTCACTTTCTTATGCCGATACACTCTTCGAAATAGACATCCATATACTGTCATAGAACGCTTACATTTCCATGTAACCCCGATAGACTGAATACTTGTTTTAACTTCTTTTGGCAGGGATGGAAACTAACGTGCTTCCACACCGTCTATTCGCTGATCACCAGGAGCCAGTCGGTGACCGAGTGAATTCGTACTTCAAGCTCGACACACTCGGGGTTATCTTAAAAGACCTCACACCAGACGAACTAAGACTCATTCGGCCTTGCTTTGGGAAACTGATCGACATGTATCATAAACCCGCTCACTCCGGCAAACTCGCTCACTTTCTGCTGACCCGGCAGTTGAAGATGGAAAAAAGACACGAGCTGTGGTTCATTTTCGGCAGTAAGCCAGTCAAATTTTCCCTTCGCGAGTTCGCGATTGTGACAGGCTTAAACTGCAAACCCATTTCACCTCCTCCTCGGGAAATGCTAAAGTGTAAACCCGGAGAAGTCCCAAACTGGTTCGCTTTATTCGGGGGAGATGAAAATGTCACCGGCGAGAAGTTGGCGGTAATGCTTAGGCGCTCAAAAAATCTGTCGAGCGAGCTGAAGGTTAAATACGCATGTCTCCTCATCGTGGATGGCCTGCTTTGCTGTAAATCCTCAGGCATGAAGATCCCAAAAAACACGCGGAGATGATTCGAGACCTAGATTATTTCCTCAGCTTCCCTTGGGGGCAGCACTGCTTCGAGATGACTGTTCAGTGCATCAAAACCCGCACTACTAATCAGCTAACACAACCCACCGTTGCCATTCAGAGTTTTGTACATGCAGTTCAGATGGTTCTCCTCGAGGCGGTCCCCACAGCGCTGATGACGATGGGAGAAGAAAATGGGAGTGAGTCAGAGGAGGAAGAGTGCGTTACAGCCAGCACTCTCAAACTAGATAAGCTGTGGGATCTCGATTTGTCGGGCCAGGTATAACACTTTATAACTTTTTGTAGACATTTATAATACGTGGTAGCTGTTCATGTTTCCATACCCATCAATTTTACTGCTAACTTCGAGAAGCGGCGACATATTATCTAATGCTGCTCTCGTATTGCAGGTTGCCGTGACTTCAATTATCAAAGCAGACACCGAAGAAATTCCACCAGCCACCCTAGAGTGGCAAGACGAAGTTCCAGATCCGAAGGTTGATTACATGGAGATGCTAATAGCAGAAGGAGCCAAGTTTTGCAGGGACTCTTTCATTGGCGGGCATGTTGGCCCTCCTCCACCCGCACAATCCTCTGCCGTCAAAAGCCAGAAAAAGAGTTGGCCGTCTGTGGTGAAAGACAAGCCAGCCGCTCCCCTTGTGCGAGCCAAAAAACCAAGAAAAGGACGCAACTCGGTAAAGGCATCCCACCAAGGATAACCACAGCCCATTACGACAGAGAAGATTGCAGAGCTTATAGACGCCGCCATGAAGAAGGCCCAATCGAAGATGGTTGACACAGTGGCCTCAACGATGCTGGCAATGGAGAGTAGGCTGGAGAGGATATTGAAGGAAAAGATGTATATCATGATCGCCGCGGCAAGCCAAGGTTGCGAAGTGGACCAAGTTATTGAGGGCGTCATCAGAGACATCAACGCAGAGCCGGAGACATACGGGATGATCAACGACGTAGGTGGGTCTAATCTGCAAACCAACGACCACCAGAGCAGTGAAGATCCAAAGACGTAGGAAATCGTCGATGGTCCTCCCATAACCGCACCAGTTACAGAACATCTCCACGAACTCGCCCTCAGCACCGAGAAATCTCAGGCCACAGATCCTGAAGGTGAATCACAACCAATGAGACCCCCTTCGGACATACTCATAGCGGCGGACAACCGGAAATTCGCTGTATTCACCATGCATCCCCCGATAGGTATGATTATATGTAAATATCCACGATCACATGGATCCACATGCACACATAAACAATTACATTGAATCTTATATTTCAGACACATAGTCGTCCATAACAGCCCACAACGACATTTAACGCAGAAATTTTGTTTTGTAGGGTACTATAAATGGGTGGAGGATTGCTCATCAAGGAACAAAATATTCTCGATTTACCGCGGTCGATACCACCGTCCCGTCCCGAGGTAGGGAACTAACCTTTATCAGGTAGTGCAAACTCCGACATTCTAACCTTCTCAGTGCTTTACCTTTTTCTCCCGTAGGTCATGGATGCTTGCGTGAATATTTTGCGGAAATCATGGCTAGCTTGCTCCACACCATTGGAAGATTTCCACTCTGACAATTTCCCCAGTAGCTGGGCCGTGTCCATGGCGAAGCTCTATCCCAAATTCAATAAATCAAGCCGGAAAGAGGCGTTTGAATTTGGGGAGACTATCATGGATATAGTATCCGCACACCCTAAAGTTTGGGTGAAAGATGCTGATTTTGTGTATTTTCCCTTTGTAGTGGATAAGAACAGATGGGTTGGGATCGTCATTGACATACTGTCCAACCGAATGACAGTTTTTGATTCATCAGTCGCTGAGCGGCATGGGGCGCAAATAGTCCCCGATCTCCAATTTATATGCCAGATGTTCTCGTACCTCGTTCACAAAGCCGCTATCGGGGAGGGTATGATAGATTATGATCTCGAACCACTGTAGATCTGGAGAGACACGGCGGTTGTCCAATCTACAGAGAGGAAGACAACGGGGATGATGACTCTCATAATCATGGAGGCGCATGCGTTGGGTGGGCTGTCCAAGGCATATGCTGTCCGGGAAGGAATGATCGAACAACGCGCACAGAATTTAGCTGTGGAGCTGCTCGAGCACTGTGTTGGGGAGGTTTGAATCCCGTAGGGTAATGGGGACTCGCGAAGCTCTTTTTTCTGGCTTTTATTACAATTTGATGATGTAGGCGTACATTTCATTTTTTTGCATACATTTATATGGTTGCTCTAATTTGGTCGCTGCCGTTAGATATGTTTGTGTTTTGAATTTACAAGAAATTGATTAATGGATTGTTTCAGTCGATTATTCGGCCTTTGGCTCGGTTTTATAGATCACTATTTTTAAAGATAAAGTCGTCAGTTGTTGACATACTTTCACACGTTTATATGGGTTGTTACATTTATTTATATATATGAGTCGTTATGTTATAGTATATATGGGTAACTCGTTATAATTCAATATAACATCGCTACTTAATTTACTGGAGGATATCACCGAAGGATGGCGTTTGAATATATATATTTATTTACCTTATAATTAGGTATCAGTTTGATTGTCCGCTGTTCACAATAACCACCATTTATAACACAAGTTTTTCAACGTAATAATATGATATTATATGTGAACCGTAGGGTTCACACAAAGTACATTAATGCCCTACATAGGGGGATAGTTCTGAAAATATTACAATCACAAGAAAGCATAAATATTTTGATTTATATACTACAAAGGCAGCGCATGAGCTGATGCAATCCAGCATCTGTGACGGTAGACGTGGATGTAATACAACGGTAGAGAAAGGCCACTTATTTTTCGAGCACACAACAGAATTCCAAAGCCGCTGAGCTTTCATCATACATGACAAAATCGGAAGCTCAAAACCTATGTAGACAATTGGATGTAAAGTCAGATGAGAAACGTTAGTTGATGTAAAGCAATATACTGAGAACGATCATGTCGTCAGTCATCTAGTTGAAATACCTTATTGCACAATCTCATATTATATTGACAACTTGCAGAAGGAGCGGTTATGCCCAGTCCCGTTGCAGCGGCTGCACTTGCGGAAAACCTTCCTCCCTAGACTCTGGTACAAGATAGCAAACTCAGAGACATCAATAGACCGCCATCTTAATTTGTAAATTGTTATATTTCTCAATAACAATACGTTTGGATACCTTATACTCCCCTGTCGAGAGGTATCTATTACGTTTTGGCTTACCTGGTTGTCTCCTTGTCTTAGGTGGGTGCACATTCACCGCAGCTACATCTGGAGGAACCGCATACACACTGTCCATGGCGGGCACTGGATATATACTCTCATGATAAGCCAGACGCCAGTAGACGTGCCATACTCTGCGGCCACGATGGTAGAGAGATGGACGTTTCCTTTACAAGCCGCCGCAACAGCATGACAGCACAGTATCTTATGAGTAGTAAACTCTCCGCACGTGCAGGTTTTGTTATGGAAGTCCATATGATAGGATAAACCCGTACACATTTTTACTTCGTAGTGGTCCTTGTTGATCTGCAGGACGTGCCAAGGCGTCGAACGTTTGTAGTTGTTGTGAACGATCACGCCAACCTTCGGATTCATCGGCGAAGTATGGCTACTAGCGATGTCCTTCCTTTTGTTGACCATGACTTAAGAGTCCCGCGCACAAATTCCAGCATATATATGATGGGAAACTCACGAGCTTCTTATAGGGCGGTTTTGAGAGATTCCGCTACGTTACTTGTCATTATGTTGTACCGTTCACCATCACAATGGGATCGTGTCCAGTGGTGGAAGCCGATGATATTCAACTACTCCGCACATTCCGGAGACAGGCCCTCGATCTCCGCGAAGTATTCGTGGAATGTCAAAATCATGTAGGCATGAGCTGCTTTAGGAATCAAACCAGCCAAGGCCTTGATCTTGAACTTTGCTGCCATATTCCTCAGTAGATGCACGATGCAGGCACCATGGATGGACCTGGGATATTCCTGATAGACCGGGTGCCAGGTCAGAAATTGGACACGAATGCTTGGTCGAGTATAAGGGGCCATAATAAATCATGTACTGTTATATTTATTTATACCTTGTACAATCCAGCATATATCGACGAATGCATATCTGAGACGAAGGTTAACGTGTCCTCATCAGGCACGATATGCTTCAACTTTTGGAAGAACCACTCCCACGCCTTATCGTTTTCCCCATAGATGACTGCAAACGCCACAGGGAAGATTTGAAAATTCCCATCATGTGCACTCGCCGTCAACAAGCATCCCGAGTACTTGCCTTGAAAGTGTGTTCCGTCGACAACCAGGATCTTGCGCATAAATTGCAACCCATGGACACTGCCACCGAAAGCCACAAAGCAGTATTTAAAGCGCTTGTGACCGGAGGCATCTTCTTCTGTCTTAATAGCCGTCACAGATCCCGGGTTGCTAAGCTCCAGCAGATGCAGGTAGGAGAGCGTAGCTACGAGCCACTGAGCCGTTTGCCTTATCCATTGCCAATTCCCTTGATCTCCATGCTTTCCAGTATGAGATGCCAATGTTATGATCCTCGAGCATCACCCGTACAACCCCAGCCGGGTTTGAACCTCGCTGCTCTCCCACGTAACGGTCCCTCATCATTTTGGAAATGACGGAGGTGGTGGCCTGGCGGTGAAACTGTCTACGCACATCGACGAGGCAGTTGTGAAACAGCGTGGCCGTTCTGATTTGAAAATAGTATGTATCTTCAATCCGAACAACGTACACCCTCCATGGACATGTGTCAGAGAGGCACCGCACAACCACATAGTCGTTTTTTGATCTTTCATTACGGTAACTGAACTTTCTATTTATAGCGTGGACAACTATTTTGACCTTGCAGTCCCATTTGTTCTTGAAGACCCATCCCAAATATAGCTCGTCCCCCTTGTATGCCACATCTAATATTACATTTTCTATGCAATCCAACTCTGCAATAATTATCCATGTCAGAAGGCCGGAGGCGCATCGTTTTATTCTCAGACATATAAATTTACGCCATCATATAAAAAAATAGACCTTTATATATGTATATCTTACTGTACTTGTTAGTAGACATTTATTTTTCAAAATAGACCGTTATACTCCCCATACCCAAAACCAAACAAATATAAATGTACTTGTATAGCACACTATATATAAATATAAGGCTTTACATTTTTATATATATATACGTATAAGATGTTAATATTACAAATAGACCAATGACTTTTTCTGTTTCTTTAACACATCTCAATTTGCTATAGTTCAATCACATTCCAGTACGTACCTTCACCTTCCGAATCATCCAGTACCGGGGCTGCATCCCTTGCAAACAAGAACAGAGGCACGCCTTCAGTAACTACACCATCCATCGGGAATGCAGCACCACTACAGGAGTTATCGCCAGCAGCAACCCCTTCACCCCCAACAACTATTAAGACAATAATGTGTCAGTAGAGATTTATGGAAATATAACAATAATTAACAACAGAATTAGACGGAAGCCGTTCATTATTACTTCTGACAACATATCAGTCGTGTTAATATACTACACTTTTTGCAATAAATACACACTACAGATATGCCATAATTTATAGCCTATCCATCTCAGGATCTGCATCAGATATCCCACCATTTGTTTTGTTCTCCTCACGTGCGCTCACGCCCTCGGTGACACCTACCACATTAACTATAGAGATTATTACTATCGCATATCCATACATCCATGTAGACATGTATATGTTTACTTACGGTCTACTACGCGACGCGGGAACAAATCACGAAGGGGGTGATGCCTATCCGTTGTTTCGCACGGATAGGATTGGATCCACCTCTAGCTGCAATGACCCGTCGTCTCCGCCGTCGACCATTATCTGCTTGTCTCTTCCATGACCTTCATTGCCCTGTGCTACACCTAACCTACAGGCGAGCCAGGATACTGTCACTCGCCGGCTACTTTCTCCTTTGTCTGGAGTATCCTTTGATGGCTGGATCCCACAAAAATTGTCGCTGCTGCTACCCGAAGGCACATCCACCGCGAGGGGCCCACATGGACTTCTCCGAACAACCTCAGCCAACGCAAAACCATGCGTTACCGGGACCACCGAAAATCCTTCTATATCTAGAGTCATGTTTTTGGCATCGGCACAACGTAGAGCTTCAGCTCGTGGAGATCCACCCGCATAGCAAGGAACATGTCCATCTCCGCGTCGTTTCGAATATGAACTGGCACCGGTTTCACAACACCGTCTTCATCCATCCACTCCAGCATCTCGTATATCAGCTCAATGTTCTCCTCCTCCACGTTTATGTTTAGCTCTCTACAAACTATCGCCTTCACCGTAGCTATCCCTTGGCCCTTGCACAGCCGTATACCTTTGCTAAGCCTGTCCTCCAATAACACGAACTGCCAAACCCCCCAACATCTTTCATCCACCACCCTTGCTCCGCACGAACCAGATCACTCAGGACTTCCTATAGTTGAACCATTGCTGACAATCTTAAGAACACCGAAACCAAGAAGATGTTGTTATTAATACGAACGAATCCTCAACTCTTCACGTAGATATTCAGATATAATAAGAACTGATTTATAATAGCTTACCCGATTTGTAAGCATATAGCTCTATATGGGATAAGAAGTATGAACGATTTTCTACCTCTTTATTTTAAAAAAAGAAAAGTATTGCAGACATCTTAAATGTTTGAGGATTTTTTTCAATTGCACAAACGCAACCCATATTTTTGACAATACAAATGCAACCGCATTAAAATCTAGAAGGATATCTAATTTAAAAGGTTAAAAAATGCAAAAAGAAAAGAGAGAAAAATTCAAGAGATCTATTTCTAGATTTCCTAATATCATTTTTAATCAACAAAACTGAATCATAACTGATTCTCCATAAAGGAAAATGTTAGGTTCTTAAATTAATTTACTGCTTATGAAGTTTCAACTCAATAAAGGGTTTGATTGGTTACTGCTATAACTTTAATTTTTTTACTGTAGAAATAAATCTGTAAGTTTTTTGTTGTGACTGTAGATTTTAATTCTGTAGATTTTAGTGCTGTAGGATTATTAATTTTTCAAAGTCCAAATTTTTTCCTTTACATATTTTCCTTTCTACAGTAAAAAAAATTAAAAAAGAAAAAAAAGATCTGTAGCTTTAAAGAATTTGTGTAAAATATGATTTAGAAAAATTTAGTGCTTTAAAAAAATTGTGGCTGTGTTAGGCATTTTTGGAAAATGTTAGGCATTTTGATTTATAGAATAAAACTCTGCTCTAAAGCTTAATTTTGGTCAAAAATCAAACATCAATCTATTTTTCTCTTAAAATAAAATAATAATCTAACTATGTATAAATTCAATTATCCCTAATTAATCCAGTTTCCATAAATCAACCCTTTGACCAAAATTAAGCTTTAGAATTAACTCTCTAGTCTCTCTGTAGAGTTTTATTCTATAAATCAAAATGCCAATAAATAAGTAAAACAAATTACTTCACCTTCTATCTTTTTCGGAGTTCTTCAAACCAGCAAAGAAAATGAAAGAAGTAATTTTTGTTGTGTTTCTTCTTCTGCTTGTTTCGGTTTCAGATGCAGAAGTAACGAGACCAAATATTGCAAATTTCCTCCGATGCCTTCGTGACCGGACTAGTACGGAGAATCCGATCACAGAAGCCCTCTACACTCCCGATAATTCCACCTTCGTCTCATCTTATGTGTCCTACGTGAAAAACAAAAGGTTGTCAAACCCTAACGACACCAAACTAATAGCCATTGTTGCTGCAAAACATGAATCTCATGTTCAGGCAACCGTGGTCTGCGCAAAGTCCAACGGAGTCCAGATCCGAATCCGAAGCGGCGGTCACGACTACGAGGGTCTTTCGTACATCTCTTCTGTACCGTTTGTCATTCTGGATATGCACAATCTCCGATCTATTACCATTGACGTGACACGTAAGAAAGCTTGGGTTCAAGCTGGTGCTACCTTGGGAGAGATCTATACCAAAATCGCTGAAGCGAGTAATACACTAGCGTTTGCGGCTGGCGTTTGCCCGACGTTAGGAGCGGGAGGACACATCAGCGGCGGAGGGTACGGAAATCTGATGAGAAAATACGGAATCTCGGTGGATCATGTCGTTGACGCTCAATTAGTTGATGTCAACGGCAAGATCTTGAACAGAGCTTCCATGGGAGAAGATCTGTTGTGGGCGATTCGCGGCGGTGGCGGTGCGAGCTTTGGCGTTATCCTCGCTTGGAAAATCAATCTCGTCGAGGTCCCGAAGATCTTAACGGTGTTTAAGGTTAACAAAACATTAGAACAAGGAGCAACTGATGTTCTGTACAAATGGCAGCTTGTCTCTAGCAAATTGCCTAGAGAGCTCTTCTTGAGAGCAATGCCTAATATCACAACAGAGGCTAAATCCGGCGCTAAAACCATCGCAGTTATGTTTATTGCTCAGTTCTTAGGCTCGTCGGAGAAGCTCATTGAGATTATAAACAACAATTTGCCTGAATTAGAGCTAAAACGTGAAGACTGCTACGAAATGAGTTGGCTTAACACGACGACGTTTTGGGCGGATTTCCCGGTGGGGACACCGACGAGCGTTCTTCTGAAAAGACCATCGGATCCGCCGGGAGCATTCTTCAAAAGCAAATCTGATTACGTCAAGAAACCGATCACAAAGGAAGGCATGGAGAAGATTTGGCAAACAATGTTGAAATTCAACAATGTGTTCATGCAATGGAACCCTTACGGCGGAGTGATGGACCAGGTTCCGGCGACCTCCACGGCGTTTCCTCATCGAAAAGGAAACCTGTTTAAGATTCAGTATTTTGCGTTATGGATCAACGCAAACGCCACAGACGCTAATCTCGGTTTGATGAAAGAACTTTACGACGTGACGGAGCCGTATGTGTCAAGCAACCCGAGAGAGGCGTTTTTAAATTACAGAGACATCGATGTTGGTAGCAATCCGAGTGGAGACACGAATGTTGGAGAAGCTAAGATCTATGGATCCAAGTATTTCTTGGGCAATTTGAATAGACTGATGGATGTTAAATCTAAATATGATCCTGAGAATTTCTTTAGGCACGAGCAGAGTATTCCTCCTGTTCGTACAATGTAATAGGATTTCTTGTGTTTCAATAAGTTATGTGAGCATATAATATCAAACAAAATTGTAAGTTATGTGAGCATATAATATTAACCAAAATAAATTCAGCTTTCGAATGCACTTGCAGAATTTTTATTCTATAAGTCTAAATCCCAGCACATATAACTCTCTAAAATGATAAAATTTTGAAATTACGTTTGTTTTTCAGAGAAAGATTCAACTCCACTCATATCTAACATTTTTATATAAATACTAGGTATATACTCGCGCTACGCTGCGGGATATATTTTTAGATTTTGTATAAATTTTTAATATAATAAAATTATTTTTACAACATAAATGAATATTATATTTATTTTTTATTAGCTTAAGTTATGTGTTTATATGTTTTAAATCTGAATAAATATTATATATCTTTGAATTTTTTATTTTCAAAATTATAATCTACTATTAAATTTGTTTAGCTAACTATCTATAAATGTATATATAAGAATAAAACAATACATTTTAACTACATTTATGCTAATGCCAAATGTAATTTGTTATCTCTACTAATTTGCCACTTGATCCTCTTTTGAAATTATATAAAGCAAATTGTCATTTTTAATAAAACTGAGAAATCGCACTTTCTGACAAAACAGAAAAATTTCATTTCACCTATTCCCGCCAAAACCAAAAACATTCATTTTCTCGTCAAACCTGAAATTTCATTTTGACACAAAAACAGAAAAATTGCATTTTCCCGCAAAAAAAAAATCACATTTTCCAGCAAAAACCTGTGTTTTCCCATCAAAACAGAGAAATCAAGTTTTTTCACCGATATCAAAAAATTCATTTTTCCATGAAAACCGAAAAATCGTCAATTCCCGCAAAAAAAAAAAATCATCAAACCAAAATCAGGTCTTCCTATCAAAATTGATAAACTACAATTTCCCGCGAAAACCAAAAATTGCATTATCTCTTAAAAAATTGTGTTTTCCGCGAAAACTAAGAAATCACATTTTACCGCGAAAACAAAAAGAAATCACATTATATGTCAAAAAAAACTGAAAATTTGCACTTTCCATCAAAATCGAGAAATTGTTTATTCCTTCCAAAATCGAGAAATTTTGTTTTCTCATCAAACTGAGAAATTTCATTTTTCGCCAAAATCGTTAAATTATAATTTCCCACGAAAACTAAGAAATCACATTTTTCCGCAAAAATAAAAAATCACATTATCCACCAAAAGCCGAAAATTTGCATTTTCTATCAAAACCAAGAAATCATATTTTTGTCAATTGAAAAAAAAATTGCATTTCCCTCACATTTTCTCGTCAAACTAAGATATTTTGTTTTCGCGTCAAAATTAATTTTTTTTTCTCACCAAAACCAAAAATTCACATTTTTCCGCCAAATTTGATAATTCATTTTTTCCACTGTAACCAAGAAATTATGTTTTTCTAGCAAAACTGAAAATCACATTTTCATACCGAAACCAAAGAATTTCCTATTCCCGCTAAACCCATGAAAATTTGTTCTGAGTAACCACTGGAAATGCGAAACTCCAAGTTATGGTGGTTTGAGCTTCTCCTCATTTGCTTTTGATTTCTATTTTTTTGTAAATTTTTGGGCTTTTAATGGGTATGTAAAATAGTAAACTGATTTTATTAGTGTGTTAATGATATGTATTATTGTTATGTTTTTATTAGTTCAATTTTTTGCTGATGTGTGAGCTTCTTATAACATAAGACTTTTTGCGTTGTTGTTATAGAAATATAGTTGATGATGAACCTACACTTTTTCAATCATATACGTCTTTATCGAATAAATCAATAGCTAAAATTTTATTTATTTATTTGCTGTTAATTATTATTTTGGTTCGGGTTTGGCAAAAAATAAAAGAAAGATTTAATTTTTTTTATTTGCTGTTATTTATTATTTGGGCTTAGATTTGACAAACAATAAAACAAATTTTTTTTTATTTGCTGTTATTTATTATTTGGGCTTTGATTTATTAAAAAAATAAAACAAATTATTAACAAAAAATTTATTTGAGTTTTTAATGGGTTTGAATTTAAAAATTAAAATAAGTAGATGAGTTGTATTAATGTTTTAATTTGATTGGTTTGTATAATAGATGGGGTGTCAGCTTCTCAAAAATTAAAAAAATCTGATGTGTCAACTTACGAAGAGACTTAAGTGTTATCGTTGTATTGATTTTCTGTATTTCGGATAAGTTTCAAATTAAGAATTGAATATATTTTAAATATAATTTTGATAGTTTAAAAACAAATTCAAACGAAATCGATAATTCAAGTAACTTTTTAAATATAATTTTGAATATCATAAAAATAAAAGTTTCCTAAGAGAGTAATTCAAAGTTCAAAGAATCACATTTAACTCTTTCGATTCTTAATTAAGAAAATTTTATGTATTCAAACTTATGTTATGGTACGTGTCTATAAGTCCATTTATAAACATATATATATCTACGTATGTATTCAACTCTCCCTCATTACTTATGTTCCATACATCGTAGAGTTTATTCAGACTAAAGATATTTAGCTTTGCAGAATTTTCTTTTCAAAATTTTTATTCTATAAATCGAAATCCCAGCACATATACATAAAACAAATGAGCTAGACTTGGACTTCTTCTTTCTTTCTTTTGAATTCTAAAAACAAACAAGCAAACAAATGAAAATAGTTTTTGTTCTGTTTCTTGTTCTTCTTGTTTCGGTTTCAAAGGCAAAAATAACGAAACCGGATATTGAAAACCTCCTCCAATGCCTCCACTATCAGACAAATCCAGAGAATCCTATCACCGAAGCTCTCTATACTTCTGGTAACTCCACTTTTATGAAGACTTACGTATCCTACACGAAAAATAAAAGGTACTCAAACCCTAACGACACAAAACTTATAGCCATTGTTGCTGCAAAGCATGAATCTCATGTTCAGGCAACCGTGGTCTGCGCAAAGTCCAATGGAATCCAGATCCGAATCCGAAGCGGCGGTCACGACTACGAAGGTCTTTCTTACATCTCATCTGTGCCGTTTGTTATTCTCGATATGCATAGTCTACGGTCTATTACTATTGACGTAACCAACAAGAAAGCATGGGTTCAAGCTGGTGCTACCTTGGGAGAGCTCTACACCAAAATTGCTGAAGCGAGTAAAACGCTAGCGTTTGCAGCTGGCGTTTGCCCTACGGTAGGAGCGGGAGGACACATCAGCGGCGGAGGGTACGGGATTCTGATTAGAAAATACGGAATCTCGGTGGATCATGTCGTTGATGCTCAATTAGTTGATGTCAAAGGCAAGATCTTGAATCGAGCCTCCATGGGAGAAGATCTGTTTTGGGCTATTCGCGGCGGAGGTGGTGCGAGTTTTGGCGTTATCCTATCATGGAAAATCAACCTCGTCGAGGTTCCAGAGACTATAACAGTGTTTAAGGTCAATAAGACATTGGAACAAGGAGTCGCTGATGTTCTCTACAAATGGCAACTTGTCTCTAGCAAATTGCCTCAAGAGCTTTTCTTGAGTGCAATGCCTCAAGTCACAAACGGAACGAAACCTGGTGAGAAAACTATTGCGGCTGCGTTCTCCGGTCAGTTCTTAGGCTCATCAAAGAAGCTCATGGAGATTATCAACAAGAATTTGCCTGAATTAGGGCTTAAACGTGAAGATTGCTACGAAATGAGTTGGATTAATACGACGACGTTTTGGGCGGATTTCCCGGTCGGGACGCCCACTAGCGTTCTTCTGGAGAGGCCATCGGATCCGCCAGGAACATTCTTCAAGAGCAAATCGGATTACGTCAAGAAACCAATCCCAAAAGAAGGAATGGAGAAGATTTGGAAAACAATGTTGAAATTCAACAATTTGTGGATGCACTGGAACCCTTACGGCGGAGTGATGGACGAGATTCCGGCTAACGCAACTGCGTTTCCTCACCGGAAAGGAAACCTGTTCAAGGTTCAGTACTTTACAACATGGACCGACGCAAACGTCACAGACGCTAATCTCAGTTTGATGAAAGAACTTTACAAGGTGGCGGAGCCGTACGTGTCAAGCAACCCGAGAGAGGCGTTTTTAAATTACAGAGACATGGATCTTGGAAGCAATCCGAGTGGAGAGACAGGTATTGAAGAAGCTAAGATTTATGGATCGAAATATTTCTTGGGTAATTTGAAGAGACTGATGGATGTTAAAGCTAAGTATGATCCTGAGAATTTCTTCAGGTACGAGCAGAGTATTCCTCCTCTTCGTGCAATGTGAGCATATTAACCCAAAAATTACAAAATAAAAAAAAAATTGAGCATAGTATTAGCCAATTTTCTTGTTATTACTAAACAAAAATTTCCATTTACAATCGATCGCTATCAATAATCATAAATATTGAACCTACTCTCGTTTCCGTCTATATCCAACCAAAACCAATTCTATTGGGGGTTATAATATCATATGGTCCACAAACATTACTCATAAAGCACTTCACGAATAATAATCAACTCTTGCAATAATTGCCCATATTTTATTGTTATTAGTTCATCGATATAGAGAGACGAACCATATTGAGTTAGGTTTAAGTTGTTTTAAACGTACGTAATCTTTGCGTTTGGATTTGTGTTTACATCGCGTACGTTTATAGTTACGTACTAAAATGTAAAAACTAATACGAATAATAAAAAAAAAATTGTTGTTTACTTTTTAGAATAAACACAAATGCAAACACACGAGATAACTTTGACTCATCACAAATTTTCCATATTAACTACTAATTTCCCATAACATCGATATAATTTCACATAACACACCAAACCAACTACTAATTAGATCTAATCTACCTCAAAGTTTAATCACTAGAAAACAAAACCATTTTTTTTCACATCAATCCAAAATAGTCCCATTCAATGGTTCAGCTCCTTATGACAAATGCCATTCACTCATGGCATCCATCGAATAGTGTTTGGATCAAGACGTGTGATTCTATCTATCCACATTTTTCTCATATATCCCACTACCAAATTTTTTCTTCTTCTCATTTTCATTTTTTCCTCCAAAAATTTAACTTTTTGTCTGTTTCTGCCTAATAATAATACAACCTACTTCACTCTTTATTCATTTTACCCAAAATAAAACTCCATTGACGCAGAGAAATAAAAAAAACGAGGATGAAACTCCAAAGTTTCTTCTGTAGCTCTGTACTATTCTTCTTCACTACTATTTTCTCAGTCCTATCAAATCCTCAACCGGTTTCAGCTGACCACGCCGGTTTTCTCCAATGTCTCTCTCTCCGATTAAACGACTCCAACATCGTCTCAAACGTCATTCATACACCAGACGGCTCTAATTTCTCCTCCATCTTAACTTCTTCAATACAGAACCCGAGATTCTCTCTTCCTGATACGCCAAAACCGGTTTTAATCCTAACTCCGGTTCAACCTTCCCATGTGCAATCGGCGGTTCAATGCGCACGCCGGTACGGTATCCACACCAGAACCCGAAGCGGAGGACACGACTACGAAGGCCTCTCTTACGTTACCCACAAGCCCTTCGTCATCATCGATTTAAGAAATCTCCGGTCTATCACAATAGACGTTGATAACCGGTCGGTTTGGGTCCAAACCGGAGCCACTATCGGAGAACTGTACTACGAGATCGGTAAAAAGAACCGGACTCTAGGGTTTCCCGCCGGGATTTGCCCCACCGTCGGCGTCGGAGGACACTTCAGCGGCGGAGGATACGGTTCTCTGATGAGAAAACACGGTTTAGCGGCCGATCACGTGATAGACGCGCGTGTGGTCGACGCGCGAGGGAGGATTCTTGAGAGGAGAGAGATGGGTGAAGATTTGTTCTGGGCGATTCGTGGAGGTGGTGGGTCGAGCTTTTGCGTCGTGCTTTCGTGGAAGATCGGTTTAATCGATGTACCATCGACAGTAACCGTCTTCAACGTCACGAAATTCTCAGAGCAGAGCGCTTTAAAGATCATCCATCGTTGGCAGTTCGTCTCTGATAGAGTCTCTGAAGATCTCTTCGTACGAGTTATGTTGCAGAGGTACAAGAACATGGTTCGAGCTTCGTTTCCGGGACTGTATCTCGGTTCGGTTACGGATTTGCTGGAATTGGTAAACCGGGAATTTCCTGAGTTGGGTTTGGAGAAAGAAGATTGCAGAGAGATGAGCTGGATCGAGTCTGTGGTTTGGTTCGCCGAGTTAGGAGAAGAACCGATCGATGTTCTTAAGAAACGCACACGCGCGCCACTGGCTTTCAAGGCTAAATCCGATTTCGTTCAAGAACCAATGCCGGAGACTGCGATTTCCAAGATGTGGAGAAGGTTGCAAGAACCGGAGGCAGAGCTTGCTCAGCTAATCTTCACACCGTTCGGTGGTAAAATGAGTGAGATTTCGGATTACGAGACGCCGTTTCCGCACCGTGATGGGAATATGTACGAGATTCAGTACTTGAATTACTGGAGAGGAGGAGGAGAAGAGAAAGAAGACAAGTATATGAGATGGGTGGAGAGAGTTTACGAGGAGATGAGCGAGTTTGTGGCGAGATCTCCGAGAGGAGCTTATATAAATCTGAGAGATCTTGATTTGGGGATGTATGTTGGAGAGGCTAAGAGGAGTAAGTACGAGGAAGGGAAGAGCTGGGGAATGAAGTATTTTAAGAATAACTTCGAGAGGTTGGTGAGAGTGAAGACGAGTGTTGACCCTTTTGATTTCTTCTGTGATGAACAGAGCATTCCTACTTTTGAATCTGTTGAGGCCATGTGAAGTAAATTTTTGGTGTCGGAAAAACAGAGTGCATAATAGAGTGGTAGAGTGAAATGTTTGTTTTGGTTAGGTATCTCCACATAATGTATGTGATGTTGTCAACTTTTAATTTAAACATCATAATATTCAGTTTTAGCATCTATCTTATAACAGTCTTAAAGGTAAAGAACAGGTACACATTCTGAAAGCTAACGACTATTTTCACCAATTGTTCAAACTTGTACTTGAAGTAGAAGCTACTATAATTGACAATGCTCGCAAATCTGACAAGAACGACAGAAACCTTCGAGATTTGTTTAAAATGATTGAGCATGGCGTAAAACAGAACCATGCATTATCGTTGATACTGGATAAAGAGAACGGCTTTATAGTTTTATAGAGTACTTAACAGAGCGCAAAGTCCCAACACGGTATGTTGCCATATATTGAAAACGTAGACCCATCCCGACTCTTGTAGAGAAACCCAAAGCGGTTGTAAATGGAATGTTCCTTGTTTTAACTTTAACCTAAAAAGCGGGGTCGTTTACTTACAGGGAAAGTTTCAATTGTAGGCTACAGTTTGTAGCAAAGGAAGCTAGTACGAGTTTTAGAGTACAAACATTAACCTGAATCTGATCACATACTTCTATACGACGTTACGGTTTCTTGCACGCGAAGTTAACCGATAGGCGATAGAAGCAACAACAGACTATTGATGTGGGAAGCAATCGTAATGGTCATAACATATACACTCGCATTTAATTTGCTGATGAAGAAAAATGATTGTTCTTTGTTACTTACTAGGTATTTACCCGTGCTATGCTGCAGGATGTTGTTCTAAATTTTATATATTTTTAAAATAAAAAGTTATTTTTACAGTATAAATAACTATTATATTTATTTTTTATTTAGCAAAAGTTTTGGATTTAGACCCTATTTATTTTTCCATCTATATGGTTCATTTGAATAAAAATTTGTTTGTTTTGTAACAAAATCAAAAAATATTTAGATAAATTATCTAAACGATTTTTCAAGATTTATATAAATTTATGAGAATTATCTGACTGAACCAAATTGGACCATCTTGATGGAGATGTTTCAGTTCAAAATGACAAATGACTAAAATACTCTTAAATTTAAAAATAATAAAAAATCTAAAATCATATTTTTCGAAAAAACCATAAATTATATTTTTCTAACGAAACCTGAAAAAATGTTTTTTTTTTCTAAATTGGTAAAATCATATTTTTTGGTAAAATCGAGAAATCGCATTTTTCAACCAAAACTAAAAAAACACATTTTACTATTATAAGTTTACTTATGATCATAAATTTCTCTACTCGCAGGTTATATTCATATTTTTAATTATGAAACTTTTAATGCATGTATTTCTTACACTAACTAAAATAATTATTTTAACATTAATATTTCTTTAGCATTAAAAAATATTTAGTAAAAAACCACAAATAAAACAACAATTCACATTAGCTTACATATTTACTATAGCTTAAGTTTATATATTGACCAGATCGCTACCTTGAACTCTAGAAATTAAAAAAAGCTACAAAATATATTGAAAGAAACCAAATAACCATGTCAAATGTTTGAAGCTCATATTTAATTGACCTCAGATCTTATAATTTTATTTATCTTCAGTTCTTCTTCTCTCACATATGCTAGAAACAAGTCTAGCAACTACGAATATGGCTTCACAATGTCGCCATTCCTCCCAGTCTCCAAATCATATCAGCGTTTTTTTCATCTAGTCACTGGTCGAGATTTAGGCAGTTGTCAACTTTTTCGATCAGATATCTGATACCTTTAAACATAATATATTTGCTTTCAAAAACTTAATACACTTTCAAATATTCATTCATAAGTATACAATAACTTGGTTAAAAAATAATCATTCTTTTGATAATTAATTAAAATTTGGTGCACTCTCTCTTTGTCAAAGTATAAAAAATTATTTAATTTCAATATATAGAAAACATAATTTTCTGGATTTTTTACTTTTTTCATATCTTTGCTTTAAACATGTAAACATTAACATTATCATACCTAAACATTAGTCACACTTATATGTATATCTCAAACTTTCAAACTTCACACTATATTTAGATATCGTTTTATTAATAAGTCATAGGACATATATGATACATGAGTAACACCCAAATACAAAGGCCCAAAACAATAAAATATTAAACACAAGCCTAAATACAACTTAAACTATATTTGGTGTTATTGTAATTGTATATCTCATTTGGTCCAAAACATTAAAGTATTAAACGCAAGCCTAAATACAACTTAAACTATATTTGGTGTTATTGTAATTGGATATCTCATCCGTCTTTAGCATCAGGGACAAAGTTTTACCACTTTAAAGCTTTAATTTTTAGAAAATTCATCATCACAATGCAATTGTAGATCTTTTTCAAACTCTTTTGAGAACCACCATATCTTTTTAATAGATCCATGGTTAAAAAAATCCTTCTTCCCCACAAAGTTGCCACAAAGTTAAAATCTTAGAAGTGAAATCGTGAGTTTGATGAGATAACAATATTAATTGATTCATTAGAATTTTAGGTTTGTTTGCCAATAAACGTTATCAGTTAGTTAAGTTAATTAGATAATTTCTAGAATAATTGAAGAAGATGGACGAAGAAGATGATGATAGGAAAAAGGAGAAAGAAGATGTCGATAATATACAATGAGCTTCAGTTTGTTCTTTTTAAAAAATTAAAAAAAAAATTTAAAAATTATAAAACAACACGTAGTACATTAGTAAAAATGATGTGTTTTAATTTTTGTCATCGATATAATAAGAGTTAATTTTGCAGTTATCCCAAAATAATAATATTGAGCTTCAGTTTCTAAGTACTGTCCATATTGGGTCTTATTAATGAAAAATTTGATGATAAAAAGAAATTTTTTTACCTATGTGTTAAAATATTGAGATGAAGTGTATTAATGAAATGTGTTAATTGATTCAGTATTTTGTTGATGTGTCAACTTCTAATAACACAAAAAGCTGAGTTGTCAACACATGGAGAGACTTAGGTTATTGTTGTATTGATTATCAATTTTTTTTATTGGATCTTCGCTACTAAGTGTCAGTTTACTTTTCATTCAATGTTTCTTGCGTCTGTTTTAACAAGTTGTAGTGTGTGTGTATTGTAACAGTTTTAATTGCGTCTAAACAGATAAAATTTTACCAGTGATTCATAACACTGTAACGAATAGCTAACTAAATTTGTCGAAAATTTACAAAAGTTTTCAAGAATTTTTTCCGGTAGATGAGCTCACTTCTCTTACAACATTCTTCCAGTTGGGGCCATAACGAGCGTTGCTTTGTTAAAATACGAAAAAGGGGTTCCTCCTTTTAAGTTGTAGAATCAAACTACCCCTATTTACTAAATTTTTACAACATGAGTTTGATCCTTTATATAAACATGCAAAACAATATTCATATTTGGTATTACGTATATATCACAATATACAGAAACATCAATTATACTTTTTGGGTGAATCAATTATTTTACATAGAAAAAAATGTTAGTTCTTCTAGTAAAACTGTAAAAGATACTTTTTGTGTGTAAATCACATACTTAAAGTAAAACAAAAAAAACTCTTTGATTATTGTTTTTTTTTTTGACAAACTCTTTGATTATTGTTCAATCTGGAAAAATACGGTTAACATAAAAACAACATATTAGAAAAACCTAATTTTAGAAGCACAAATTAGTAGTATATGAAACTTTTTTTTTGTGTGTGAAAGGAGTATATGAAACTTTATGAATCATGTCCATCATTTCTAATTACCTTTTGAATTGCAAACTCATGTTTTTAAAAAGAATCCATTGCATACGTCCGGTATGTCTTAATTAAAAACAAATTATAAATACAAATAAAAATAAAAATTATGTTTCGGCCTAAGAGAAGTAAACGAAAAATGAAGAAAAACACGTTATCGTGGACTGAATTCGTGAACAAATAAGATCACAACGCTTTTTTAATGTAAGCCACACAAATAAGATCACCCTTTCATTTAAAACTTCAACAACAACAAAACATAACCTTTTGCTGCTTTATCACATTGAATCTTATTGTTGAATCTTCTCTTCTTTTTCTATTTTTTTTTTTATAAAAGTTTTCTCGTATTTCTTATATATTTTCAATGGAAACTTCTCCATTTCACAGGGTGTAGTGTTTATATATGTCTACACTTGTTCTCTCACATGATATGTATATCTCAGTTTTTACGTTGAAAATCGCAGTAGAGTGGTATGTATCGTGAATTTCCGAAATACAGATCATGATTTTTTTTTTCAGTCGTAACAGAAGATAACTTTTTTTCAACATATAAGAAGACTTAAAAGTCCGAAACATCAAATTTGAAAATTATTTGAGTGTACAAAACTACAATTTACATATAACAACTCATATCGTGAGTCAAAAACAAAATTAACGCGTCTCATCTCTGATTTTCATGGTTGATGAAAATTCTTAACTGAGAGTATTTCAGTTGCTTACTCAATTATCCATTTACATGATAATTTTGGTTGCTATAGAGAAAATACATAGATGCAAATAAAAATAATAATACTGATTATATAAGATTGTCTGATATAAAAGCGAACAAAGAGAAAAATGCAGAAGATTATACATGTAAGCTTTGTTCATTTTAAAAAAAATTATATAAAAAAAATTACATTCTCAAAGTTAAGTAGCGTAATATAATGAAATTGATTTAAATCGCTGTAAATTATTCGTGCGATTATTCGTGCGTTATATATAATAAATACGGTCACGTTGTTTAAAGTCTTCTCTTTAAACTTTTATATTTCGTCCACTACAGTGCCACAAACCCAATTGGATTCATTACCGACTTTGACCATTGACTTAAAACCAGCGAAGAAAAGGAAATTAAGTAAATCAGATAATTAACAAACCAACGTTTCTTTTTGAATAATTTTTGCAAACTGGTAGACTTATTTGCTTTGAATTTTTTGTTTGAAAACAAAAAGATATATAATCAATTCCGTTTCTATTTTTCCTTTAGTTATTCAACGAATGAAATAAATGATTTAATATACTTTCCAAACATATCTTCTCTCTGCGGTTATAAATAAACAAGACAAAGTGCAGAACAAAACAACACGAGACCCAAGAAAGTATCCCATTTTTCACGATGCTCACGACACGACGAACCTTTCTTTCTTTCGTTTACTTCATCCTCTACCTCTCTCTCCCTATCCCCTCTTTCTCTGAGTCATCGAGTTCTGTTTACAACTCATTCCTCAAATGTTTCTCTGAGAAGACGAGAACCCCACAGCCCCAAATTGCCAAAAATGTCTTCTCTCAGACAAACCCATCTTACTCCTCCGTTCTTCGCGCTTACATCCGCAATGCCAGATTCAACACTTCCTCTACTCCCAAACCCACAATCATCGTCACGCCTCGCTCCGAGAGCCACGTCAGCGCCGCCGTCATCTGCTCAAGACCCCTAAATTTCGTCCTCAAAATCCGAAGCGGCGGCCACGATTACGATGGTCTCTCTTACATCTCCGATAAACCCTTCTTCATCCTCGACTTGTCCAATATCCGCAACGTCTCCGTCGATATCGCCTCGAATTCGGCGTGGATCTCCGCCGGAGCGACTCTCGGCGAGGTTTACTACCGAATCTGGGAGAAAAGCAAAATCCATGGATTCCCCGCCGGTGTTTGCCCGACGGTTGGTGTCGGAGGTCATCTAAGCGGCGGTGGGTACGGAAACATGCTGAGGAAGTTCGGACTATCAGTCGATAACCTGATCGATGCGAAGATCGTCGATGTGAACGGTCGGATTTTAGATCGGAAAGCGATGGGTGAGGATCTTTTCTGGGCGATTTCCGGCGGAGGAGGAGGAAGCTTCGGCGTCGTATTGGGATACAAGATCAAGCTCGTCACCGTGCCACGGATCGTGACGGTTTTCCGGGTGGAGCAGTATATGGATTCAGGTGCGGTGGATATGGTTCACAAATGGCAATCCGTCGGTCCGAAAACCGACCGGAATCTGTTCATGAGGATGCTGATTCAACCGGTGACGAGGAAGAAGGTGAAGACGGTGAGAGCTTCTGTGGTTGCTCTGTTCTTAGGCAGAGCAAGCAAAGTCGTCTCGCTGCTTCGTAAGGAGTTTCCTGAATTGGCTCTGAAGAAGGAGAACTGTACGGAAATGTCTTGGCTTCAGTCTGCTTTGTGGTGGGATAATAACATTAACGCCACTACGACCGATCCTAAAGTGTTCCTAGATCGGGATCTCGATTCCTCTAGCTTCGGAAAAAGGAAATCGGATTACGTCGCGACTGAGATCCCCAGAGACGGGGTCGAGTCTCTGTTCAAGAAGATGATCGAGCTGGGGAAAATCGGATTGGTTTTCAACCCTTACGGTGGGAAAATGGCGGAGATCGCCGAGGATGCAACGCCGTTCCCGCACAGGAAGAAGCTTTTCAAGATTCAGTACTCTGTGAACTGGAAAGAGTCGTCTCCGGAGTTAGAGAAAGGCTACTTGAATCAGGCTAAGGTGCTTCACAGTTTCATGACCGGTTTTGTGAGCAAGAACCCTAGAAATGCGTACTTGAATTACAGAGATGTTGACATCGGGGTGAACGATCACGGGCCGAATAGCTACAAGGAAGGAGAAGTTTATGGAAGAATGTATTTTGGAAAGAACTTTGATCGATTAGTGAAGATTAAAACTGCTGTGGATCCTAAGAATTTCTTCAGGAATGAACAGAGTATACCTACCTTGCCAAGTAAGGCATTATAGATATACTGTATTTGATTTGATATAATGATTTGTTTACGATAATGTAATGCTTTTGGTGAAGCAATATATAGAATGTATGGTTATTGGATATTGTATATTCTATAGAGTCTCTGTTTCATGGAACTCTGCAATAAAGTCTGCCTAGATTGGGTAGTATATGAAATTTCTGGTGTTGAAAACCAAATCCGAAACCGGTGATTGTTGAAATTAAGCAACCTGCTTTTGACATTCATGGCAAAGATTAAGGAAATTTAGGATTTGGTTTGGAGTAGTTGACGATGATTCTGGACCGTGTTCTTGTAACCTGCAGTTTTGTGTAATGAATGAGACAGTGTTTGACTTTTAGACCTGATTTGTTTGCAGTAGAGAATGGAACGGTGGTGACTGAATCGGGAACGGCGAGACTGTGGTCACGAGCCGGAGGAGCCACCGTAGTTGCAACGGTGGTTTTACATGTCTTCTAGAATACTTAGATTGTTTGTTTTGGATTCGTTGACTAATTTTATCTATTATGAATGAGATGAACAGAGAGCATCATCCAAATCTGTCAAAAGTTATCTTAACTTGTTGACAGTTTTAAAAGATCAGATCTTTTGTGTCAGAAACAGAGCATACGATGACGTGTTAACGAGTGGCTGGTTTATTTGATTAAGTATCATCCAGTAAGCGTTATTGAAAAAAATAGCCATAGCCTTGAGGAATTTATCAGAAAACTCAAACTAAAACAATGGAGGGTTTTTTTCAAAAATGTATAATTGCTAATTTAGGAATAACCAACTAACCAAGTATACCTTCAAAACTGTGTTCTGTTTTTAGGGGAGAGTATTAATTTGCGTATATACGGGAAGTTATTACTGAAGATACTAATACACTTTACATCTTACCAGTATCTAATAATTTGTCAAGTAAGTAACATTTTGTTTATGTATTGACAAATATGATATAGAAAACAATCTAGTGTGAATATTATTTAAAGATGGTGTAGATAACCTCTTTTAAACTTGTTTATTTTTTCTTTTGTAGTTTCTTAAATCCAACTTGAAATTTGCCACCGGCATCGTCTAACAAAAATATTGACTGACTTAGAAAAATAACATAAATTAATTTATAATTTATATGCAGTGGATCAATAATTAAAGTCATGAAAAGATATATTGCCCTGGAGGTTTTATTCCAAAAAAAATAAAAGATATTGGAGTTGGCATAATTACTAAAAAAAGAAGAAGAAAAGTTACACATCTGTTCTGTCTTCACGGTTATATAAAGCCCCAACAACAACATTATAGAGAAGAAGCCAACGAATAAAAAACAAATCATTTTAACAATGATTACGTCACAAACTTTGGTCTCTGTTCTTTTCTCTGTCTTCTTCTTGTCTCTCCCTTTCTCCTCATTCGCTGCACCTCCGTCGTCGGATTCCGTCTACGAATCCTTCGTTCAATGTTTCTCCGACAAGACGAAATCCCCGCAAACCCAGATCACCCAAAATGTCTTCTCTCAGACAAACCCATCTTACTCCTCTGTTCTCCGTGCTTACATCCGAAACGCGAGATTCAACACTTCCTCTACTCCTAAACCCACAATCATCGTCACCCCTCGCACCGAGAGCGACGTCAGCGCCGCCGTCATCTGCTCCAAGTCCCTAAATTTCGTCATCAAAATCCGAAGCGGCGGCCACGATTACGAGGGTCTCTCATACATCTCCGATAAACCCTTTTTCATCCTCGACATGTCGAATCTCCGTGATGTCACTGTCGATATCGCCGATCAATCGGCGTGGATCTCCGCTGGAGCGACTCTCGGCGAGGTGTATTACGGAATTTGGGAGAAAAGCAAAGTCCATGGATTCCCCGCCGGAGTTTGTCCCACGGTTGGTGTCGGTGGGCATTTGAGCGGCGCTGGATACGGGAATATGGTGAGAAAATTCGGACTATCGGTGGATTACGTCGTGGACGCGAAGATCGTCGATGTAAAAGGTCAGGTTTTAGACCGAAAGTCAATGGGTGAGGATCTGTTCTGGGCGATTTGCGGCGGAGGAGGAGGAAGCTTCGGCGTCGTTTTGGGATACAAGATCAAGCTCGTTCCCGTGCCACAGACTGTGACGGTTTTCCGGGTGGAGCAATATATGAATTCAGGAGCAGTGGATATGGTTCACAAATGGCAATCCGTTGGTCCTAAAACCGACCCGAATCTGTTCATGAGGATGCTTATTCAGCCGGTGACGAGGTCAAAGGTGAAGACGGTGAGAGCTTCCGTGGTTGCTCTGTTCTTAGGCAGAGCGAACGACGTCGTTTCGTTGCTTGCAAAGGATTTCCCTGAACTGGGATTGAAGAAGGAGAATTGCACGGAGATGACTTGGATTCAGTCGGCTATGTGGTGGGACAATGATGAGAACGCCACTACCACCGATCCTAAAGTGTTTCTTGATCGCAATCTCGATTCCGCGAGCTTCGGGAAGAGAAAATCGGATTACGTCGCTACCGAGATTCCCAGAGATGGGATTGAGTCTTTGTTCAAGAAGATGATCGAGTTGGGGAAAATCGGTTTGGTTTTCAATCCGTACGGTGGGAAAATGGCGGAGGTCGCGGAGGATGCAACGCCGTTCCCGCACCGGAAGAAGCTTTTCAAAATTCAGTACTCTGTAAACTGGAAAGAATCGTCTCCGGAGATTGAGAAGGGTTTCTTGAACCAGGCTAAGGTGCTTTACAGTTTCATGACTGGGTTTGTGAGCAAGAACCCTAGAAATGCTTACTTGAATTACAGAGATGTCGATATTGGGGTGAACGATCACGGGCCGAATAGCTACAAGGAAGGAGAAGTGTACGGAAGGAAGTATTTTGGTGCTAATTTCGATCGATTAGTCAAGATTAAAACCGCGGTTGATCCAGAAAATTTCTTTAGGAATGAACAGAGTATACCTACCTTGCCAAGCAAGGCAGAGTGAAAAAGAAGAAGATTTACCTTTTGTTTTTATTCAACAAATGAAAAGGTTTGGTTTTAATCAAACCAACAATGTTTACTGAAAGAAAATATATTATACTATTTGATATGGAATATTCTGTATTGTATTCACGGAACGGATCGCTATAGTAATTAATAAGATTATTCTCCATTTATGTTAAAAGCTTAAAAGGGATTGGTATTGATGACAAAAACGAAAATTCAAAACCGCTGATTGTTGACCTGCTTTTTAAATATCATGGCAAAATTGCGGAAATTAGGGTCGTGTTTGGAGTAGTTTAACAGTTGATGATTCTCGTGATTAAAGTTTTGGATTCATATGAGATGATGATATCGTGTTGACTTTAGACCAAATTGGGTTGCAATTGCGAATGGGAACGACAGTGGAACATGAGACGGTCATGGCCAGGTTGTGGTCAGGAGCAGGAGGAGCCACCGTCTTCGTAAGACTTGTCCCGGACCTGCCGGTGGTCTTAAATGTCTTCTACAATCAAGAACTGAATTGTTGACTGAATGTTAAAAGTCAAACTTTGTGCTATTTTGTTTAATTACAAAATGGTTTTGTGGATAGATTCGTGTATACAGTACACGTTTTGGGTTATCACGGACATTTTGTTTTCAGTTTCAAAGGCTTAAAATAGATATTTGGATTTCAATTTTAATGCAAGTAACAAAAGAAAAAAGGGTATAGTTAATTATTATGTATGGTTCAAGATGCCAAAGAGATAATGATATTAAATCATGAATTCAACAAAGATGGTTCAACAAAAAAAAGTTACATTCCATCTTTGGTTTTAATATTGTCCGAGGCTTAAACCACCACGGACTTTCGAAAGAGTTTACATGTGGGGATATTCTACTGTAACAACAAAGCTAACCATTGGTAGAAGATGATTATACTTTTGCAATGAAATTGGCAGAGTAGTTTTAAAGATAAGCTACAGCCTACAGTTTATTTAAACTATATTGAAAAAATAATTACACATCGTTTTACCAAAATAATTAAATTTTTTTTTTTGCCGATATACAAAACAGTTGTTGAATAGCAACGTAGTGATGATTATATGCCATATAATCTACCATTGACCAAAACTGGAAGAAAAAGAACCTTAAATATACACATCTCTCACTAGTAGTGCATGCATGCATGCATTTAGGGATTCAAATATTATAAGAAAGTATATATATAACTTGCAGTCAAATTATTGACTTTTTGCTGAGTCAATTATGATCATTGAAGAAGGGCGTGCCGAAAAACACACAAGTGGATGATACATGTAGATATGATATATCAATATATAGCGCACTACTTTTTAGTTTTTAAGAAAGTGGTCAATTATCAAAGTGTTAGGTCTCAAACCACGTCATCAGAGATCAGATTACCAAAGCATGAAACTGGGGGAAGTAGGTGAGTCAGTCTTCCACCCCGTAGGAGGAAGTAGGTGCAATAATCTTTCATTTTACTTCAAATAATTAGTAGAAAGTTGCTGACATACAGAATTACACATCCAAAATATGAAATTGGAAGATTTGATTGAAATTCGAGTTATATAACACGGCGTAATAATTAGATATGTTGGATGTGTTGACTTTACAACTGTGAATAAGCGATGAAAACTAATGATGTAGCAGAAAAACTAAAAATTGTAATGAATACAAACAAAGTCTGCTTATCTAGAATTGTAAATTGAGACATACTAAATTGATCAATTCACAACTGAAATATATCAATAGACTAAGAACATACAGTTTGAAAAGAAAGAAAATGAAACAGTAGTTTGGGTTGCTAAAAGAGAGGTAAGCTTGCAGGAAAACGAACTTGCATCCATTGCTTCTCATACGTAACCAAATGGCTCCAACCTAACTCCTCCAGCAATCCCAGTTTCAGTTCGTACAGTTTCTTATTCGCAGCCTCGTTCTCGTTTTGGATCAAGTCATCAAGTACCTGCAAAAATCATTATCAATTATTTTTTACAGTCATGTGTTCAGTGATTTCAGATGATCCATCATTCACAGTTTTTCTTGTTTCGTTTAAAGATTGGATAAAAGGGCTTACCTTCAATGCGGTCCCGAGTCGTGAGAGCCGTTTCTCTCTTAGAACAGTGAGAGTAGCGAATTTAGATGATTTCACATCTACCCATTTTGTCAGTTCTTTGAAATTCTCTTCGAAACCATCCTTCTGGCTACTTTCTTCTTCTCCTTCATCTCCCTTCTTCTCACCCTGCAAACAAATGATTTTAGCTACCAAATTGCCAATGACACCATTCGTACTTTCATATACATTAATCAACAGTTAACGATGAGATAAGTGAAGATCAATATTTGGTCTTACCTTCAAATTCTCGAGTCTCGCTATGGCTAAGCCTTTCTGGTACAGTGCTTCTGCCAGTTGGTCACGGGTCATCTCCATTTTCTTCTTTAAATTCTAATAGGAAAAAAATAGCACAGAAGGAGGTTATCAGAGTGGTAAATAAAGCAAGTGACTAGTTTAAGAATATTATGACAATTAAACCAATTTTGTAAGAAAACCCAATAAATAAAAGACATCACACCTCTGCTTCCTCATCTTCTGGTTCACATTTCTGTAGCAAGAATCTTGCTAACTCGTCTACGTCAACACTGCGTACTACTTCGTTTGCAGCACTTATAATCTGAAGAAACGAGAGAAGAGATTTTCAGCTTACGTATGATAATTTCTCAACCATCTACAAACGCTAAAGATTAGCAATTTGAAGATTACTGAGCGTTTATAATCTGAGGATGATCTTTAATGTATAAGCGGGGAAAGTAGTGCACATGTTTGAGATTAGTAACTCATATGAAACTTTACCTCTTCGTGATGGCTGATTTTGTCCGCAGCTTCAGACCGAGATAGCAAACCGTCCAAGATCTTAGCAAGCAATGGAGTATGGTTTGGGTACTCAGACTGCCAAGGAACATATTTCAGATTCGCATACCTTTTCCAAGACTTCCCAAGTTTAAGTGGCACAAATCATTCTTCACAACGAAAAAAGAAAGAAAAAGCCTTTAGCTGGCAAACCTTGAGACAGGCACACAACTTTTTCCACTCTGAACGCTCTTCCTCAGTTTCTTGTTTTAGGTTCCCAAGAAATTTGATCTTTGTGTCACGAACCTGGTTACAAGTAAATGCTCTCGTTAAAACAGTGTAGAAAAGAAATCCCACTCCTCAATATTCACCAACAAGTACTCGAATCAATTATATAATAGCATTTGACCATAAGTTGAGTAAGAGCCAATATCAAACATGCCATAAATAATACCTCTTGTTCCAAGCGTTCTGATACTGGTTTACAGCTATTTGTAGCAGAAACTGCCTTCTTATCTTCCTCGGGCTATTGTGTAAAGAACAAAAAAAATAAAAAAACTCAAAAAAATTGACATACAAGGAAAAAAAATAGATCAAGCTAAACACAATATATGAGCTCCTGAAGCTAGATTGTCACAAGCTTATGCTAACAGGTTTTTAAGATACCTTATTTGGTGGAACCACATAGGATATCGGATAAGACACAGGATTATCCTTTGGATTCTTCCCTTCTTTATCGTCAAATGACAACTTCCCATATGAGATCTCTCCCACCAACACAGATCCTGGCGGAGTATTCTGCAGGCGGAATTTAAAATTGTACGTTTGAGAGGGATATAAATGCATCAGAACATCAATTATACTCCTTGTCAACAATCTACTAACCTTGGGTAGCTTATCCTTTGTTGGTGGGCCCACATAAAACGCTTCCTTCACCCTGCATGCAGTTGATAAATTTAGTGAGAAATACGTTAGGAGAATAACCAAAAGCCAGAAAACTTTTCGACTGGTAAGTGAGCCAATGGAGTACCCTGGCATTAGAACAGAGGACTTAAAGGAACCATTTCCCGTGACTGCACCATCTGGTTCAGAATGTAAGTTCAGCTTAATCTCCTGAATTCGAATGTTGCCAAAAACGAAAAATACTGAACATCAAAAAACACGAAAAGATTTAATTCCAATTTTCCTTTGTTTCGCAATTCAAAATCTTACCCCCATATTCCTTTCAATAAACACAATGAGCTGCTTCAAATTTTCCAGCAGCTGCACATTTTCATGCCTAGAGAAAGCAATTGGCTTTTAGAAGGGTACATATCTACGGTGAATCAAAGTTGTCACCCATGAGAAGATATCGTTTACAGGAAATTGTCAACCAGTCACGTTAAGTCACGTTGAGTAGATCAGTTCTGCAAGAAGATTAGTATGTACAAACTCTATACTCTTCAAAATTTAAAATAAACAGCAAACATCAAAGATGTAGCACAAACCTAAGATACAGCTGAAGTTTGTATTCTCCCTTGGGAAGTTGAGAATACTCAGGATAAACATCACCCATTGCATGTACACGCTGAAAGTGTGTCAGGACAGCGTGTCAAGGCAAGAAAATACTATACAAGTAAGAAAATGCCAAACTTGCTCGACACGAAAGCAATAAACTTTGTTGTATCAGGTTTTTAGTTAACAATGCCAATGAGAATCTACAAGCTAATCTATCCAGTCTTATAGGTGGCATGCGAAAGAGTACCTTGTTGGCATCAGAGATCATATAAAATTGGGACTCAAATTTGGTGTCATATATGCGATTGTTCAATAAAGGTATATATGGTTTCACTTCAGCTGCATCTTCTAATTTGAACTTGTAGCTGCAGAAACAAAAGAATGAGAATTACTGCAAATTTTTTGATAAAGAGATAGGCTAGCAACGACACTAAGAAAGCATAACCATAACCCACGTTAATGTCAATGCTAGTATCTGTTTGCCCGACAGTAGTCTATCGCGGCCAGTTGATAGAGTCTTGAGTTGTGCATCAACAGGTTGATATGGAACTCGTATCTTCAGTTAAAACAGAACACAGTCCATAAGCGATTCTAATAACAATACAGATAAAGGAAAAGATACCATCTCCACATTCATTGTACCTTGTTCAGAACAGCTA